GCGAGCTGCCGTCGCGGCGCGAGCAGCGGCTTGTCGCCCCCGGCGCTGAGGACTTTTCCTCCAACAGCAGCAGCGACGACGAGGAGGAGGGGGGGTCGCTGCCGCAGAAGATCAAGGCGCTAGAGCTCCGGAAGAAGCAGGACGGCGGCGGCGGCGGCAGGCCGTACCCGCCGCGCATTTGCCTGCACTCCTTCTCGGGCAGCGCCGGCACGCTGGAGCAATGGATGCGGCGCAACATCCCGGCCCAGGTCTACGTGTCGTTTTCGGTGGCGGTCAACATGTCGACCGAGGCGAGCCGCGCCAAGACGGACGACGTGATTCGGGCGGTGCCCGATGACCGCGTGCTCGTCGAGACCGACTTGCCCGCGGCCGGGCCGGATATGGACGGTACGCTCGAGGCCATGTATCGACACGTCTGCCAAGTCAAAGGGTGGGATCTGGAAGATGGTGTGGCGAGAATACGAATGAATTACCAGACGTTTATATTTGGTTGAGGCAACGAGTTGCATAAACATGGGCGAAAATTCGGCTTTATAAGATGAGACATTCATGCATTATGACATTTTGATGATATATAGACGGTGATACATTCATGCATTATGACGTTTTTGATGCTACATGATATGAAAAGAATGCCAAAAAGTGCAAAAAATATGCAGAAAAATTCAAGTGGTATATCCTCATTTACAGCGAATGCTCCCTTTCCTCACCACGCTCATACGCAGGCGGCGCCTCATCGTCGTAGTCGACGCTGGTCCTGCGCTCCGCCTCATCCACGGCCACCAAGTCGCTCACGACCGAGGCCGCCGCGCGCAGCTCCGCAATCTCCTCGGCTACCGTGGTGGTCCTGCGTGCCTCGTTGTCGTCCGCCGCGCGCAGTATGGCCTTTTCGTCGACCGGGTAAGCAGTCCTTCGCGGCCTGGCCGCTTCCACGTCGTGGCACACGAAGCCAAAGGAGAGGAGCGTCTTGGGTTCGTCAAAGTACCGCGCATCCTGGTACAGGGGGAGCTCGCTGTGAGCGCGACGACGGAAGCGGAGACGGCGGCCGGTGGTGAGGCGGCGGAGAAGAGAGGTGACGAGGAAGACGAGCGTGCCAAAAATGACGGCGGTTTCTGCTACCAGCAACAGCATGCGGCTGCGAGTCTGTATCATATCTGTTAGCGAGTGCGATTCTCTGCGTGTGGGACTGGCAAGTATGCCAACGTACAGATTCGTATCGTGCCGCGAGCATGTCCTCCTCGTAGGTGGCGTAAAAGCCGTCATCATCCTCCCAGACGCTCTCCTCGTTGTCCAGCCATGCCATGTCGTCCGTGTACTCCAGACCGCCGTCCTCGTCGTCCCACTGCTGCTCCCTGGGGGCGCAACCAAACACAGCGCGCCAACCGCTTGCGCTCTCGCACACTTCCTCGTGGCTGTGGCGGAAGCGGTAGGCGAGCGCCTTGAATGCGCAGCGCACGTCACGGCAGTCGGCGAGCGGCGTGGGTGTGGGCTCGCGCGCGAGCTTGTCCTGCATTTGGCGATCCAGCCGGTCAATGACGGCGGCCTCCTGGTTGCGGATGAGCGTGGCCAGCTCGCGGGCCTGGCTGCGGAGCTCCTTGAGCCGCGACAACTCATATTGGACGCTGTCACCATTGATGACGGAGACGGGGTGCTGTTGGAAGTTGTCGCTTTCCGCCAGACCCGTGTGCTCCTCGCCGCTGTCGGCCAGGGACTGGGTGACGGTCGTGTGGAGGTGCAAGTAGCGAACGCTGGCCACGTCTTCAACGCTGGTAATCTGGACGGGGGTGGTCTGATAAAAGTTGGCCGTCAGGGACGCGGGACCGGCCGCTGGGCGGCCGTTGATGGACTGGACATGGATGGTGAGGGCCTGCTTGAGGGACTGGCAGGCAAAGGTCCAGTTGGAGGTGATGGTGAGGCCGTCGTCGAGGGCCAGGTCTCCCTGGCCGAAGCCGTCTCCATTCTGCGCCAGACGATGGCCGTTGATGCTGACTTGAGCTGGAGAACACGGCTCCCCGGCTTCGACAAGATCAAGACGGAAGGGCTGGTGAGGAGATGTTAGGTTGGTCAGGCGGACCAAAGGTTGGCTCGGTACTCACGACAACTTGCGTTTCGGCGCCCTGTACGGGCACGTTCAACGTGATGTATGCGGTAGGAATTGTTTCTACCGATTGTTAGGTAAATAAATAAAAATCCCGAGAGGAAAGAGACGTACCAGTTGCAGAGACACGGCGGACGGGAGCCTGAATGGACTCGGCAGCGACAGACTGCACCAGCAGCAAAACTGCTGCCTTGGTAAAGGCCCGCATTTCGCGTTTGATGAATAACGGGTTTATGCGAAGCAAAGAAATGAAAGAAACGCCCAGAACCGTCAAGCCGTCAGCTGTACGGCGTGGAGTGTTTGGTCCCAGAACACGTTGTTGGACTCTGGGTGGCTCACTTGGTAGGCAACCGCGGAAACCACCAGTGCCAGTGGCGGATGGGCTGTGAAGATCAGGTACGAATAGGGCGACCGACAAATGAAATTGGAAGAAAAGAAGAAGAAAAAAAGGCTAGATCCAAATTTTAGAGACGGATTCCAAGAGGAAGCAAGTGATCGTTGAGGAGAAGAAAGTCACACGGGGCGTACAAAGAGTGCAAAGGAGCTGGCGGGGGGGGGGGACTCTGGAGTGAGGAGAGCGGACGAGACTGCACCTATACGCAGTCAGCGGGGAGTATGGAGCAACTTTGCAGGGCAAGGACGCACACACAGCCTGTGGCGCGCCCACGTTGCAGAGCGGAGGCTAGTTAACGTTCACTAACTAGACCCCGATTATTATTTCGCAGGTATTACGGATTACAAAAACCACACTTACACCGTGCCTAGCTAGGTAGGTAGGTACCTAGCCTGTACTGGTCGTTGAAGCGAAGCTGGGTCTGGTCTGGAACTGCGACTGGGGCACTGGGGCTACTACAAGGCTGTGCCGAGCCCGAAACCACCATCGGCCTATCGCGACGCTGGCCTACTAATTAGAAGGGGGGTTGTTGTTTAGTTATTGCTACAGTAGGGTATAGGGCGTGGGACAAAGATGGACAAAGAAAAAAAAAAACTAGGCCTTGGCACAGCTCAATTCAACGCAGTCAATCAAAGGACAGAGTCACCAAGCCCATCCCATCCCGTCCCATCCCACCAAGCGGCAGAAGCCATGGCGATAGTCGATAACTAGTTCATCAGCTCGGTCGGCCAACTGAGAACAAGCGGCGCTGGAACGACGAGAAAAATCGCTAGTTTGATTCGCAAGAAAAGCCCCCCATGTGGCCATGGGCTGACGCAAGTCGCCTGGCATCGTTCCACTCTTTCACCGTACAAGTAATCTAATTTATCGATTATATATATGTACAGAGTATTATTGTACTCATGAATGCACCACACAGACCCTGAATGCACCAGGGCCACACAGACCCTGGCAGGTTCCCTCGGGTGCCGGGAACCAACGCGCCTCGTAAGGCGGCGTAGCAGGAATGAAGCAAATTTGCCAGTACATACTGTACATACATACTACCTGTAGGTAGGCACATAACTATCATATTCCCACTTGTGCCCCCCCAGACCACGGAGTTGCTCGTTCCATACCCCGGTCAGCCGCGTTTTGTCTCTCCTTTTCTTCGTATCTCGTCCCCCCGAAAAAGCTTGTTTCCTCCAGTCATCCCTGCCGCCGATTTGTGTTGCTGCGACGTCCAATGCCCAGAGGCATGTACCATGTAGTTATGTATCATGTACCCCGTTCGATCGGCCAGTCACAAGGCACTAACTAACTGGTTACACGCGGCCATTCTCTTGGCATTGCTGTTCCTGTCGTGATCTTCCCTTCCCCCTCCACCCCCTTTCCGTTTCGACAAGAGGAAGAAAGAAGAAAAACGGGGAGCGATCTCTTGCGACGTCCATGCCAGCCTGCGGGGTCCGCTTCCGAGCCGAACTGCGCCAAGAGCTGACGAGGCCTTCACTTGGTCACGGCAGGCGAGATATGAGCGACATGAGCGCAGACAATCAATACGAGCAGCTAGCGCACGGTACTACCTCTCTCGAAAGTAGATGAATCAACTACCGACCTTTCCACAACCTTAAAAAAGCCAGGCGTTTAGTGAACATACCCTAAAAATAACTCTACTTTTTCCAGTCAATAGTCCCAAGTTTTCAACGTGTAATTTAGAAGAGAAAATACATTGGTGGCTATTGGCTTAGTTCATCGACTTGCACAGACCCTGATGTCTTTCCCACCAACTCTCTAATCCGCCATTCTCTTAGCAACATGCGCCTTTCACCGCCCGAGCTCTTGCTGCATCTACACTGCGCTCTGTATTCAGCACCTCTTAGCTCCAAAGTCAGTACGAATTACAAGGAAAACAAAAATCACTAAAAAACAAAGACTACAAACGCAATCGATACTTGTCCGGTCCCAACACCAAGGCCTTGCCTTGCTGTGATAGTCGACACGTTTGACCGTCGGCGCGGATGGCAAGTCCGCATCTGCACCCGTTGCGGCCCTGCGCCGAAAAGAGAAGTCGCCCGAAATCGTCAATGAGATATGGGCTGATTTCCATCTCGAATGCTCACCATGTCGCCCGGAAGAGAAACCCCAGCCAGCCCTACCCGTGTTTTGACCCGCGCCTGCCCATGTCCCCCCCAAAAGCGTAGCCTCGTTCAAAGTCGTTCCATCCATGATTCTTCATCCATCTCTGCTCAGCGAGAAAAAGAAAACAAGGAAACAGAATGGCCTCGGGCATGTTTTTCGATCCCATCGTAGCGCTGCGCGCCCTGCCGCTCGTCTCTTCCACCTGCACCCTGCTCTTCGGCTGGGACCAGACGTTTTTCCTGTCCCTCCTCAACCGGCCCGAGAACCGCGGCACGTCCAAGCACCTGCTGCCCGCCTACTTTCGCCGCATGTTCCGCTTCGGCCTGCCACTCGTCGTCTCGCTCATCACCATTTCGTTTTGGAGCGGCCTCGCCAACCTCGCCGGAGCGCGCCGCGTGCGCGAGGCGCGGCCGTGGTACGCCGCCGGCGCGGCCGCTGCCCTGGGCCACCTGCTCTTCGTGCCGCTGGTCGCGCCGCCGGTGCGGCAGATTATCGAGGCCGACGCCGACACCGACGTCAACGAGCGCCTGGACTACTGGGTGCGTGTCAATACCGTCAGGACGTTTACCGTCGACTTGGCGGCGTGGCTTGCGTTTGTTGTCGCCGTTGGAAAGACGCTGCAATGATGGAGAGAGTGTACAAGGGAGGAACCGTCTGGGTTGAGGAGAGGTATGAGTACGAGGATAGCTAGTAATAAAGTGGCTGTATCTGACGTTGGAGTTGACATGCCACGTTTGATTTTCATTTCGCTTTTACTTGACTGTAGCTGTTTGGTCAGTGTCGCCTGTCGCCTATTGGACCTATTAGACTGTGCTGGCCAAAGTTGAAACTGTTTAGTTCATAAACATTAGATTGCTCTCGGTCTTCAAATGTCGAGCTGTATGGTGACATGGCTTGGATAGCAAGTCGCGCTCCAATCCCAGCCCATCCATTTCATGTCGGCTTTGATAACTAGAGGGCGGCTTCCAGAGGTAACTCGACGCCAGTCAAGGGTATTCAGATAACAGGAAAAGAAAGTCACAGTAGTCTCTTTCCAAAGTGTCTTGCGGCCGCTTCCGCTTGGTGCGCCCGGGCTGCCAGATACCGGGATACATACATTTTGGACGGGATTGATTGTCGGCTTTGACATATGTGGTAATATGTCTTATTAGTAATATGTCTTATTAGCCTAACGTTAATCTATAATTTGTACAGCCACGCCCCTCAGAATCGACGCAATAACTCTATTTTAACGAAACATGCAGCATCATCATCGTCACACCAAGCTTCATTGGTACAGCATTGGGCTATCTTTGATCGTGTGCTTGGCTTCTTTAATTAGATGCGACAATTTTCACACCTTTTGACACCTCCCCTCCCCGCACAAAGCCCTTTTTTAAGACGCACCCTGTACATACATCAATTAGTCAACCGTGTCGTGTTTCACGCCATCGCGTTGGCAGCATTATGCGATTCCCTCCCGGAAACAAGCCGTGGCGGCCTCTCCTTGGCACCAAACCCCCCTCCTCCCCCGGTCATCGCAACAGCCCCCTTTTCCCCTTCTACCTGCTACATGGCCTAAAGGCAGCCCGTGCGCAGGAGGCGCGCCTAGAGGCGCTGTCCCACAACCCAGAAGAGTCATGAGAATCGCTGAGCAAATTAGTTACCGATTAGCTTTCCTCTTTCCTTAGAAAGGGGCAGGCGGCGGGGGGCGGGGAGAACGGGGCGTTCAGCTTGCCATTTCATCATACGAATTAGTTAAAAACGCAATCTACACCGTTGGTAATGTACTGTATCCAACTTAGGCTTTTAACCGGACGACCATGCCCATATCGTGGGCAGCGCCTCCGGCCGTTCTAGACCAGCGGATCGACTAACACTGCCCACGTGCTCCTTTATTATTGGAACTGCGCACAATATAATTCGTACAAGACACAAGCTTCATCAAGCAAGCATAGCCTGTGAGCCAATTGCATGTTTATGCAAAAGTTAAAAAGAAGAAAGAAAAGAGTCGTCGGTGACGGGAACTAATATTCCCGGCGGGATTGTTCCATTTCATAATGGTTACTAATATGCAATTGCCCTATGGCTTACACGCGATGCAGGCTTCGAAGCGTCCCCTGCACAAGTCCACTCCCTAACAAGCCACCCATCAACCAAAACAGAGCGCCAACGCTGAAAGATGCAGAAAATCATAATCGACGTAGAAGCCAAAACGAGGCTGCAAATGAATTCAAAATATTGGAATGTACAGAGTACGGTGCGCCCTCACCTCACTCAAGCGTCAGATAGCTGCTGAGAACCTCGATCCGAGTGTGGGCCACTTCAGAGTCATCAATCATGAGCTGCAGAATCTCAATCATGCGAGCTGCGCCAGTGTTAGTCCATGTTATGTTTGCGCGCTAGATGCGTAGATGTGATACGTACTGATGTCGGCTTTGGCCCGTACAAAGAGCGGATCTCTCGCAAGTGTCTCCTTGCCACCAGGTTCGCGAAGCGCCTCGCGCAACACGTTGCCAATGCACACGGCTTCGAGAAACGCCCGGTGGTTAAACACCCACCACACGCGAGCCTCGGCTTCGAGGAGCGAAAACAGCATGAAGAATGCACCAATGGCGTCGTGCGCCGCCTCGAGCGTCCCGCGAATATTGACAGGCACATCGGGGCTCTCCGATGCATGTACGAGCATGAGGTTGTGGAAGTAGTTGCTCGTGAGGAAAAGCGTCTGGCGCACCACGCGCTTATTCGTCTGCGCCATACCAGTTAGGCTGTCAGCGTCCCAAGACCGGAAAACATCCGGAAAGGAACGATAGACCGCTCGAAAGTCGGCCACCAGCTTGGACTTGTGGCGGCCAGTGCTGCAAATCGGGAGATCGAGGGAGCGCGGCGAGCATATTGTTTCCTGCACCAGGTTGGCCAATGTCCACGAGCCCCGAATGTACGCGGTATCGGTCGGATCACTGCTCGCAATCGAGCTGCCGTGGTCGTTAAGGTCATCCACGGAAACATCGGTATGTGTGGCTGAAGGAGGCAGCGAGAGCAGCACTGTCAAGAAGGTATCTTGGAGCAGTACGGCCTGCCACACTTTTCGCCGTTGCTGCTTTTCAAAGGGACTTGCATCAGGCGTAACTAGCAAACTTTATTAGCCCACACCCCCCCACGATTCCTCAAAGAATAGCGAATCTTACCAATGTTTGGGTCACGGTGCAGGCCCATGGCGTAGGCTTGGCGGATGAGAATGCCGGCAAAGGCCCAGCCGTCCGAGGCGTGATTGTCATTGATGAGAAAGTACGTCATTAGAACCATGGCCTGGATGGATCGCAGCGACGCAATGCTGAGATACGACGACATGCGCAGCGCCTGATTGCTAGCGGAAGCGAAAAACTCGGCCTGTTGTTTACGCTCTTTGGGAGTGGTTGAAGTAACAAATTGGGTTCCAAGAGCAATCATAACAAAGATCTGGGCAATATAGGCGGCATCCATCTCTTGCTTTTGTTTGCCACTCATGCGCCAGAACTCCTCGTAGTCGGCATAGAAGGTAAGGCGATGAATCATTGGGTAGACGGGGTCAACACACTCGAAATACCGGTTGATGAGAATGTCAGCCTGTTGCTTTTCGGGAAGAACCGAAATAACCTCCATCAGGCCGCCTTCACAAGTCCAGTAATTGGCGAATGGGTGTTCGGAGCCAATGCCAAAGACATTGCTAGAGGACGACTTGGAATACGGGACATTTGACATGAGTCCGGTGGAAAGGGCCAAGGCGCCGCGCGAGGGGCCATCGCCATTGGCAGCATATCGGTCGGCAATGTTGGGGATATTGCCTCTTCCCTCGTTGCCTGGCTTCTTTTTAGGTGCCTTGGTCATACGCCGGCCAGTAGAAGCAGATCGAGTCGTCTCCCTACATCCGGGTTAGAAGCAATGCCCATGTGGTGTAAGAGAGGGAATGTATACTCTAATAAGTTGGCGACGTGCGCATATCTGCATTCGGTTTGCCTCTTGATGCCTTTTTCATGGGTTAGTTCCTCCTGCCAAGACAAGCGCACTTTTTTTCGTGCATCACCTACAAGCTAGACAGTGAGGACGACCGCGGTCACACTACCATGGTCAGCACCGAGTTGGTAAAATGTTATACGAAATGGGCGCGAGAAAATTACCTTGGTCTTTCGTTCCACACATTCGTGGCAGGACAGCGTGGGTTTGTTGCGCTTCTGCTTCTTTTTAGCAGGGCCGTCGCCTGTGAAGCTTTCTGTCTCGTCATGGAACTCCCTCCTGTCATCATGGTAGTCTCTCCTCTCGTCAGAGTAATCGCGCATGTCGTGGGGCGACTGCATTGGAGGCGGCGCGTGGCCATGATAGGAAGCAGAGTGATGGTGGAGCGAGGCATTGTGGCGAGTGGGTGGTGAGGCTGTCGAATGGGCGTGGTTGCCGACGACGAGCCTGTCGTGGCCGGGACTGCGCAGAATAGGCGCTGGCGGCGGCGGTGGAGGATGTTGTACACGTGTGCGATGGTCTGGGGAGCCGAGAAAGGAGAGCGGTGCCAGACGACCTGCCTGTTGCGCAATGGCAATTGGCGGCGGCAGATGGCGCGGGGGAGCGTTCATTGTCGGCGTGGGAGAAGGGGTGACGCTGTGGTTGAGGTTGGAGAAGACAGCGGCTCTGCGCTGAGCTCACGGTCGCGAGACAGCCCACGGCTGGGGGGCCGAAGATAGATGAGTGCCAGGCTATCGAGTTCGGTTGAACGGTTCGTCGGGTAGGGCAGGATAATAAGAGGGCGAAGAGGACAGCGAGCCGCGCGGGCGATGGCTCAAGCGACTTGGCCCAGCGTGAGCAAGGTTGCAGAGCCGGAAAGATGGATGGGTGGTGGCCGCGTGTGACGCCGTTGAGGAACTGGGAGACGTTTGTTTTCTGATTGCCTCAATGCCGCCACCCCGGCTGTTGTTATATTGGGGGCCACAAAAGGAGGACGGATAGGAAAAGAGACAAAGTACGGAAGGAGGGAAGGGATGCGGATAGAAGAGGAGCGAAAGGGGATGGGAGTACCTGGTTCGTGAGTGCCGAGAAGAAAAGCCGGAAATAAAAAAGGCTTGGGATGTTACGCGCGATGGGGAGAAACAGGCGAGTAATATTAGCATCGAGAGGAGCTGGAAATAAATAAGATGGGTGACGAGGCGGGTGGGAATAAGCAGCGAGAAGAGGAGGGGGAGGGGGGGGGGGGGGGGGTGAGGAGAAGCTTTCCAGCAAAAGGGTCCTTCACCAACAACGGACCTAGCACGGAGTATCCGTAGATTATAAGGTAAGTTGAGCTAGGTACTAAGGTACTAAGTTATTAGCTGCCTAGTACGTACGGATGCCTAGCAGTGATTTGTACCTACATGGAGCAAGTCTTGTGGACAGTTTCTGTCGAGCAGTGGATTTTGGAGGCTGAGGCGCTGGAACGAGGCCGGTAATGGGCTGCAAATTGGGGTGTGACGGGCTGCAGGCGGTGGCAGGGCTGTGATGATTATTATTTCTACACCCATTTTTGTTGACGGACTTGTTGAACAAAGCAGCACATGACTACCTGCGAAATGGGTACTCTGTAGGGTCTGGAGCAGTCTTGACGCCGCTCAAGGTACATGGAAAGACAAAAATGGTACGAGTACAGAAGAACGACCTAGGTACCTATCTAGGTAGGTAGTTAATAACCTACCTACCTACCTATATATAGTTTAAAGGAATCCTCACGACGAATTACTCCGTAGCTACGGAGTACAAATTACCATCCAGTAACCAGATTTACGGTACTTACCACCCACCCCCTGCGAGGTTATCAACGGGTCCCTGCACTACTCTGCTGCCCCAGTGCCCCCCAGTGCCCCAGTGCCATGATCCATCCATCACCACGGCCCATGAGCCCCAACTCCCAAGCCTTCAAGAGGGAGCCCAAAAAAGCTTGGCAATGTGTTTGTCTTGTTTGGCGCCCACCAAGCCGCTTGATAGGCTGGATGGCGCGGCCCATGCAGGCCAGTGCAGGCAGATTGCATGCTAGACATGGGTCCGGGAAATGGGCGAGACCTTTTCTGTCGTCTTGTCCGTGCCTAGCGTCGCTCGCATCTGATGACGCCTTGGTGCCGGAGCTGTGGACAGGGCTAGGCCTGGGTCTGGGGCAACTCGTGAGGAAGATATGGCATGTACATATTAGTTAATTCGGTAACAAACCATAAACCATCGTAGCGTTTCCCTAACTACATTCGTAATATAGGAGCAGATAAACTCCTCAGTCCTCTGTACCTGCCGCACCGCCAACTGCCACTAGCGTCCACTGTACCAGCTATGCGGGTGAAGACTGACGAGTCCTCAGCTCCCTGCCACCTATTTTACCTGGTTGCCTAGTAGAGTACCTGGTACCTACCTCCTGCCTAACAGGCACCTATTCTAACGTACCTATCCGTAGTTCGGTACCTAGGTACTTATACACTGCATTCTAGGCATACCGTATTACATACAATCCACTCCACACACACACCCGCTGCCTTCACCACCGGCCTCGTTTTTCTCTCTCGTTTGCATCACCACCGACCCGTCATTCATCCCGCTCTTCCAGCTTCAACAACCACGCCGATTCGAATCCCAATTCCACGTCATCACAAATATTTTCCTCTTCTCCTCTGCTCACATCTTCTCTCATCCCACCCTCTCCCCCGGCACCCTGTTTCCGTCGCCACGACTCGCCTCAGCTGCTTTGGGTTAAGATGGGCGGCGATAATAAACGCGGTCTAGAACCTCAGCCCGACCAAAAAAAAAGTCCAATACTTACTACCGTTTCGACAGCCCCCTGCGCCTCCGTCGGTCATGTACCGCGTCGTCCCGGCTTGTACTCCATACAGACACGGACACGACGATGCTTTTTTTCGCCCACACGCCAGATGTATGTACATAGCCCACGATCCATCCACGCATCCCACCCAACGCATCCACGTTCGCCCCCTCCGTCTCTTCTCCCAGCCCGTCCGCCTCGTACCAGCCAAGGGCGCCCACCATAATTTGGCCATCCCGCGATAGCCGAGACCAGGTGTGACACCAACTTGGGTTTCTTGGGTCACATTTCAGCTCAGCCAGGCACGTCGCGAAAGACTGCTGCACCGCTACTCAGTAATACTAACGAATCGACCACGCAGCTTTCAAAAACCACTCGTTTACTAGGTACCCGTACTGAGGCCACACAGCATGAACGGGGCTTGCACTCACTCTCCCCAGGCTATCCCTACCCCGTCACCGGCCAGTCGCCACATTCTATAGACTTGAAGCCAATCAGCCGCGGAACCTCCCCGACCCTGGTTGGTCCTATCGAGTTGCTCGCGACAACCGACTCGTGCCCTGCAGCCGGTACAGCTCCATCGCGCACCCGGCCTAGGCCCGGCGTAGTAATTCCCTAATAGAGGCTATGAGACCAAAGTCAGCCCCGAAAATGCCTTTGTACCGGTTTCCTGCCTCTAGACACTTGAGGTGGTCGAGTGCCAGTCCCCTGTGTTCGCCAGTGACTGTTCGCTGGAGTCTGTCTGTAGGGTAGCCCATCACACTGGAGTCGTTTTCGGACGAAATGTACAAGCCAAGCCCTTTCCATGACGCCATCACCTGAGCTTCGCCATCGCTGGCTCGCTCCATCTCTAGTATTCCCGTGTCTTTGAACTCGCAGAGTGCGCTCATCACCATTTCATCCATGACAATCCCTGCACAACGCACACAACAGATTTTGCGCCATTTTAGCATGAGCCGATCATCCGTTTCGCTTGCGCCGTGGCGCGCCGCCCTCGTTTCCCAGCTGGAAGCCATGGACTCTCCTACCTTTGTCCTCAGTTCTCTTCATCGCCAACCCGTCGCGGCCACCACTGGACAATCGACGAAAGATGCAGTGGCCTTCTCCCCCAGAGCCCGTACCGTTGTCTACCGTGGCATGTGGGCTGGCCTCAGCCCAAATCCACGCAACCCTGCCCCGCGCAACCCTCATGTCTACCAGACAGATCTACTGACCATCACTACGGATGTACGCATGGATAAAGTGTCGGAAATGTTCTCAGGCTCTTCCGCTGCACCCACCAGGGTACCAGAATACCCGAGATCGTGCGCCGGAGGGCCCATCGAGGGTGTCATCTGGGCAGCCCATGCAAAAACACAATGGCGCATCCGTGGTCGCGTGTATATGATTGGGCCGGATATCGAATCAGACGCTGCAAAGCCCGTGCGACAGGCCTTGACAGTGTACATGCGTCGGCAACATCCCGGGAATACAGAGGCAGATGCCGAGGATAGTACCTGGGAATGGGCCAAGGAGCTTACAGCGCATTTTGGAAATTTAAGTCCCGTCATGCGAGGAAGCTTTCGCAACCCGGCGCCTGGTACCCCCGTATCACAGGCTCCAGGTCCCGGCCTCAATCTTGGCCAAAAGGTGGAGAATTTGCACGACGAGATTGCAAGGAGCAACTTTAGGGTTCTCGTAATCGTTCCTGAGCAAGTAGACCAGGTTGACCTGTCTGACCCAGACCGTGGCAGGCGGTGGAGGCATGAGCTGACTGCCAATGGCGACGAGGTGGTTTGGACGACGACGGAGCTCTGGCCGTGAACGAGACCACGTTGCATCCCTTCGAGCCTCGGCATTTGCCGTTTGAACATGTTATTGCGTTGTGGTGCAAGCTTGATTATAGGCAGTATCCTCTATAGCGAGCGACTAGGATAGAAATGTACGGTTATCTGGCTATCCAGCAGAGCCTAGCCTTATTGAACCAAGCCACCGACTCCAGGCGCCAAGAGGATTGCTTGCATGGTCCTGTGGCGTCTGATGAATGACTTGGCATTTGTGCACCACGACGCTGGACATGGGGAACGATTTGCCTAGAACTTGGGCTTGCATATATCCGTGTCCAAAACCTCCGCCCAAGAGGTTGCAGCCATGCGGGTGACAGAAAAATAGCCACACAAATAGTTTGCGCACCGTATAATTTGTAGTATAGTATGAAAAGGAAGAGAGGGTGAATAAAGAATAGTTACCTTAAATAACGTGAAAAGGATAAATGCAATTACAAGGATAAAGAAGACGATAGTGATGAAAAATAATAATAACCAGATTAAGGAACATGATGGTATCACTGACTGGTGGTTTATTTTGTGACCCCGGTGAGCCGGAGCCTAATCTCCCATATATACCGTGCTTTCATGCAGATAATCATTCAATGCGACACACACAGGTTACACAGCGATCCCCCGCGGAAGCATGACGGCTGAGCTGGAAGGGATTGCGATCCCACCATGTTGAGAGTCACTGGGACTCGGTCAAGATGACATGGAATTGAGAGCCAATAGTTGACCACTTGGTAAATACAATATATCTGAGAATAGTATTACCTACATTCAGCTGAGATAGTCGTCCAAAAAACAATACGAGCTGGATCAAGTATGTATTACGACAACCTGGAACCGACATGGGCACGCTGTGCCGTGTCATTTAGCACGCCATACACGAAGCTATTATTGAAATAGGAGCCAGCCCTGGCAATGATGCCGCGGCCACATGGTCAGCAGACAGGTAATCAATAAGCAGCCTGGGCTACCGGAAGTGGAGGCGCATGACCGCGCACGATGTCCAGAATGGCATGCTGTTTCGATTATCAATTTCTTCTTGAAATGGGAGCGTGCTGTGCAGCTGAAGCTGGAAGACGGGGCTCGGCTCAACTTGGCTATTAGTTGCGGTCTGATATTGACATGAACAAGTTGACGCCTCGCCCCGTTGAACAAGTTTTTTGTCCCCCTTGTTTCACTGGGGGGGCCTGGAGCTATGGGTATTACGTTATTATGTGTGGGAATTCCAAGAAGCCAAACATTCTGGCGTGAGATATATCTTGCTCAAACCAAGGGCTTGGCGATCGCGTTGTTTTTTTCTGGCCGCTGCGATCCTTTGTGGATGGACACCCCTCTGCGGGCCGCTGCCTCGTGCCGGATGTACATAGATTCCTAGGTAAAGAAGACGGTGACGGGTGTTGAGTGCCAAGCCTCGAAGTGGCGGCGACGGCGGCGGCGGCGGCGGTGACGTGAGAGTTGAGCGCTTCAGCTTCAGCTGCCGGTGATGGTTCTCTCATTTACGGGTGTAGCCACGGGTCGGGCGGAGACAGCCTCATGCGATCGCTGGGTCGAACTGGTGCATTCGATCGGCCGGATTTAACAAGATGCCTAGGGAGAGAAGGAAGAAGAGAACTAGCTAGCGAGAGCGAATTGAAAGGCGACGTTTCCTTGAGTGGTGGAGGTAACTACAACAGGCTGCCCGAAAGACGTTGGGAGCATTCTCCATCTCCCGGCGCAACCTCCCTTCACCTAACCGGTGGAGGGAGACAGCTGCCGGATGGGACTTGGAAGACGCCAAGTCGGACCGTTCGTTTGATCCCATTCCAAGCATGGAGAGGCAATAATTGTGACAGGGAGGAGCATCGTCGCATGCTTGGCTCGCAGCTGCTGCGCCGGAAATATCCTTCGCCTCTGGGTCAGATGGCCGGAGGCATTCTGCGGGTGCCGGATCGAACCAATATTAGATAGGTTGGAGAAGAGGACCAGGAAGTAGGACCGACGTCGGGCGGATGTCAATTGGTGCAGTAGATGGATCGCAAGCAGAGATGGTAACTATGGGAATGATTGATATTGCCGGACTGCCACTGAGACTGGGGGTGTGGGAAGGAAGGGTGGCAGCGGCAACACGTCACTTTACATTAGTTGTCAGTATTCCATGGGGTTTCCTAACTAGTATTCAATCATGTATTCGTTGATCGAAGGTAGCCATGCAGTTCAATATGTGCGTCGTGGTTCGAAGCGTGCAAGTTACACCGCCAGTTTGCGACGACGCTTCAAGTCGGACGCGTTTCTGGCAGGAGCACGTCGACGAGGAGTATTTTGAAGGCTCTTCCGCCTCATTTCTTGACGAGCGTCTACATGGGGTAGGTAATTAACGTTCGTTAGTGGCCTTTTCGAAAAAAAAAAGACAGATGCTGTTCTGGCGCAAAAATGGTGATGGCTGGCATTGTGGTATCAAGTTGAAGAAGAAGAAGCAAAAAACGACATTTGGGCGTTGACGCTAAATTATAAGAGTAACTACCTAACTAACGGTATAGTTATTGCTGGGGAATCAGAAATCAGCGGTGGTGATAGACTTTTGGAACCCCACTAATTCTTAATAACCGCCTGGTAACGTCCACTGAAAAATCGCCGACTTGCACTGGAACCGTTCAACCTTGAACAAGCGCTCTGTAATTTGTATTGCAGGTACTGATAGTCTGGAAGCGATGAGGCACGAGATGCACCGCCAACCCATGTCGCTGTAGCTAGGCAATCGATAGTTTTTCTTCTTTTTCTTTTTCTTTTGCTTTAATGCCATCCTAATTTTATGCTAATTTGCTTCCAAGACATCTTTTTCTTTGTGCGCTGGTTGGCCTTGGCGCGTACTTCGGTGGGTTTACTCTCACCGTCCATCTCGCCCTCGTCCCTCCACAAAAAAAAAACCTCCCGAGAGCCTTGGGCATTGCCAAAATCTTAAAGAAACAACGCCTCAACGGTCGGGCTACCGGCTCCATCCTCATTCCCCGCCTCTGTTTGCAGCGGCAACACGAGTCTATCTAGTTACTATTACTGCCCACCCTCGATCGAGCTTTCATCAGTCTCTTGTTGGCTACCTAGTTTGACTGCTGGTGATGCGCTCGCCTCCGTCCTCGTACACCGCAGCCCACTATCCGCCGCTACCGCACAGCTGGCTGCTTCCCCTCTAAAATACTACACAATTTTTTTTTTCTTTTTCGGGTTTCAAAACACAAACTTCAGCAACTCGTCCGACAAGTTTGTCGCCATTGCCTTGTGATACGTTCAATTTGGAGTGCCGTCAACTCGTCACGCCCGGGTACTTGCTATCGCCCCCGATCTGAAGCTCGTTGGGCTTCTCCCACCTACAGCCACACACATCCATAGATCATGACCATTGCCTCGTTGCGGACGCTGGTCGCCCAGGTTCCCAGCTGGCAGAGCCGACTCGACCAACTGGTGGCCGACATCCATACGCGACAAGGCGAATTGTCCAAGATCGAAAATGGCACCACGCACGAGCCTACCGCGCCAAACCCGGAACCCGATGCCAAGGACGCGGCCACGAACTCAACTCCTGAACTACATCCGCCTGCCGACAACATGAACATTGACTCGGCTCCTTCAGTCGTCAGCCACCATCAAATAACGCCCTCCATCAGCAATGGACCGGTAGCCAAGAAGAGAAAGCTCGAGCGCGTCTATTTTGACGGCAACATGCAAAAGTTCTTTGAGGAGCTGGTCCACTTCATCGCTGTGAGCAGGAACATGATGCGCAAGGCCAAGATGGCGGCCCGCGTCGCTCAGATCAAGAAAATGGCAGAAGTGGAAGTTGGTGATGATTTCGGCAATGGCATATCTGAACGACCTACCTTGCGCTACATCAGTGCCCGAAGGCTAGATACGCTTGGCACTGCAACCCCCAATGGTGGGCGGGCGGCACGCGAGCCCGACGTCTTTGACGCTCTCGACAAGAATCTCGATACCCTTCAGTCCACCAGCGAGTTGGCCGCCTTTCAGTTTTTGCGGGAAGCCTCCAACAGCAAACACATCAAGACCATTAGCAAGATTCTCAGCAATGTCCTGGAGACGGCCACCAACGAACTGGCCCGTCTCGCGCGCGACGAGCCCGACGTGGTCCGCGAGGCCGACGCCGCCGCCGCTCGCACCAAGCGACCACTGAGCGTGCGTAAGGAGCTCCCCGCCGGGGCACAGCCTGCCGACACGCCGAATAAGCGACAGAACACGGGTCATCTCACCCCATCGACGAGCTTGCCTTCGATAGGACACATGGAAGTTGACCTCGCCGCTCTGCAAAGCGACGAGGCCATGGCACCCCAAGTCGTTCACCTGCCCACAAACGTGCGCGCCTAGCAACCATGCATATTTCCCTCTCATCAGCATGTTTTTGTACAACTCCAAAAAAGATACCACGGTGGCGTTTTCTTTTCTCCGATGACTAGTCGCAGACCTAGTTCTGCATTACGATTGTTTATTTGTTGTTATGATGTCACGACGTATGACTATGCACTGCGAAGCACTGTTACAAATATACAAGAAAAACATCCACAGATTGGATATAAAACTGCTGAAGTGGCACTTGAAAAAGCAAATGCCAGCAGTCTTTGTTTTATGAAATATGATATAAATATAAATCTACATCTTGCTGGTGTCGTAGTTGTCGATCAAGCTCACCCCACCAACCAGCCTGTTGGCCAATCAGTCACTCAGTCACTTAGTAGGAGCGCCTCCACACAAGCTTAGTGGCGTAGGCTGCCAAATGACATGCAACTCCACGTCTGAAGAGCTACACCAACAATTCGACGAATTCCGCCTGGCGACACCCAACGAACACCGCCTTTGACCCGGTCACGGCAGCCAACATGACGTGATAGGGCCTACCCGAAGAATAGAACTAGGAGCTGCTATTTTGCTTCTTCGCTCTCCCTCACAGCCCACAGCCCCCCCTCGACGCCGCCATGGGGCAAGGCTTCTCGCTGGCCACGCCCTCGGCGGGCTCTGCCGGCATCGACATTCCGCAGCTGCAGGACATTCAATACGAACGGAGCATAGGCGATGCGCGGTTTATGAAGAGCATCCGGGCCCGCGATGAGAATGCCGTCGTCCTCGTCAAGATGCTCGTCAAGCCGTTCACTGACGTCAAGCTAGACGAGTACAAGAGGCAAATCATAGGTATACTTGCCGCGACGTCATCTCCTACGGAAGTGAACTGGGCTGACAATTTCACTGCACAGAACAGCGAAAAGCGCTGGCTGCTATCCCCAACGCCCTCGGCTTCCAGCGCGTCATCGAGACGGAGACCAACGGCTACCTCGTCCGCCAGTTCATGTACAGCTCCCTCTACGACCGAATCAGCAACCGGCCGTTCCTCGAGGACATTGAAAAAAAATGGCTCGCTTTTCAGCTGCTCTGCGCGTTGCGCGACTGCCATGCGCGCGACATATACCATGGCGACATCAAGGCCCAAAACGTGCTCGTGACCTCGTGGAACTGGCTCTACCTGACCGACTTTTCGTCCGCCTTCAAGCCCGTGATGCTACCTGACGACAACCCCGGCGACTTCTCGTACTTTTTCGACACCTCGGGCCGACGGACCTGCTATATTGCCCCCGAGCGATTCTACGCCGCTGGAGCCGCCCCGCCCGAGACGGCCAAGATGACGTGGGCAATGGACATCTTCAGCGCGGGCTGCGTCATTGCGCAAATGTTTCTGGAATCGGAGATTTTCAGTCTGGCTCAGCTCTACAAGTACAGAAGAGGGGAATACGATCCCGTCATCACCCATCTCAGCGTCATCTCCGACAAGGACGTACGCGAAATGATTGCCAACATGATACACCTGGACCCTGAGAAGCGCTACTCGGCAGACCAGTGCCTGGATTTCTGGAAAGGCAAAGTCTTTCCCCACTACTTCTACAATTTTCTGCATCAGTACATGGAGCTTGTCACAGACCCCTCGTCAGGCAACAGCCCAATGTCCGGGGCAGAAAAAAATGAAGGCGAATCTGACTACCGCATTGATCGCGTCTACTATGACTTTGACAAGATTTCCTACTTCCTCGGCTATCAATCTGATAAGAGACCACAGAACAATGAGCCTCAACCCCAGTCTAAGCTCGGGTTGTCACATTTTCCAGTGCAGCTGAGCATACCGAATAACGAGCATGCAGTCTCCGCCGATCTGGAACCGCCAGAAGACGATGGAACTCTGATATTTCTGACACTGGTGGTCTCTGCCATGAGAACAACAGCAAGGGCTTCATCGAGAATACGAGCCTGCGACATTCTTCTGGCATTTGCTGAGAGATTGACGGATGAAGCCAAGTTGGACCGCGTCTTGCCTTATTTGATGACACTTCTCAAAAAGGATGAGACGGATCTGGTGGTAGTCTCCGTCATCCGCACTATTACACAGCTTTTGCAATTGGTACACATGGTCACACCAATCAACTCGCACGTAATTGGAGACTATGTGCTTCCGCGCATGGAAGTAGCGCTCGGCTCAAAGACTCACGCCGCAAGTCCCCTTGTGCGCGCTACCTTTGCATCATGCCTGGGCAGCCTTGCCTCCAGCGCTCAGCGATATCTCGAGCTAGCCTCTAGCATACGGCCGGATGGCTCCATGTCCATTGCAGATCCCGAAATCGAGCCCGGTGTAGAAGCAGATACCAATTTTGAAAGCATATTTGACAATGCTGGAAGGCAACTCTTTGAGAAGATCGAGGGTTTCACGAAACAGCTCGTCGAGGACCCCGATGTATACGTGCGACGAGCTTTCCTGTCCTCAGTCCCCGAGCTGTGCATGTTCTTCAAAGAGCAGTCGAATGATGTATTACTGGCGCATCTAAATACCTATCTTAATGATCGAGACTGGACCTTGAAATGCGCCTTCTTCGATACGGTCGTTGGCATCGCTGCTTTTATCGGAAGCGTGAGTCTGGAAGAATTTATGTTGCCCCTGATGCTTCAAGCACTGGCCGACCCCGAAGAATTTGTTGTGCAAGCTGCCATTCATTCCTTGGCGCAACTTGCTGGCCTCGGGCTGCTGTCGAAAGCGAAGCTCTGGGAGTTGCTGGACCTGATCGGGCGCTTCACAATGCACCCTAACATATGGATCCGGGAGTCTGCCGCCGAGTTCATCTCCATGTCAGCGAGCTTTCTCGAGCCTGCCGACGTGCGCTGCTTCTTGCTGCCATTGATCAAACCATACTTGAAGATTGCTCATCTTCCCGACTACAATGAACTGAGCATTCTTGACGCTCTGCAAACGCCGCTGACACGGCCTGTGTTTGACCAGGCAATAACATGGGCTACTCAGACTGACCGCGGACTGTTTTGGAAGTCCTTGCAGCATGTTCGCTCTTTGACCTTTGGGTCTTCGTCCACCTTGACCGTAAGATCCAAGGATTTGATTTCGAGCCAGCTCAGCAAGCCTGACCGCAATGACGAAGACGATCAGTGGCTAGAGAAGCTACGAAACTTGGGATTGAAGCCAGAAGATGACATCAAATTGCTGGCTTTGCGGGAATTCATCTGGAAGCTTAGCACCATGCGAGGTCGGGATTCATCTCCAGCAGAGCCCAATATATCTATGGGATTGATCTCGTTGAAGGACCTAGGCGTCACCCCACAAACAGTCTTTTTCAATGACACGCCACTAATGGATCCTTCCCTCGCTCCGGATTTGGAGCCCCCGTCTGCGCAATACACTATTGCGGATGCGCTGTTGGACGCCTCCATGACCATTGATGACTCTCTCACGAAGAAAAGAAGGACGACAAATGTGCATAAGAATAGAGTTCAAAGTGTCGGCCCTCGAAGTGGTCGTATTCTGTCACCTGATGGAAGTGGCCGGGCCAGCTCCCACCACTCCCGCGTGCCATCGACAGGCTCTCGAGATGACGCGTCTGTTAGTGAAGGATCCTATGCACTGAGACGTGCAATGCGCCACCAATCCAGTGCACTTAGCCTCCTTGACCGCAAAGACGGGGGTAAATCGATTCCCGAAACTGGTACCAGCGATGCCAATGCCTTCGGCGAGATGGAGGGCCCATTCACACAAATGGCTCTCACACCACCACCGGCTGCAGGGAAGAACGCAGTGCAGCCGGCAAAGCAACCGAAACACAGTTATGCAGGCAATGACCCAAGCATCCAGTTTATGCTTGACAGCATGTATGTCGACAACTTCCCTCGGGATGTTCTTGAGTTTGGTCCAATGGTCGAGCCCATCTCTAGAAGAAAGAATAGAGCCCTTCGCACGCAGACAACCGAAGAGCGCTGGAAACCGCAAGGACACCTAGTGGCCACCTTTGGAGAACATAGAGGCGCCATCAATCGCATTGCCGTCTCCCCGGATGACATGTTCTTCGTGACTGGTGGCGATGATGGAACTGTCAAGGTTTGGGACACGGCCCGATTGGAGCGCAACATTACGCATCGATCAAGGCAGACACACAAGCATTCTGATGGGGCACGCGTGATTGGACTGTGCTTTATTGAGAACTCGCACTGCTTTGTTAGCTGTGCTAGTGACGGCGACGTCCATGTTGTCAAGGTGGACACCGTCTTGACAAGTGGTGTCATTAGATATGGCAAGCTCAGGGTTTTGCGTGACTATCGTCTACCCGAAGGAGAATATGCTGTCTGGTGTGAGCACTTCAGACAGGAGACCAACTCTGTTCTTATTTTGGCGACGAATAAGTCGAGAATTATCGGTATTGATTTGCGAAGCATGACGCTGCTCTACGTGTTGGAAAATCCAGTTCACCACGGCGCACCGACGTGCTTCTGTGTTGATAGGAGACGACACTGGCTATGCGTCGGTACATCGAATGGTATCATAGACCTCTGGGACTTGCGGTTCAAGACGCGACTGAGGGCCATGGGTGTTCCCGGAAAGAGTGCGATATACCGTATCTGCATACATCCGGCAAGAGGTCGTGGAAAGTGGGTATGCATCTCTGGCGGTGCTGAACATGGTGAAATTACGACATGGGATCTTGAGAAGACAACTTGTCGTGAGATTTACAGAACTGGGGCGGTCAAGGATGGTGCGAAAGGATATACAGCGTGGGACGTGGACAAGGAAAAGCCCGAAGGGCTTCTCTCGCGCTTTGCCATGAATCTTGATCTAGCTGATTCTGCCAATACCGATCGTGGGGTCCGCGCCATTGCCGCGGGCATTTCCACTGGAGAGGATTCGCGCGATATTCGTCACGCTTTCATCGTGAGTGGCGGCTCAGACAGGAAGATGCGCTTCTGGGACATTTCGCGCGCCGAGAACTCGAGCATCTTCAGCGGGCTACAGCCTGACGAGGCACAGCCGACGTACTCAGCCACGCACCCGACGACATCGATGACGCTCAATACGGAGCGCTTTGCAAAACAGAACAACACGGTGGCGACAGGTGCGGGTGCGGGTGCGGGTGCGGGTGCGGGTGCCAGCGGCCGGTCAAAGACGACGGTCAACGGCCGGCCGGCGAGATCTACAGTGATTTCGCTGCAGCAGCAGCAGCTCTTGCAGTCGCACTTGGACTCCATTCAGGATGTGGCGTTGCTCGAGTACCCGTATACGATGAGCGTATCTGTGGATAGATCGGGAATGGTTCTTGTGTTTCACTAGAAGATGAGAAAAGCACACTCATACAGGGCTGTCATATGGAATAATCGAATATAGAAGATCAATGATACAATGGAACAAATATAGAAATAGCAATGATACAAGAAACTGGCCTCGACAAGTCCCGAGGGAGCAGACCGACGAGGAGATGATATTGCTTGTCAGGTAGCGATGCAATGAGGGATGAATGTACTGCGTTGTTGATACTTGATATTTCGTCAGCTATATATATACTCTAGCATACTGATCTGTATATCTTCTTCCACAATGGCCACTGGCTGGAGCTATCGTCGCTGTAGAAGCTCATTACTTGGTGGCGCGAGAAGCTCCGGCCCGTGTCAATATCCATGGCCGCGAGCGAAATGGGTTTGGTCTTGAACCACAGCTTGTGGACCAGGTAAAAGACAATGATGACTGGCGCCGTCAAAGTCTTTTGGAAAAAATTGTGGGTGACTTGCGAGGCGGTCATGGGAGCGGTGGAGGCGCGCACCGGCGATACTGCCATCCAGAACTGAGCCGCAAGTACAAAGGCGTTTGCGATGATGGCGACCCAGGAGCCGATGACGCCGGCCTGCGACTTGTAGGGTAGCTGGTTCAAGGTGTTGCCGGCGGCGGCCCAGGCCTTGCGAAAGCGAATGTGACTCAGACAGATGCTCGTCCAGGTGAAGAGGCTCGACAGGCCACAGATGCTGAGCAGCCAGTCAAAGATGGCGACGTGCAGCTTCACGTCAACTAGGTAGGCGAGTAGGCCGAGGCTTAGGGCAAAGACGATGGCGACGAGCGGCCTGCCCTTGCGGTCGACGTAGCTAAAGATGCGCGGGGCGTGGGACTGCTCGGCCAGGGCGGCCAGGACGCGTGAGGAGCCAAAGACGGCCGAGTTGCCGACGCTCAGGACGGCGAGGAGGATGACGGCGTTCATGACGCTGGGGAGGACGGTGGCGCCGACGCTCTCGACGGCGAGCACAAAGGGGCTCGCCGAGGCGTCGACGGACGAGGTACCGCCGAGCAGGCGCGGGTCGTCGTAGGGCACGAGCAGGCTGACGAGGAAGAGGGCGACGATGTAGAAGATGGCGATGCGCCAAAAGACCTGCTTGATGGCGCTGGGCAGCGTCTTGCGCGGATTGGCGGCCTCGGCAGCGGCGAGGCCGACGAGCTCGGTGCCGACAAAGGAAAAGGACGACGTGACGAGCACGCTGCAGAAGCCCTTGAAGCCGTGGTTGGTCGGCCCGGGGTTGACCCAGTACCGGGCGCCGATGTACCCGGAGTCGGGGGTGCCGCCAATGTTGACGACGATGCCGAGGAGGCTGCGAGAGGGATCGTGTTGGTCATGTTTTCTTGTGCGGCTGGAGGACACAACGGAGAGAGTGAAAGGATACAAGCAAAGGGAATTCGAGACTTACATGAAACCGACAATGGCAGTCACTTTAATGGTGGAAAGGACAAACTCGGCCTCGCCATAGCCCTTGATGCCGACGAGGTTGACAATGGCGATGAATACGAGAAAAACGGTGACAAAGATGGCCTTGCTCAGCTGGTCATTCCAATACTGTATTGTCAAGGCGCCGGCGATGATCTCGAGGGGGAGGCCAAACAGCCATTGAAAGGCGTAGCTACATTGTTTCAAACCCATCAGCTTGGCGGTTAACACGCGGAAGAAGAAGAAGGAAAGCAGACGAGACAACAACGTACTTCCAGCCCATGGCGAAGCCCCAGGATGGATCCAGGAAGCGTGTGGAAAAGACGGAAAAGGAGCCGGCGACGGGGAAGGCGACGGCGAGCTCGCCGAGGCTCTGCATGATGCAGAACTGAATCATGCCGACAAAGAGGTAGGCGAGAATCATCGAGGCAGGGCCGCTCTGGAAGAGGGCCATGCCGGAAGCGACAAAGAGACCGGTGCCTAGGGATGAAGAGTGTTGGCGAGAGTCAAGGAGGGTTCAAGGAGGGGAGGTCAAGACGGAGACTGACGCCGGCGGTCAAGTAGGAAATTGAAGGAGGGAAAAAAAGTAGAAAAAAAAAGAAAAAAAAAAGTACCAATAGAGCCCCCAATAGCAATCATCTGCAGATGCCGCCCCTTGAGCTCCCTCGACAGGCCGGTCGAGACAGTTCTCGCGCTGGCCATGCGGACGTCGTAGTGCCGCTCGTGCTCGTTGTACGCGACGTCGGGCCACGGATGCTGCCCGCGGTGGTGGTGGTGGAAGCCCTTTTGGCCCGGCAGCTTGGCGCCGGGCGCGCGCTTGAAGCTGTCGACGAACCGCCGGGACAGGGTCTCGTCGCGGCCGTCGTCATCGTCGGCGGCGCCGAGCGGGCCGGCGGTCGTGACGGCGTATGATGAGTTGGCGGCGGCAAACGGCGGGCGGCCCCCCGTGGCGGCGCCGCCGCCGCCACCGCGCCGGCTCGACTCGGACAGGTCGCTCATCTCGACGACTTCAAAGTCCCGCGTCATGGTGATGCCGTTCTTGAGCGACCTCGCTCCGTCCGAGTCGCTGCTGGGCGTCATGCTGGGGGTTTTCACAAAGGGATTGGGAAGCGTTCGTGTTTTTTGTTGTTACTGTTTTTTTTTTTCCGCCAGGCATTAGAAAAGCCTGGGGAGCCGGGTAGAAGAAGTTTGTTAAATGAAAGAGAGACGGGTTATGGATCGGGGCAGCATCACCCCATGAGTGCGAGACGGCGAGATCAATCGGACGATTTGGGTAGGGCGGAAATGGAGGGTTGTTGGACTGGGAAACTGCTGACCAACACGACTACAGTCTACGGATAAGTTGGGATGAGGGGGAATATATCAGGGCTCGCTCCAATTACGGCAAATGAAGAGAGTGAACCCGCGAGTAATGCAGTCTTTTGACTTTTGGGTTTTGTTTGAGATTTTTGTAGGTTGGAGGGCCAATGTCCACTGACATGACAGACCCCGAAACCGGGCAGCGGGAGCTAGGATTATGCTCCGCTTCGTTGGACAAAGTTTATGGGGGAATGGGCCTTTTTATTTATTTAAACATTTATTTGATTAATCGTTTACATGTATTCCCTCGTATGACGCAAAACGGGGTACGATCTGCGCCTTGCAGCTGGAGAAATGCACGGGGGCACGGACGAGTTGTTTACCGAGCTGGCTGTTGATGCAAAGCCGTCTTGTTTTTGGTTCCGAAGCACACCCTCTTTCTTTGCTCTTTTATTTGCAAGGGCCGATTACGGAGTTGCCTCTTGTGGTTGAAACAAACCTTGAGGGAAATCGATCGAGATGAAATTAAAATCACCTTTGGTGTACATGTACATTAGAGTTGAGTTCAACGCCTCGGTCGGAACAGTCTGTGTGCTTCTAGAAGGTCTTTGGCGGCGCGGTGGCTTGCTGACCTGACTTTCGGGAAATAATTAGCGCCAGAAGGCTTGACACTGAACAACTTGACATTTGACACCTTCTACGCCTCTTCTTCCCCACGGACTTGAATGTGGATTCAAGGTTATATCGACGAGGTGGAAGTGAGTACGGATACAGTTCGGTGGAGTGAGTATGACGCCAGCAGGACTGGATGGAGCATCGTCGCGGTTTGTCCAGTAATAGTAGAGTGGGAGTAGGCATTACAATTAGTATTATTATCATCTAGAGTCAAGGCCGCCACCTCTCCCCTCCCCTCCCCCTCCTGCATGAGACATTTTCAGGTGGAACATGGCGTCGACCAGGGGTACACCCACAGTCTTCTCTTCTTCTCTTTGCCGGCATGCGTCTGCATCATGCTCTGTACCTTTATTACAATGTAGAGACACATGCAGGCTGTGGCGCAGCGGAATGGACGAGGAGAATTCGACATTGGTCACCCGTAGTTGCTTGAGAGTGACTTTGGTTCCTCGTAGTTGCTTCAGAGTGCCTTTGATTATTTACTTGTACCGAAAATCTGAGTCCAAGTACGGATATGTACATAGGTGCATCACCATCGCTGCCCTTGAATCGCTAGCTTCGTTTTACAGTCACCAAGGCGCTTGTTCCTTGTCTCAGTTCCATCTACAGGTATTCCATTGCTCAGTCTTGTACCGTCATATGTTTTTGGAATAAGATAATAATATATTCTAGTAAAAAAGGTAGTACAAAAATAATAGTAAAAAAAGTACAAGCCGGTAGCAATGAGGCGCTATAGTATCACCATTATGTTGAAAACCCGCCAGAGCCTGCTACAACTGCTGCAGGAGGCACCTTTGGGCTAGGCATATCCAATGCTGTTATCGCGCCCCGGGAATATGACCTCTCCTGTCTAATGAGAGAATCATGACTCGCCGTAGGGCTGGGTCCCCGGATGTTGCCAGAGGAATGGGACGAATGTCTATTCATCTTGCGTATAGACTCTCTTCGCGGACGGGCGCCCAAGTCATCGAGCCACTCATCACTATCTGTCCCGCGCACCGCTTTCTGCTGCGACTTGCCGCGCTCCAGGTCCTCCCAGGTCGCGCCCGTCGTCACGCCGTGGCCGCCGCCGCGAGACGTAGTGCCGCTGCTGTGGTAGCCCGGGCGGAACTTTGTCTTTTTCGCGCCGCTGTCGCGCAGGAACGAGCCCAGGGCGACAATGTTTGCCACGACGGTAGCGGCCAGAATCTCAATCGACGCCCACATGGAGCGGAATGTCTGGTCGCCCTGGACCCGGATGATCTTGGGGACCCGGAAGAGCGTGATGGCGACGGTGAGGAAGCCAAAGCAAAAGAGCATGACGAGGAGCACCTTGCGCTGCGTCGGAAGGCGTGTCGAGAGAATAATAGGCACCGGAAAGACGATTAAGATGATGTCAATCACGGCGCTGGCGGCGCCCATGGCCATGAGCTGCACGAAGCCTTGCCGGCACTGGCCACCCGGATCGGGCGTTACCTGCCAGTATTTGGTAATGGGGTGGCACTCTGCAAGGTCGGTAATGAGGACAGCGATAAAGGTCACGCCAAGAGTATATCGAAGGAACATGGTCAGGCGTAGATATATCTTTTTCATGGATGCGCCGGCCAGGCGAGTCAGGAATTCGAGGGTGGTGAGTTTGAGCATCCATAGCCTACCACCATGTTAATAGGCATCTGGTACTGTTTTTTGCAAACAAACAACGTACGTAGCAGCATAAAACACTCTGCCGGCAAGCACAACTCGACTGCCAGTCTCTCGATGCGAGCGCTCGGCCTCTGAAAGCGTCGTGTCGCCGAGCGCAACGTTGTTGGTGCCCCAGAGCAGTACGATGTGAATGCAGGCGATGCGCAGAAACAGCGGCACGAGAGCCAGCGCGACAATCTTGTCTTCGCGAAACAGCTTCTCGACGCGAATATACCGACCGGCCAGCCGTAGCAGAATGATGCAGGTGCAAAACAGCGTAATCCACCACGACACCAGCAAGGTCGGCTTCGCCTCGCTAAACGGCCGTCTCTGCGGCGGGTCAGAGTAAAGCATGACAATGAACGAGGACAGCGAGGAGAAATAAGGACATTATTCAGAGGGCCATGTGCCAGTGTATATGGCAGGAGAGGATCATCCCATGTGATGGGAGAGAGAAGACGGAGCAGAGGGTATGTAGACGAACGATCTGGGGGGGGACTGATAAAGTCAGGGCAAGTGTATACTTTTGTTGGAGAGGGACAAGATATGAGCAGCCACAAGCACTTTGCTTGTACGAACACGTTGTTTCCGCGGTGCACAGGACCAAGCCATGCAGCCAGCCCCCATTTGGCCAGCTAACGAGTTTGTACAGCCGCGGGCCGCTTGGCAGAGAGAGAGCAGCATGCATGAAGAGTCCATATCGGGCGAGCTACTAGTTTCTGGGCTGTCAGTGGTCATACACAGTCCATACGAAGTACAGAAGCTCCGAGGGGAGTTGCGGGAGTTCCCCGCCGCCTCAGGCGCCTCGCTAGCACACCAACCTGTGGCAAACGTGGTTTGACCAGGATCATGACAGAGCAAGCCTTGCCTTTATCCAGCGCGCCAGTGTCCAGGGCTCGTGATGGCGTGAGTATGTATCAGTCAGTATTCATATCCGTTTCTTCCTAGAGGAAGGGCTAGAGCCTAGCATAGAAGCTCGGCTTGCAGGCGGCGTCTTTGGCGGCCGCTTGTTGGCTGATTCCGTCGCGCCCCCTCCCCTTGTAACTGTGCCCCCGCGAGGCTTGATTGGGGTGGCTTGCAGATGGCGGAAATTTGGTTCAGACGGCCCTGTTCCAACAAGTGTGCCAGCCTGCCTCGTTTGATTGTGACGCTGAGTTATCGGTATGATCCGTTTGCGACGAGGTACACGTTTGCCAGCACTTTGCAGCTACGCCGGACGGGGACGGGGACGGGGACGATGCTGCCCTCTTCGCGTCGCATCCCGAAACCGCCTCGACCCCTTTCTCTCTCGTGGCTCGTCTCTCAGCCCGGTCCCAACGGCCACAGGATCATGTCATGCCGATATTCTGAACATGGTCCGGGGTTCGACTGAGCCGAGAAAAAAAAAGAGGTTGGAACGATGGAACAGAACCGAGGACGACAACACACCACATCGATCTCGTGTTTGTGTGTCTTGGATGTTGGTGGATTCTGTGGAGGCGGGGCGGCCACGATAAAAACTAGTCGGCACGCCAGGGGTCATTGAAGAAAGCCGAGGAAATGAACAAAAAATAAATAGATTAAGACAAGAGCTGGTGGACCTGTTGATCATCTCTGTGTCTAACTATGTACATACTTTTATTTTAGTACTCGGTAGATTTGAGTGATTTTTCTCATCATTATTGTCATCGTCACCCGGGCATTTTCGTACACCCTTGACCCCTGAAAGGAAGGCTGGAATGAATGGTCCAAGCATAGACTGACCCATCTGCTACCCTGTATACCAACTGACTGGCCTACAAACAAATCATTCCTACCGATACTACATTTGACAAGGAGAGGGGTAAACAGGACAAAGAAAAGAAAAGCACCATTATTGCAGTGAAGCCCGATGAAACCACAAGTGCCTTGTAGACGCCGATTTCGCAGCCTTGGCGGGCCAGCTGTCGCGGATTCATCTCGCATCTCGCATATCGCATGTCGCATAGTTATAGTTATCGCATCATGTTCGACTTTGCTATCGCATTGAATTGGACGCCGGCGCACAAACGAGTTCCCTGTCCCTCCCGCCTAATAAAATCATGATACTCGTTCGTTGCCTGCATACTGGTACATTCAGTACTTCACCACCACACCCCTTACACAATGCCCTTGTGAAAAATGTACTGTCTTTTGAATGCACACTTGCTAGCCTAAACTCGCTTGAAACTCGCTGAGCCTAATCATGGTTCGATGCAAGCGTAGTCGATACCTTACTTTCAGCAAAACCCGTCGGCTAATAATATATAATATCTCCTTCTTGTTTGTGCACCACCTGCCCTCGAAACTTGAATGTCAAGTGCCGCTGCAGTTGTTCCCCTTCTTCGCAACGACAAACATCACACAAACCACTCAAGAATTCTATGTAAACCATTGCGCATTCTATCTTCTTCTATTCCTCATATAATCATTCGACCCGTATTTCCCTTGTCAAGTCGCTTGCACGACACCTATTTGTCCTCGTGGGCTTAACCCCAGCCAAAAGTTTCTTCAAAGCACAACACCAACGCCAATACGAAACCATGTTCAAATGTATTGGGATGCATCTTGCTTTGGCGTGCATACTTCGCTGCCGTCTGCGAGTTCAATTTCGCTATGAAAAGGATGCGCCATGTCTGTCATGTCGAGGACAATCGGCTCCTTGGCGGCCGGCGCTTTCAGTTCCAGTGCAACGTCATCCGCAAACAGTTTATCATTCTCTTCAAAGTCAAACGCTTCTGACAGATTCACTGCGAGAAACGTCTTTGGCAATTTGACCCTGCATTTCCTAATTAGTCAATCGTCTTGCAACTTAATCCTCATCTGTACTTACTGAGTAAATTTGGCCCGCAGCGTCTTGATGACTTGCAGCCAGTCTTGATGAGCCGTCAAACTACGCCTCGGCGCGCACCCAATGCAGTGCCGGCTATCAAGCTGCACATGCAACGGGTCAAACACATGACACCCGGGACTGATGGTAATTCGGATGCTGTATGTGAAGGCGGGTTCGTCGCTAGGCGCACTTCCAGCAGCCGGTGCTACTTCCGACTCGTACAGCTCAAAGCAAATTTGAGACAGATAATCCAGTTCAGGGATGGTGCTGCGCTGGATTTTCGTCTCAATACCGCCTTCAATGATGCAATTGAGAAGCGTGTAAATATGAGATTCCTTTGTAAAATAGAAGAAGGACTTGGCGTCATTAGAAGCCTGCATCTCCTCTAGATCGTGAACAATCTCTTTCAACAGCGGTAGTGAGGTCAAGAGACCAATCTCAAGCTTCTCGCTGTCTGAGATACCGTACTCCTGAGGGCAAATAAAATCAAACAAAACTTTCGCCAGTCTGTAAAGTTCTTGGAGAGGCTCGTGGCGAGGATCAGGTTTTGCGGCGGTTTGGCTGGTGCCTTTGTACAACCGAAAGTACTGCTCAGGCTGCGACTCATCATTGGATCCTCGAATGTTGTTGATAAAAGAACGTCGGCGAAACAACTTTCGCACAGAGCGGTTGTTCTGATCTGACTTGTCAGAATTGTCCGAGTTGGCGCCTTTTGGGTCCTCGGAAGCTTTGCTGTCCTTGGGCTCTACTCCTTCCTTGGTTCGCTCTTTGGTGCCATATTCTTCTTCCAGCATGCCCTTTGGAGGAGTAAATACCCATTCAAGAAACTGCCGGTTGTGCAAAGCATCAAACTTCATCGTGTCATAAAGCTCAGAGATCTTGCTGGGGTCTACTTTTTCTCCGTCGCAGAATTCAGCAAAGAGCTTCTCCCACCGCTCACGGAATAGTTCAGCATCTTCACCCGAGCACCATCTGGACTGGATGCTGGTCACAGCATTTGCATGCGAAAGTGCCGAAGAAATAGACGTGCTAGAGCTTTCTCCATTGAGCTTTTCAGTGCTGGGATTGGAAATGGCACCGAGGGAAGTGGCTGCGCCACTGTAGAGCTTGCCATAGTTGTACTGCATGACACGTCGATGAAAGTTCATCAGCTGCACCACTCTTGTTTGAACCTCGGAAGGCTCGGGCATGTTCTCAGGCCACGCAAACTGTTCAGGCCGTTCATTGCCCTTGCGAAGCAAGCCCTTGAGCTTCTTTTTCACCTTGTCTGTTTCATCCTTAGCAGCATTGGAGTCATCCAGCAAGTCTTTCCGAACAGTGATGAAGTCTTCCGGCAATTCCTTCTGCCCAAGGAAAGACGCCGCCCAGATCTGTGCGCTCGCAGTAACACGTCTTTCGGAGCTGCTGAAAACATGCACCTCATCTAGGATATCTCTGTTCATGAGCATAAGATCATTGCGCATGTTTTCCCCCAATTCCTGGGCCTGATATCGAGCCGAATGAGTAGGCTCGCCACCCCATTTGATGATGAGCTGCAGTTTGTCAAGCACTAGGCTTTCCTCAGCAGCTGTAAACTTGGACATGGTAACTCCGGATAGGGAGTCGTGCCTGCGCGGCGACACGCGGCGACTTCCATCCTCGGTCACATTGTCAGATTCACCCTGAACAGCACTTTCTTCCTCTTCCTTGACATTTGGAAGACCTTTGGCAGACGGATCCGTCTTCCTTTTACGGAACATGGGCTTGATCTGAACCTTTGTACCGGCCCAGCTGCCTTTCTTGACGAGCACGTTCCTCAAGGATTTGAGTTTTCCGCGATCTTCAACACCCTGTTCAAAGGCAAAGTCAACAGCCTGCATGACACTGGCCAAAGCAGCTTCGCCTATGAGTAGAACCTCTTCCTGGTGGCCTTTCAAGAGAGCGATAAACGGCTCCGTGTGAAATGTGAACTTGTACTTTTGTTTCGGAGTTCTGTCAGCATGTCGAATTACAGAAATCATTCCCTTCAGCTTCCACGAGTGTTTCGGCGGAGGGACAGCAGGAGTACCCTCGTCAATGGGAGCCTGGTGACCAGCAGTCGTCGCAGTCGCCGCAGTGGCAACAGTCGTTGTAGACTTGACAGACGCCGGTGCTGAAGACGTCGGTGCTATAGACGCCGGTGCTGGAAGGGCCAGTTCTGGCGCAGGGGGAGGGAGGGAAAGGCTTGCTACTGAGCTTTGAAGTGCTGTTGCAAGCGCACTGTCGGAAATTGGAATCATTGCAGTGAGACTTGAAGCCGCCCCTGATGAATCCACGGATTCTGGCTCGCCAGTGCCAGTTGGGGTGGGAGAAGCAGTGATGGCTTGTGATGTATTGGCAGTCTGAAACTCCTTCTCCTTGAGCGACCCCGTTGTTCTTGACATAGAATCAAAATCTGATGCGGTAGGCGATGGCAAAGGGGGTGTGAGAGACACTCGTCGGAGTTTTTCCTTGATGAACATCTCCTTCAAGATGCTGGCACAATGCTCGTAATAATCCTCATTGTCTTTCACAAAGCTCCAGCCATTGACGTCGATCACATAGCTTTTGCCAGCAGCGCGAAGAAGGTCAAATCCACAAACGCGCTGACCAAACGCAGTTGAAATTTTGCCTGCCACGTCTGTTTCTTCGGTGCTCAAGGCCGTGACATATCTCAACTCCTTCCCGTGAGTGTTGCGTCTCACAATACCGTCCACGACAGGCGACTTGCGTGTCTCGGCATGGCAGAAATTCGGGCCCACAGTGTATGCTTTGACGTCTTCGGCGTTATCGACTTGCATAAAGCTTTCATAAACGTAGCTGTTTTCTGGTTCACTGATACAGCGAGGCGTGTTCAGATCGGCAACAAAATCGGAGCTCTTGTTGCCAATTTTGCGGAATAGTTTTCTCGCACCACCTCCAGCACTTTTGGGGAAGTAGATGATGACATTATGGTCTTCTGCGCTGGTTGGTTTTTCGACAAACGGTTTGCGCAACACGGCACCATCAACGCTAAGAGCGTCGCCGTCCTCAATTAGCTCAACCTTGCTTGGAACCGACAATTTTGTTGGGTCCACAGGGTCAAGAGTAACCCCGGATACTTCTTTGATATACTTTGCCACGTCTGGTGTAAGAAGGCTAGGGCCACCGTCGCGGGTAACCTCAAGACGTTGAGGCGTGCGGACGTTGATTTTATCAAGAAGACGCAGGCAAATACGCCTGTCCCACAGGATCTGCTGCATGGGCACATCGTTGACGCAGAATGGCTTTCTAGCCTTGACATAGGCGATTGCCTTTTCGAGTGGAAAGCCATCGGAATAAAACGAAATCAAATAGTCGCTAAATAATGTTAGCAGACGTTGTCTTGGAAATAGGATGTCTTGGTTGGTCGGTGCGTGGCGAGTAGCTAGGCCTGATAGGCTGACCGAGATGACTGCATCGCGTAGACTTACCAAATTGGCCAATTTTCGACCTCTGTCTTGCGTGTTAGTATAAAAGGCCAGCGCGCCCCAGCGTGGTTTAAACTGACCTTCATCCAGGATGACCTTGTCACCAAATACCACCACGTCGAATTCGCGATTGGCAATGATGCGATTCAAAATATTGCGGCTCGGCTTGCTGCGCGCCTTGATATCTAGGGCACAGATGCCAATGACGCCCCACTGCGCTGGTTTGGCTAGGGATGGAGTTGGTCAAAGGTTGGTAGAGAAATTTCGCGGTGTACTGACCTTCTTCTCTGTAGTGATGGTTACCCCTGTCACTGCTGGGACTGTGGCTGCTGTTGGCAGTGCTGCCACTGAAGCGTCGCTTTACCCTGCTGCGGGACCGGTCTGGCTGCGACCGCATTGTCTCGGCTCGCTGAGTACGTCGGATGAGGTCGAGCGGCTGCGGGTGAGGGTCTCGGGGTGTCAGCTGAGGCCCGGCAGGACCAGTGGCTTGTGTGTTGGAAGACGTCGTGACGGTGACATTGGAGACACCGCTTTCTGACTGGCCGGAGCCGGAGCCCTTGGCGGTCGACATCAGACTTGCGGAAGCGGAGCGTGCGGTAGCTCCCTTGTCAGTGCTGTGGGCAGGAGAATTTGCGATGCCTCTGGCAGAGGCCAGCGAATATATCGAACTGTTGGAAAGACGGCGGGAATCAGACTCGCACCAAGAAGACCTCAGCGTAGAAGAAGCCGGAGCAGTGGCGACAGTAGTATTGAGGCTTGCTGGGTTGTCGATGGTGGCGAGACGGGTTCGCTGGGCGTCCGCGTCGTGGTCGGATCTGGGCGCAGGACTGTCGTCTGTGGAAGTGGCAGAAGTGGCGGATTGGCGGCGAGAACGTGCAAGAAGAGCTCGTGTGCTCATTAGCTGAATTGAGCTGTGCGTGTTTGTGGGCAGGCTGGCTCTCTCGGGGTGGATGTCGGAGGTGCCTGGCTCTGCATGCCGGCTCCTGGTATTAGTGACGGAGCCAATGACAGCCGGGATGGAGACACTGCGAGCGTGGCGGCGGTGGTTGGAGTCGAGTGAAGCCACCGATACAGACGAGTCCAGGTTGAGGTTGTCCGTGTTGACGAAGGCAGACGAGGAAAGCGTCGTCGAGGATGGCAGAGCTTTGGACCCGTTTACGGACCCCGTGGTGGTAAAATTCAGAGGCTCCATGGTGAAGCGAAGCAGTCCGACCGGTTTGGGAGGTCACGCTAACACTACCGAAATCTGGAGCCACCGCTGGGCACTGGCCAGACAAACCGGGCGTAGCCAAAATGAAAAAAAACCTAATTACTGGCCTCGGCCAACGCCGTGCAGAACTTGCTGGCGAGTGCGCTTGTCGCCTCGTGACATGTGCAGATTGCGAGGGCAGAAAGCTGTCCAAGATAGGTAGGTAGCCACTAACGTAGTCTCGCTCGCTACCACGTTGTCGGCGTCGGCGAGCAGGCCCCGGTCGTCCTGCAGTAGTCGATGTCTGGTGATGGAAGTATTCTCAGACAGGGCAGAGTGCTTAGGTATCAGAAAGTGCCACCTGCAGCATCAGATGGAGCCCCGGCTCAGCGCCATTCAGCCCTTGAGGATCGACTCTGCGTGATGCGCGATGGGCTCGTAGATGCACCGCCTGCGGGGAAGCTTGGGCAGAAACGGGGACAACGGCGCTATTATAGGTACCAGTAGGTTCATGGCGGTGTAATCGTGGGTAGCTAAGCGCCTTGAATACCATCTGCCTCACGTCGAGGAAGCCTGAGGCGGCCGTCGGCTGTGCGCGGCGTTGTGGCATCACCTAGGTAGGTATGCATCACGGGTACGGGCTTGGATGCTCGCATTCTGCAAACTTGCAGGACAGAGGCCATGGCTGCAAACAGGCATAAGACAGCTGGCAGCTGGCAGCTGGCAACGCGGCGGCCGACTAAGGTACCTGGTATTGCGCAACTGGCAGCGCACTCTAAGAAGAGAGAACGCAGATGAAAGACGCCAGTAATGGCACTATTGTATTTTTTTAACATGATATCCGATCTCGTCAACATCTAATACACCTTTCTCGTTTTTCCCATGAAATTGTCACCACCGCCAGAACTCACTCACTGTCTCACAGCTGAGTAGCTCACACCCATGCCACCGTGTGGAACCAAGGCGGTCTAGGTGGGGCAGAAACGGCAGAAAATGGCAATTCTCAACACCGCCAAAAATTTCTTGATGATGCTACTGGCGCCAGCAAAACTTCGGAGCGACGAGGCACGACGATTCTGACACAGGGACTCGCACGGGACCATGACACAATCCAATACAGATGGACCGCTGGCGAAGCGTCAGAGAGTCGCCGCCCCTACTTCTGTCTCTAAAGCGCCTACGAATGCTTCGCGCATCTTCGCCCCGTTCCGCGTACGTATCGTATCATTCCGAAACCTTTAAATATTTGCTAATTGACCGCGTTGATATAGACTGTCGGCTTGGTATCACCTACTAGTGTGCCATTTACATCGATTCCACTCGGCAAAACGTCATTCCAGATTACAACCTCGGTCGGCAGAGCCCTTCAAACGTATGACCTGAAGCGCGGTCTCAATCTGGTCTTTGTTACAAGACCCGAAACCCCTGCCGTCATTACCGCCACCTTTGCCTGGAAAGAAAAAGTGTTTGCTGCGTGGGGTGGAGGAGACGATGACGACTTGAAGGGTATCTGGGTCTTCCAAAGAGGCAAAAAGACCGACGAACTTGCACTCCCCGACGACCTTGACGAGCCGATTCAGCAGCTCCTGATTTTCGGGACATGGCTAGTTGCTTGCGCCTCGACAAGAATCGAAATCTTCAAATCGGTGACGCTTGAGCACTACACTACTATTCATACCATGGCCGCAGCCAACAAGGAGAATGAAATCACTGGAGGTGTGACTATGATGCCTACTCTCCTGAACAAGATTTTTGTTGGTCGCAAGGATGGTTGGGTTGAAATCTGGAATGTCAGCACGGGAAAGCTTATTTACACCATTTTGCCCCAAATTTCCGACGCTGGATGCGTTACCTGCCTCGAGCCCAGTCCGGCGCTTTCTCTCCTCGCCATAGCTTATTCGTCCGGCGCCTTAGTGGTGACCAATGTTCTTACCGACAAGCCTCTACTCCAATTAGAAGCGGGGAACCCGGATGCGCCAATTACCTCCATCTCCTTTCGCACTGATGGCGTAGGTGCTGGCACGGATGGGCGCAAGGATGGCGTCATGGCAACTACAACCACCGCTACGGGCGATGTCACGTTCTGGGATCTTAACGGCGGTGGTCGGGTCATGAGTGTCCTTCGAAGTGCACATAACCCTCCCACACACGACGGATCAGCTGTCAGAGGAGGTATCAGCAAGGTTGAATTCCTTCCTGGCCAACCAGTGATTCTCACCAGCGGTCGAGATAATTCTCTGAAATCCTGGATCTTTGATGCCAGCCCATTCTCGCCTGTTCCTAGAGTCCTACACTCGCGCAGCGGTCATTCTGGACCTGTCAATTGCCTAACTTTCCTGCCGTCCGACTTTGACGGTGCTGAAGCTGGCAACAAATGGCTGCTAAGTGGTGGCCGTGATAGGAGTCTCTGGGGTTGGAGCTTGCGCCGCGACGGCCAGAGTGCAGAACTCAGTCAGGGCAATATCCGCAAGAAGGCGAAGAAGGTTGGTATTCTGGCGACTAATGCTACTTCGCACGGTATGACTACGACACTTGAAGACCTCAAGGCACCTGAGATTACGTGTATCGCTACTTCTATAAACCGTGACGGTGGAATCGGTGCCCTACCTGGAAAACAACCGATTTGGCAAAAGGGAACCATCCAGAGGAAGAATATGGACGCCGAAATTAGTGGCATGACCGGCTGGGAAAGCGTCGTTACAGCACACAATGGAGACGCTTATGCTCGGACCTGGTTTTGGGGTCGCCGTCGTGCCGGACGATGGGCCTTCCCAACTGGGGATGGATCTCACGTTTCAACAGTCACCATTAGCCCTTGCGGCACATTTGCCGTGGTTGGGTCGCAGGAGGGTGGACTGGACATGTACAATCTTCAGTCTGGCACCCATCGTCAGCGCTATCCTTCCAAATTGACACCCGCACAAGCTCGTCAACTGAAGGCTCAACAATTGAGACAGGGCGATGAATCTGTATTATCACACACCGACCGCGGCAAGACCTTTCTGCCTGGCACCGGAAAGCACACAGGGCCCATTACGGGCCTGGTTGTCGACTCTATGAACAAATACGTGATATCTAGCGGGCAAGATGGCAAAATCAAATTCTGGGACCTGCTCACCGGTACACTGTTGGATCAGCTTGACTGGGCACCGATGACCTCCCCCACGCGCTGCCGCTACCACCCAGGCAGTAACCTACTCGCATTCTCATGCGACGATAATTCTGTCCGAGTGGTCGATATTGAGACAAAGCGGACTATCAGAGAATTTTGGGGTCCTCAGGATACCATCAACGATATCTGTTTTTCGACTGATGGCAGATGGGTCATTGCTGCCTCGAGAGATTGCCTTGTGCGAATCTGGGATCTTCCAACGAGCCATCTGATTGATGCGATACGTCTTGCCGAACCTTGCAATGCTATTGCCATGTCGGCAACGGGTGAATATCTGGCAGCAAGTATCAATGACGAACCAGGTGTCACACTATGGACCAATAAGGCGCTGTTTAAGCATGTTCCGACACGGCAAATATCCGAAAAAGAAATTGCTATTTTGCGCGGACCCACCGTATCCGGCGAAGGCAATGAAGGTATGCTAGAAGGCGCTTTCGAAGATGAAGAAGAGGATGTCGACGCGGTGGTGGCTCCTACGGTCGAGCAGCTGAGCTCGGATATGACGACACTTAGTCTTGTGCCGAAGAGCCGATGGCAAACTCTTCTACATCTGGACTTGATTAAAGAGCGAAACAAGCCAAAGGAAGCACCAAAGGCGCCAGAAAAGGCACCTTTCTTCTTGCCTTCAGCTGGTAATAACCAGACGCTCACGGAAAAAGACCAGCAAGACGGAACCGATGATGGGTCACGGTCTCGAATTACCAAACTCGAACAAGCTCGCCTAGAGGAAGTTTTCAGCTCAAAGCTTCAATTAGGGGTCGAGAGCGGCAATTGTGAGTTCTTTTGACTGAATCTAGGCTGTGGCTGCAAACTAACAATCTACCAGATGAGGTGTTTATTGACCACTTGAAGCGGCTGTCACCTTCGAGCGCTGACTTGGAGCTGCGATCATTGTCGATTGGCAGCGGGAGTGACGACACTAATGAGCTTCTGCACTTCATCCGCGCCTTAACATATAGGCTCAAGTCACGACGCGACTACGAGCTTAACCAGGCCTGGATGACTGTATTTTTACGACTTCATTTCGATCTTGTTTTGGGCAGCGCGCCGTTGCTGTCGGTCCTGCAAGAGTGGAAGACTCAGCAGGAGCAGGAAGGTACTCGCTTGAATGAGTTGGTTGGATATTGTGGTGGTGTTGTGGCTTTCCTTCGAAGCCCAAGGACATAGGATGGACCATATACAAGCATTTAACTGTTGCATATAACACCTATAACAAAAATTGTTTCCTTCAAGTTTAATATTGGGAAGATGTATCTGCAGTGTGCAAGTGAAAAGAAGGTACCTACTTGTGGAGCGGCAGGCTAGGCCCTTCCCCTCCTACCACCGCAAGCACCGCTAAAGGACGCTTGTCGCAGCACCCTTCGCGGGGCACCTCTTTTTCTTTAGTAGATAGTCTGGAAATTTTCTTAGCGCAACAAGATCGTTACATTTTCCAACCACAACAAACAGCATCCAGCGAAAATGGGCAAGTTCAGAGTGAGAAATACCGTCATATTACATCTCAATTAACTAGTACCAGACTGACCGAGTGCGCTTCTGTATAGGGAAAGAATCGTCGCGGCGGTGGTGGTGGTCGCGGAGGCGGCCAAGGCGGCAACACCTGGCGTGACTACCCTCCTCTGAAGAAGGAGAACGAGAAGCTCGAGAACTTTTACAACACGCTGCTGCAGCTACCTGAGGAGGAGAAACAGCAGTTCTGGGATGCCCTCAAACGCGAGCTTCCCAACAGCTTCCGCTTCTGCGGCTCCAAGGGGTACGTATTCGCAGGCACTGGCAACAACGTTTGCGCCTTGTCCCAAAGACTGTCGCATGGTACCGGGTGGCTGACAATTACTCAACAGACACGCCCTGGCCGTCAAGCGACTTTTGCGAACGAGATATATTCCCGAAATTACCAAGATTGAGCACCACGATGGCCGACCTGTCGAGCCGCCCATGCCCGTTCCTTGGTACCCCGACGAGCTCGCTTGGTGGATGACAACGCCCAAGAATGTCGTCCGCAAGTTTCCTCCTTTTTCTGCTTTCCAGAAGTTCCTCGTTTCTGAGACGAGTGTCGGCAACATTAGCCGACAGGAAGTTGTTTCCATGATTCCTCCCATGCTCATGGACCTTAAGCCCGGCATGACTGTTCTCGACATGTGCGCGGCGCCCGGAAGCAAGTCTGCGCAGCTGCTGGAGATGATCCACGTTGGTGAAGAGTCCCGCGTGCGCAAGGTTCTGCGCCAATTTGCACAGGAAGATGGACTTGTTCTTGGCGACGAGACCAAGGAGGAGATTGAGGCCAACCTCGAAGCCGACCCCTCTGACCAGGGCCGCGCCACCGGTCTGCTGATTGCCAACGACGCCGACTACAAGCGCGGCCACATGCTGGTCCACCAGCTCAAGCGCTTGTCGTCACCTAATCTTCTAGTTACGAACCACGATGCCACGCAGTTTCCGTCCATCAAGCTCCCTCCCTCACCAAACACCCCGAATAAGCCCAACTACCTAAAGTTTGATCGCATTCTGGCCGATGTACCCTGCTCTGGCGACGGCACGCTTCGCAAAAATGCCAACTTGTGGAAGGACTGGCAGCCAGGTAGTGCTCTGGGTCTACACGCCACTCAAATTCGCATTCTCGTCCGTGCACTTCAGCTTCTCAAGGTTGGCGGCCGCGTTGTCTATTCTACCTGCAGTATGAACCCTGTTGAGAATGAATCAGTCATTGCGTCTGCTATTGAGCGATGTGGCGGCCCTGGAAGCGTTGAAATCGTCGACTGCCACGACCAGCTCCCCGGCCTGAAGCGCGTTCCCGGCATGAAGGAGTGGAAGATTATGGACAAGGGAAACCGAATCTGGAGCACTTGGGAGGAAGTGGAACAGTTTTCCAAGGAGAGCAACGAGGGTGTCATCCCTGGTCGTGTCTCTGAGACCATGTTTCCCAAGCGTGAAGGGTCTGACGCCTACAACCTCCCTCTAGAGCGTTGCATGAGAGTCTACTCTCACCTGCAAGATACCGGCGGCTTCTTCATCACGGTACTCGAAAAGAAGTCCGACTTCAAGGCTAAGAACGAGAGCACCCGCAAGCCGCCCGTCGCGGCCGCTAATGGCACCAACACACCTTCTAATGGAACTGAGAAGTCTGTCGAGACCGAAAAGCCCGCCGAGACCGAAGAGCCCACCGAGACCGAGAAGCCAACCGAGCCGACTGCTGAGCCCGCGACTGAGGATGTCAGGATGGAGGACGCCGACAACACCTCTAACAAGCGCCCTCTGGAGGAGGAGCCTGCTGATGCTGAAGCTGTCAATAAGAAGGCCAAGACCGAAGCCGACTCGTCTGCAGCTGTCACTCCCGCCGCTCCCAAACCAGACGCCACTCACAAGCAGAAGCAGGGCCCTGTCGAGGAGCCATTCAAGTACCTGGATCCCTCCCACCCAACCATCGAGAACATCATCGAATTTTACAAGCTATCGTCCCGCTTCCCCACCAACCGGTACATGGTGCGCAACGAGATGGGCGAGCCAGCAAAGGCCATCTACTACACTACGCAGCTCACGCGCGACATCCTGACGGAGAATGAGGGCCGCGGCATCAAGGTAATCCACGGCGGCGTGCGCATGTTCATGAAGCAGGACGCGCCGTCGGCCGAGGTGTGCCGCTGGCGCATCCAGTCGGAGGGCATGCCGATTATGCAGGGATATGTGGGCGAGCCACGCGTGATCCGACTGCGCAACAAGGAGACCCTGCGCAAGCTGCTCATCGAAATGTTCCCCAAGATCAACGACGACGCATGGCAGGCGTTTGATGAAATTGGCCCGCGCGTGCGCGACGTGAGCATGGGCTGCTGCGTGCTCCGCGTCGAGCCCGACGGTACCGACCCGGACTTTGCCGAGGCCATGGCCCTGCCGCTCTGGAAAAGCATCCACTCGCTCAACCTCATGCTGCCCAAGGAGGACCGCGCCGCCATGCTGCTCCGCATCTTCAACGACACCACCCCGCTCATCAACATTGCCCAGCAGCTGCAGCAGAAGAGTGAGGCCGCCAAAAAGGCGGCTGCGGAGAAGGACAAGTCGCTGAAGCAGGAAGCGGAGGCGGAGGCGGAGGAGAAGCAGACGGGCGATGCGCAGGATGCGCTGGACAATGACGACGTGGAAGACCTACCGAGCCCAGAATAGAAAATAGAGGAGGGCTTCCAGTCGGGCGTTCGATGGTTGAATGCAGTTTGGATGAAATGCAGAGAGAAGAAGCAGAAGAAGCAACCCACTTGGGAGTTATTTTCGTTGATTTGAACAAGACTTTTCGGGGTTTGCAGATTTTTGGTTTTCAGTACACATATATGGCTGATTTGTTGTATAAAAGAAACCTTCAAGTTGGCTACTTGAATGAAAATGAGAAAAAAGAACGTCCAAACAACCGCCTTGACACGTGATAAAAGAAGCTTTTGTCTATTCTAGTAGTATGAATGATGTTGTACAAGTTTGTTACAAAAGTGCTATACATGGAGGTGATGGCTCCCAAGTTATTGTTATACAGACAGACAAGGCCCAGGCCCCTACAAAAGCACGTCGTCAATGCTCGCCGCTGAGAAGACCGACCATCCAGTGCACGACCCGGTCGACGCCCTGGCCATTGATGGCACTGACAGGCACGGCGGTGCAGCGCTTGGTCCAGGCGTCCTCGACGCCGCTGGGGTGCGGCTCGTCGCCCGCGGTGACGGCATCCAGGTACGTCTTCAACGCCTTGAAGTTGTCACGCGTGCCGGGCTTGTCCGCCTTGGTCGCGATGACGAACCATGGCTTCGCAGCGGTGTGCATGACGACGGTGCCCGAGGTGTCGGCATTGTCGTGCTCCTGGGCGATGGCGGGGTTGACAGGTCCGCCGGCGGCAAAGGGGTCTGACGTGGCAGTGTCGCCGTCATCGTCGTGCCAGCGGATGGCGGCGCGGGCGCGCTCCTCCTCGTCGCGCATGGCGGCGTAGAGGGCGACTTCGCGCCAGAGAGCGCGCAGGGCGGCCACGGCGTCGCCGGCCGCGAGGTCCACGACAAAGGCGAGGACGCCGGCGCGCTCGACGTGGCGCAAAAAGGCGACGCCGAGGCCGCGATCGAGGTGCGCGCCTTCGATGAGCCCCGGGATATCGGCGACGGTGAAGCGCGTCCGCGGGTCTGGGCGGTCGTCCTCCTCCGCCTCTGGCGCGCTGGCTGGCGCGACGCCGCTGGGCAGCGGGCGCGACGCCGGTACCTTGACTGGCCGCCCCGAGTACTTGTCGAGCACGACGGTGCCGATATTCGGCTGGAGCGTGGTAAAGGCCCAGCTGCCGACGCGGGTCCGGCTGTTGGTGATGCTGCGCAGCAGCGTGCTCTTGCCGGCGTTGGGCAGGCCGACGAGGCCGACGTCGGCGAGCAGCTTGAGCTCGAGGGTGATGCGCATGGTGACGGCGTCGTCGCCCTTGGTGGCAAAGAGGGGCCGCGGGTGCTCGCGCGAGGAAAAGTGCGAGTTGCCCAGGCCACCAACGCCACCGGCCGCGAGTAAGATTGGCTGCGGCGTCGGGCGCGAGAGGTCCAGCTGCACGGGGGCGGGCGGCTGCTGCAGAAGCCGGGTGCGCCGCGGCAGACGCGGAAACTCGGCCGACTTCATGTCGTTCTTGGTCATGCCCGGGTAGAGTAGCCACTTGTGCCGCTGCGGGTCTTCAATCTCGTCTTCTTCCAGTGCCTCCTCCTGCTGGCGCTGGTCGTGCCTGGCCAGGCGGGCGTGCGAGCGACGGCTCATGTCCTCCTCCCACTCGTCCGTCTCGGCCAGCGGATCGTCCTCGTCTTCCACACCACCTTCCTCGGCGAGCCGCTCCAGCCGCAGCCTCTCGCGCTTCCTCTCGCGGCGCTCCTCGTCTTCTAGCTCGGCCTCGCGGCGACGGCGGGCCTTGAGCTCGGCGCGGTACAGCTTGACACGGAGGGCCTCGTCGGTGGCGGGATCCTCGCGCTCAAGCTCGCGGACGACGGTGCCGACGGGGACGGTAAGAATGATATCCTCGCCGCGGGTGCCGCTCTTGGAGCTACCCTGACCGTGGCGGCCGCGGCCGGCACGGACGAAGCGGCGGCGGGAAATCTTGTGCAGCGACGTCTCGCCGTGGGCGGCCTGGATGTAGACGCTGCCACCGGGGCCGCCGTCGCCGCCGTTGGGCGGGCCGTCGGGCATGTAGGCCTCGCGGAGAAAGGAGACACAGCCGTTGCCGCCGCGGCCGGCGTAGAGGGTCAGCTCGGCGCGATCGGCGAAGCTGGCGGCCGCATAGTCGTCGGGGGCGGGGTTGAGGCGCGATTCGGGGAGGTCGTTGACGGTGTCACGGGCGGTGGTGGTGCTGGCCCAGCGGCGGCGGACATGGCCAGCGGCGTGACGCGGTGACGGGGGCGCGGCGGATGCTACCGCTGCGCGTGACGGGGTCCGGAAGCCGGCGATACGAGCGGATGTGGGCAGCAGGAGAGAGGGATACAGAAACGGTGCTAGAGTTGCTGTGATGAAGGTGGTGGCGCCGGGCGTGCGACGGCGCGCAGCGACCACGGCAGCCATTGGGGGCCAAAGGAGCGGCGCGGTGGCCGATGGAAACTGCTGACGGGCCAAAAGATGACGTTATGATCTGTTCCTGGACATGTGCACGTGTGGCGCAGCGGGCCAGGCGGAGGGAAGCTGCAACGTGTCTTGGGTGGTGGTGGGATAATGAAGTTCCTTTTTTTTTTCTTGGACGTGAATGCAGAATGCATTGGTGCCCAGTCGGAGCAGCGGGAACAAGGAACAACCCGTGATGGGCTTTCAGTGGACTCAGTGGACAGTTCAGTGGGGTTCTGAAGGATACAGGGGTCTTGGAGTTGATTTACAGCGGGTTTCAGGTGCAAAATGTGCAAAATGCGCTGTGGGACGCTTCTGTCACTTGGTGTCATGTCCCATGGTCCTTGTTCAGTGTGTTACGGCTTCTTCCCTTTGACATACTAATTGTCTTTGTTACACGATGGCGTCCCAAGGCGGCAAGGCAGATATTGCATATGGCAGCTGCAGCAGATGATGCTGCTCATGGCCAATATTAGAGGGCAGTCACGGCAGTCACGGCAGCCACCTTTGCATGCTCGCCTCGCCACTGCAAGGCATCCTCGACATGGTGAATACTCGACATGTTGATATCTTGATGGACAGATTCTATAGGCACCTACCTACATATCCGTACCGTCGGTGCTGACTGACCCAAGTGACCAGTGCAAACGATCCCTTTTTAGCCGCCGAACCGACCACGACCACATTCACCGTGCGTGCAGATATCTGTACCACCGCCTCTTCCCCATTTCATCACCAGCATCACCCTTCACACTTGCACAATGTAGTGCCCGCGTGTATCACCCGCACGCCTTGTCCCGTCACAATCCTAGCGCCAAAAAAAGACAAAAAAAGATAACAAAAGGAATCATCATCCCAACACCCACACACACACACACGCACACGAAGCAGAGGCCGGCCATATTTCTCTTGCTTGGTCTTGGGGTGGTGGGCCGTTTGCTGCGTTGGCAAGTCAGCTGTCCTGGACCTCATTCGTCCAAATGGCCTGCATGAGGGAGACTATTCATCCTGGATTGCTTTTTGGCCCCCTCTACGGCAATGTATAGGGCAACGATCCGTACCTAATGACCTGAGTGAGTAGGTACCTATCGAGAGGTGGCTTCGCTGGCGTTGGCCCCATGCCCCATCTCTTGTTGTCCGCCTCTATTCTCGTCGACGGACCGCCCGCTAGGCTCCAGTAACTGAGTACTTGCCCGTCGCAGTCAACAGCAGGAAAGAAAAGAAACAAGAAAGAAAGCAAAGAGTACATGCTGACCTCATATGAAGCGGCGCGTAACTTGTGTCACGGTGACCTAGCACCTTGTCTTTGTCCTTGTTCCCCGGTCGTGCTACTTAGGTACCGATGTACTTGGACAAGCCGCCATCACAACCACACCTCATCACTCACTAGTAACAATTCTCGTCGTCACCACCTCATACAATTGACTTTTTGCGTGCTGATTCAGTCCCTTGCTCATCCCGCACTCTCCCATTCACTACTCCCGTCCCCTACACATCAACCGACCGCCTCAAACCATGCAGTCTGTCACTACGCACATGCAACTCCAACGCACCATTGCATGGCCTCGCCTATATATCCCGATATTTCCCCACACTATGCGTTTCTCCCTTGTTACTTTTAGTCCAGATCCAATCTAGTTCACACTTCTTTCTTCTCTCCTGCTCTCTCCTCCTCCCATCTTGCACAGCACACCCACGCTTACAACGCTTTGCCCTTGGCCGGCCCTCCCGCGTCGTTGCACAAGGCGTCAAAAGAGCTGCACCCTGAACCGGCACCACCGTCACGTTCGACAGGTGAACCTTCGGGAAGAAACTTCCAGTCTACTTCATACTGTCCCTTCTTCCTGTACATCTCTTGTCTTCGTCTTTAAGGTCAACTTTGCCGCCCTGTCCTGTTCGAGCAAGCGAGAACCAGTCGTGCTTGAGTTACCTGCCAGACAAAACGGCGCGAAGCAACTGCACGAGAAAGGAAGACAAGATCAGGAAGACAAGATCAGTCCTACAAGTAGACATCATGATGGTGCCTGCCGGCAGCGCCATGGTTGATCCGGCATGTGCCATTTGCATCGCGCCGGCGGGTGAACGTTGTGGTTGTGAGGCAAATGCCCTCGAACTCGCCATTGCCCAGGCCGAGGATCGATACTTTAAACCAACTTGTATCGATGTCCGGTACGTCTTTGCAACCCCCCCTTCTCTTATTATTCCTTCTATTTTCAACCTTGCCCCCCCCCTCCCTCTTCTTTCTCCGCATCACCACCACCACCTACACCTTGCTAATATTCACCGTTCCACCACCACACAGCTCCTGGGTCCGCCGTCGCGCGCGCGACTACATCCTTGCATACTTCCATCTCATATCGGAGCCCTGCAAGGATGCCCACTCGGTATACCTCAACATGATCCAGGCCACCAGCTTCGCGCACTACAACGCCCCGCCAACCCCCGCGCAGTATGCCTATGCTGAGGCCGAGTACCGCCGCAACATCAACCGGGCCTGGTCTATCGCTGTCAAGCGCTACCCCGAGGTGCTCGACTACTTTTACTCTCTCGTCCACGTCACCCTCCCCGACGACGACGACCCCTCCGTCATCGCGCCCCCCATGGACCGCCTCAACGACCTCCGCGGTACGCAGCGGAGGGTCCTCGTCGGGCCCCGCCACGAGCCCGCCGCCCCGCGCTTCCCAATGCCGCCCATGGCCGGCGCCGGCCTGCCACCACACCCCGTGCCCCCGATGCCGCCACACCCCGTCCCGTGGCCCACCCCGCCCCCGTCGCCGCACATGTTTCCCCCGGGCTGTGGGCTGATGCCATGACTAGCTCACTACTTGCTTTGCTGGCTGCTGGTCTCAAGGTAAGCGAGCCACGGATAAAGGATACAAGAGCCGGGGATAAAAACATGGGTAACGGTGGATGTAATATTTTGATAGCATGGACCCGGCGTTATTATTTTGACTGCGCAGAAAATTGCCAGATTGGGTGCATACAACAAGGCGTTATGGTTTGGAGAGCCTGGCTGGCTGGCTGGCGAGATTGGAACTCGACATGCACACAACAGTATTGCCATCTCCATGTTTGTTTTGGTTTATAGCTGCTTTCAATTTTTTCCCGCTAATGATATGACCCTTCTTCTTTTCCTTGTATTCCTTCTCTGTAAGCTTGTAGCATTGAACCCAAATCAAAAACGCTCCCCATGAAATTTTTAAGTTTTTGTCCGCCTTCATATTCGTACAAAACTGAGCATCCGCTTTGGTATATCCCAAGCATACGCCAAAAGAGTAGACTGGTGAAGGAGAAGCAATGGACTTTTCACACTGAAAAAGAAAAAGAAAAAAACAAAAAAGAATAAGAAAACAGAGGGAAATCACGACTCCAACGTGAAGACGGGTCGAGTAATTTATGCAGTGTTGTCGTCGAGATGTACTGGTGGTGACGGGATGCGGCTGAGACGGCACCCCCACTCCTTCGTAAAGGAGTTCATGTTCAACTCATTGATCGAGTCGTTTAAGCATCCTGCTTCTCGGAGATGGAGGCCTTGCTGAGGTCCTCGGCAACCTTTTCAGTCTTGTCGCCGTTAGCGCCCTCCTCATCCGCCTTGTCAAGCTCCTCGATTCTCTTCTTGGCAGCGTCGACGTTCTGAAACATGTTAGAATCCGAGGAATCAACTGAGATCTACAAAATAGGATTCTTACCTTTTGGGTCTGGGCTGCCTGGTCAGCCTTCCAGCTGTTGAGCTTGGCCTGGACCTTCTCAACAACCGCGGGGACGTCCTCGGCGCTCATGGGAGGGTCAATGCCCATGAAGGCGCAGTCCTCCACGACAGACGGAGGGCAGCTGTAGCCTTTGGTGGCAGTGCTAGCACCGCTCTTCTTGCCCTTCTTGCCCTTCTTCGCAGCGGGGAGGTAGTCGTCTCCGCGATCCTCCTTCTTCTTGAGGGCGGTACCCTTGAGGCCAGTGGCGTCGACGGTACGCTGGGCCTGGGCGGTCATGCCGCTGGCAGCGAGAAGAGGAGTCTTCTCAGCCGGCTTCTGGCTGGGGTCAAGGAAGACGAGCAGGTTGTTAGCGCGGCGAATCTCCTCGAGGAAGGCAGGGTCGCTAGCCTCAGAGAGCAGGCGCTCGGCCTCGGCCTTCTTGCGCTCAAGGTGATAGCGCTTGTTCTCGGCCTCGCGGCGCTCGCGGGCCTTTTCACGGGCCTCACGTTCGTAGGCCATGGCGGCCTTCTTCTGCGAGTAGTAGTCGTCCTTGAGCTTGCGGATGGCTGTAAAGGTCTCCTGCTGCTCGGCGTGGAGCTTGGTACGCTCGTCACGCAGGCTAGACAGGCCCTTGTAGGCCGTATCCTGCTCGGCCTTGATCTGGTCGAGCTCGGCCTGGATCTTGTTGTACTGCTCCGACATGGCCTTTTGCTCAGGGTCCTCCATACTATCCTTGATCTCCTTGATCTTAGCGCGGAGCTCATCAATCTGCTTCTGGGAGTCGTCAAACTGGCCAAAGGCCTTGCGAACCTTGCGCAGAGCGGAGATGTCGGCGAGGGCCTTGCGCTCCTCGACGAGCTTCATGCTGCCTGAGTTAACCTGGGCGTCGAGATTGGCGATCTGGCGGTCAACATCGTCGGCGGTCTTAAAGGGAACCTTGGCCTTGGCAGTCTTCTGCTCAGCGATGCGGCTACGGACCTGCTCGTCGAGACGCTTGATTTGGTCGAGCTTGGATGTACGGGCATTCTTGCCACCGGCCTGCTTCTGGCGGATTTCGTTGGCCTGAGCAATGAGTTCCTGGCGACGCTTCTGGATGGGGCTAGCCTGGTCCTTGTTCTTGTTGGGCATGGCAACATCGATCTTGGCCTTGACAGCGTTCTAGATGGGAGTCAGCAGATGGTCAAAAGAGGCAATGGCGCACACGGGTGGGTATCAAGTCCAGGGCGCTTCCAGTGTAGGCACTGGGTCGGAATTGAACTTTGACCCGGGTCTTGCATCAATCATGGCACATACCAGACGGTCCATGGCGGCCTTGTGCGCCTTCTCGGCCTTCTCGACCTCCGCCTTGAAGACAGTCTCGTCTGGCTTCTGCGGGCGACCGCCAGCAGGGGCGGGAGCGGAAGGGGTAGCAGTCTCGGCGGCCATTGTGTCGGCAGGGTGTAGTTCAAGGCGGTCCCAAAGGGGGCAAGGTCCAATCCGAAGGCTAGCTACGGAGAAGAAGGAGTCCTCTTACGAAAGAAGACGGAGAGGTAGAGGACGGGGTGGAAGAAGGCGGCGTCGTCAGTGGGAGACTGACAGAGTTGGTGGACAAGACTCGGGGGAGAAAAAGGGCCAGCTGGCTTGGTTTAAAAAAAAAAGTGGTGAATGTGCAACGCCTGGTCTCGGCCCTTTCCCCCACCAAGTGGCGGCGCGAACAAAAATGCACTTGTCTCCGTTCCCAATCGGGGCGAAGAATAAAGGGTCTTTTTTTTTATTTTTACTGTTGGAGCAGGAATAGCTTGCTTGGGTCTGCAAGAAGAGGATTGCACGTGCAGCTATTTGCGCCTGTAATAATTCGGGCGGACTGCGTAGACCGACCGATGGTCCAAAACTGTGATACCGTGGCTGGCTCGTATTTTCAATTCTACAAATTACTCGTTTTTTTGTGCGTGGGTGTACAAGCATCGACAACGTCGCAGCAGGCGAGCAGTACAAATTAGAGAAAGGCCCCTGAGAACGACTGGCCTGAAGATGCCTCACTGTGACGTGACGGCGCCGGAACCCCAGAATCTAGTTATCCTGGCCAGTCTGAGTACTCCGTACTCTGTACAAACTTATTCTTGAATCGGTAAAAGGTCATGTCAACGTATCCCACAGAACTACTAATAAGGTACTGACCTTTAGGTACCTGTTACCTTTGCCTTAGTACAGGTAGGTAGTACCACCGGTGGAGACTTGCCGAGCAACCACCCAGCGAATCACATGACCCCAGCAGCCAGGAAATTCTCAGCGCTGCGCGAACCTCGACGAATTCGTGATAATGCGATAGCAACGTTTTTTTCCCCTTGCCCTCGTTTTTAAAAGACTGAAAGCAAGCCAGCCCGCAGCTCATTGGCCCCTTTGCCGCGGCATCTACCGACCATCAATCTCTCTCGTTTGATTTCTTCTTTCGGCATTTGCGTGCTCCTTTCTCTTCTTTTCTTCACCCGCCGCGATGGATGATCTACCCAACGATGCCCACTCCAAGGAAGTTGTGAGGCTCTGGAGAGCATGGAAGACGGTGCACGAGATGGTGGCCGACCGAGTACGATTCGCCCTACATTCTAGCAGCGCGAGCCACTCCACCAGGTTGAGAGCGTGCGCGCGCGACGTGGACTAACTCTCCTGCTTTAGGAATACGAGCTCGCCGAAGACGAAATTAACATCTCCCTCGACCGTTTCCGCAGCGAATTCTGCAACCCCGACGGCACCGTCAAGTACGTCTCCCGCCACATCATACCCCGCGTTGTCGTCCCAAGTCTTCTGTCTAACATTGTCCTCTCCCCCTTCCCCCAGCCGTGCCAAACTCCAGTTCTCTGCCCGCCCATCCGACGCCATGCTGCGCAAGCACACGCCGCCCGCCACCGACGCCAACCCGGACCCGGTGGCCGACTGCGGACCTATATGGGTCGAGTTTCTCGCCGACAAGCAGTTCGGTGTCGCCCAGATTCGCCAGTTCGCAAAGTACACCATCACCAATCACTACAAAACGGGCATCATGGTCACCCACGTCGCCCTTTCCCCCGCCGCCCGCAAGTCGCTCGCCTCGGTCGAGAACCTGGCCAAGATTGAGTGCTTCCTCGAGGACGACCTGCTCGTCAACATTACCCACCACGAGCTCGTGCCCCGCCACGTCCTGCTCTCCCGCGAGGAAAAGATTGCGCTTCTCAAGCGCTACCGCCTCAAGGAGACGCAGCTGCCCCGCATCCTCGCCAAGGACCCCGTCGCTCGCTACCTCGGTCTGAAGCGCGGGCAGGTGGTCAAGATTATCCGCGTGAGCGAGACTGCAGGTCGCTATGCTAGTTACAGGCTCTGCGTCTAGGCTACGAGACGGAAAACAACGACGTTTACGACAGTGGCAATGGCGGAGAGGAGAACAGAGACAAAGAAATCAAGCAACATAAAACAGAGGGGGAGGAGAGGACCGGATCCAGAGATGACTCAATGTACAGTCTGATTAGGCAGGATTTCGCGGTATTACAGGTCGGCGTTCTTATGGGGGATACATTTTCACTTTTTTTTTCGACATAATTCCCAAGCGCAAATTGGCTAGGTTTTCTAGCATGAACAGAAGCACTACCAAATATTAAAAAAAAACCATACAAATGCCAGTCTTCAGACTGTTTCTTAGTCAGGCTTGGAACAGAATTGGTCAAATGTAGTATACCAACAAATGTATTTGACATGTAGAAACGTCATGGCTAACTGTGTCGCACCCCACTATGCATATATATGGCTCTGTATATAAAAGACGTCGAATCATAAACGCCCGTATCCAGAAGAAATAAGAGAAAATGGGGACGTCATGTCCCCCGGGTATATATGCGCTCAAGCGACGAAAATCAGTGTATCCAAACCCAATATAAGCGCCCAATTACCCTACCCATCCATGGCCAAACCTCCCTACCCACCGGTATAGTACACAAACAGAAAGAAATTCGTTGCGAGGCATGTCGTCGATTGAATGGCAAGGGATGTGTTGGCTTGCTCAGACAAAGTGCATGTGTATATGTATAAAACGTTGCTTATTGGCACGTTGTGGAAAAGGACCAGCCGGGTCACTTATACAGGCTCGGATTCCTTCCCGGAGCGGTCCTGTAATTCAAAGGCGGACTGGGGAATAGAGTGCAGCTCGGTGCCGTTGCTTGATTGTGAGCGGCCGGAGCGCGAAGATCGGTTGTTTAGCGGACCAAGAAGGACCCCAAGATCTTGCAAGAGCGCCGAAGATCCGCGCCGCAGACCAGCCGAGCTGGCAGGGATGGCATTGGCGGGGACGCCATGCGATGATCCGGGCCCAATTGTGGACGAGGTGTGGCTGTCGCGGCGATAACTGCCGCTGCTTGTTCCCGCAGAGCTGTCTAGTAAGCCCCCGACGTCGAAAAAGGTCATCTTCTTACCCCCTTGGTGGGAGTCGACTTTCGAGAGCCGGTCATCATGGAGGATGGCCTGGTCGCTGGCAGTCTCGCCGCTCAGCGTGCCGTTCTGGTGGGGCCATTCTCCTTTGATATCGGCTAGCTTGGCGGCAACGGCGCGGGTGGGCGTCTCTCGCAGCTCGGGGTTCACAGTCAGGCCGACGTCTCTGACGAGATCCTCGTCGCTGCCCCATTGCTGGTGTAGGGCGGGCCGTCGCGGGGCGTTGCGGTGGTCAAACGAGTCGGCGGCCGAGCTGCGGCGAAACTTTTGCTTCTTCAGACCACGATCGCGGACAAAGGAGCCGAGGACCAGGGCATTGGCGGAGGCGGTGGCAAACAATATTTCGACCGAGGCGAGGAGCGAGCGATATTGCTGGCGACCATCGCTCCATATGATGTGCGGGACTCGATATAGTGTAACGCAAACAATGGACAGACTCAGAGAGAAGAGTAGGACAAGCTGGATTTTGCGCTTGACCTGCATGTGGCTGTGGATGATGATGGGGATGGGAAAGATGACGAGGAGGAGATCGGTCAAGACGTTGCAGGTGGCCATGGTGACGAGTTGGACGTAGCCCTGGCGGCATTGGCCACCTGGGTCAGGCAAGACTTGCCAGTAATGGTGAAAGGGGCGGCATTCGGCCAAGTCGCTGATGACTACGGCGATGAAGGTTACTAGAAGAGTCCATCGCAGGGCGACCATGGTAGTTTGGTAGGATCGCTGCCAGGTGATGCCCGTTATGCGACGGAGAAACTCGAGAATGGCGCATTTCAGAACCCAAAGACTACGAATCGAGGTCAGCACGCTAGGCAGGAGGAAAGGCTGTTAAGACAGGGACCAGGTTGTAAGCTTACGTAGCGGCATAGAAAAATCGGCTGAGCAGAACCAGGCCACTGGCTATCGACTTTTGGCGCAGCTGGTCGGTGGTTAAAATGACACCAGTATGGTCTGCGTTGTTGGTGCCATGCATTAGAATGTAATGGACGCATCCCATGCGCAGGGTGAGAGGAATGATGGCAAGGGCGGCAATCTTGTCCTCGAGGAAGAGACGCTCGGTACGGATGAAGCGGCCGGCGACGCGTAGAAAGATCATGACGCCGCAAAAGGACGTCATCCACCAGCAGACGAGTAGGGTGGGCTTGTCATGCCGAAAAGGCAGCAAGCTGGGAGGATCCGAGTAGAGCGTCATGGCGTCGGGAATGGCGGCCGCGCCCGTCGTCCCTCCGTGGAGGATGCGACGAGCGAGGTGAAAAGGTGAGGAGGGCGTCGGGGAAAATGGGCTCTAGGTGATGGCGCGGAGCAATCGGCTAGAAAATCGTCGTCGTCGCTGTACTGCGAAGAGGGATTGGTAGTGGTGGCGTGGCGGCCGGGGTGTCATGAGCGAGCAGGCCTGGGGCGGGCATCAGACGGCGGAACGAGGGTGAGGAGATGAGGATGGCGGCGTAAGTCAGAATGTGGCGAGCCGAGCAGAAAGAGGCGATGCATGAGGTGATTGGGTCGTTTGGAAAGGACCAGAAAGGACGGAAGCGGGAGTACGGCGGCAGCGGATATATTTGTTGTCGGGTTGCGGCTGCGGGTGGCAAGATGGGGGGTGGTGCAGCTCAGCTTAGAGGTTGACTAGGATGACTCGCACAGCGAACGACGAATTGGCGGGTTGGCGGGCAGCAGGCAGCGGGCAGCGGGCAGCGGCATAGAGGCAATAAGCAACGGGTGCTACATCCGGAAGCGCACACGGGAGGATGCAGGAGGAGAGCAGAAGAGGAGGAGAGGGGGGGGAGTCGAGGTTGCGAGGGTAGAGATAAAGAGAAACGGAGCGTTTGTCGACAGGTTTGCAAGGTGTGGAAAACAAAGGGAGCGCTTTTGCGGAGGCGGAGTCGTTGTCGAGTTTGAGTGGATATCAGTACGAACGAGGCGAGAGCTGGGCTTGAGGAGGAGTGTGTGGGGGGAAACTCGGGAGGAGAAAAAAGAGAGGGACGCTAATAAACTAATAAATGAAATGGAAAGCTGCGACACGGTTGGGGTTTTTTTTTCACAGGGCACCAGGCTGCAGGTTGCAGATGTAGAAATGGGGCGTGCGTGGTGGTACTTGAGGATGATGCAAGCCGTGTAGGTACAGGTAAGGTACGGAGTAATTGGCGGCCGTCTACAGATGACTACCTGTAGGTAGGTATTACCGGTATTACCCAGGTGGGTATGCAGGACGTTGGTGGTGATGATTGGAAGGCGAGAGAGAGAGGAGGCGGGGAGTGTTGGAGCTGTGGCGGACGCCATTGAATTCTTCAATAAATTGTAACTATTAATTGTATTAATTGTGTTACTGTAGCAGGTGTTGGAACCGTTATCAGCAGGGGGCGCAAAGGAGGAGTGGTGAATTCTTTTGATAGCAATCATTTCAAACGGCGACGAGCCAACTGGGTGGCGGGTTGGCTGATAGTTTAGATAGCGAGGTGCCCTTATTAGTGGAGGTAGGTACCTTCAACTACAGCGTTTGATAGGCAAGATTCCATGTACCCGCCCAGCGCGACTTGGTGGAGAATGGCCCAGTCATGATTGGCGACAGTTTGCTTGAATGATTGCTTGGAAGTTGGGTCTGGCTCGAACGGGGCTACAGCGGCCCAGGCAGCAGTATTATGCCCTGTAGCCTGTATCATTAGCCCGTAGCCTGTAGCGATATTTCATCGCCGCGTCTCGTCTACCACCACCGACTACAGACGCTCGGAATTTCGGAAGTCAGAACCTAGGCGACACCGACCGTAGTTGTCTCTCAAATCTAACTAACCAAAAGTTTAAAAAAAACCCCCCAACACCTTGCGAGCAAATGTATCAGCCCAAGACAAATTTCCCACATTACCACGTTTCCAGGCTGCTAGTGTGCACCGAAAAAGGGTGGGGACCTTTTGCGCTAGGTACCTCCTAGTCGATCAACGAATCAGCGAATAGTCCGAAGTTCCCAGCTGGCAACCTGCAACCTGGCCAGCCTCGAGCTTGACAGCGGGCGCAATGTGTCGAGAACTTTATGAATGGACTTGTGATTATACGTTAGTTCATTGATGTCTGCGATATCGATTACGGAGGATCCGTACTCGCTCAACCAGCGCCCTGGGACAGTATTGTTTGCTGTGAAACAATGCTCGATCAATAGGTAGGTAGGGCCCAAGTTGAAAAGTCTGCCACTGCCACCACATTATTAACATAGGTACTTATTAGGTGCCTGGATATCCAACACACAGTCCATATCCAGCCAGATCAAGGGTAGAATACGGAGTAGAATGCAGTCTGGCCTGATGTCGCTTTCCTACCAACTTTGTCGAGACACCGAAGCCTCTCTCTATACGCACATCGCAATAACTACAAGACACACCCGCCCCGCCGCCCATGGTTGCTTACGAGTCAGCTTCAGCCAACTTCACCGTCCGTCAGTGGACTCGCGTGCTGGGGCGTGCACCTATTCAGCCCAGCCAAGGCGGCGGCGCACCGTCAGAACAAGGCAATTGTACGAATTAGATGATGCGCCACCAACTGATAACAACCTGTTCAAAGTGGTATGTGTACCTAGTTACGGCCACCTGTAACTAGTTATTACCATCCACCCTCGCGATTTTTTATCGCGTCCACCCGAGACTCCAAGTTCGTTGCTTCCCCAGAGACCCGCGACCGCTTCTCCGGCCTGGCCCCTTGTCGCTGGCCCCTTGTCACCAGGCAATAGAACGGTGGCAGCAACAGTTGACAGGTACATACTCCCCTGTACATATCTATGAACGAGTTGTCCCAGGAGCAGTCAATCAAGCCACATCCTGCAACGATTGAACCCTCAGTCCTCTCCGACTGCACATCCTTGCCAAAAGCTGGCCTTCTGCATGTCATGCAAACCGTCCTGCTGATCTGATGAGCGCTCTGTCCCCTCGACATCTGTTAACACGCTTGCGCTTCTCTCAACCTCTTACCGCTTCTTTTCTGGCAACCCGGCATTCTCTAGTTATTCTCTTCTTTGTGCTGGGCCTCTTGTCATTGTCCGTGTCTGTGTGAGACTACAGCCACCGGCGAATTGGAGCGCCTTCTGATTCACCTAGCAGGCTAAAAATATCCCACTCGACGACAAAATGCCTCTCGAGGTGAGACACTGCACAATCATGTACCCATCACCTAACGAACAACTAGTCTCAGACCACGCGATAACTGCAAAACAAGCTATAATTAGCAACTGCCCATCAAACTGGTGCAGCGCTTCGCTCTTCGTGTATGCAACACCAACATAATTTTTCATTTCTCGACGACGACTTCAGATTCAATTTTTTTTGACATTTCTCGTATTTGTCATTAGTATATCCGTACTTGCTACAAGACCATCTGACCCCATTGCCTGGCAGTGGCCCCCCCCTTGCGCTCATCTGGCCGTGATTCGATAACAAGGCCACAATTGTTGAAAGTAGTGCATGTGCGAATTGAGCGACAAATTCACCCGCGTCTCGCTGCACTGCTTCTGCTCCGTCCCCGTGCAGACCTGTATATCCCCAATCGCATAGTCCGTCCGCGTAGCAGGCCCGTCGCGCAGCCAGTACTCGGGGAACGGGTGCCGAAACCCAGCCGCCAACGGCACGTACGTTGTGGCCAGGTCCTGGTAGTGCGTGACGCGGTAGTCGCGCGACGGCTCCTGCGCCTCCTGGTACCGCACAAAGGCGTCGTTGCCGATGCGTGGGCTGCCGTAGTTGTACTGCGCCGCCCCCGCGAAAGGACCGCCCTCGCGTCGCAGGTCCAGCGCCGCGAGCTGCGCCGCCACGCCGCCCAGCGAGTGCCCGGTAAAGACGAGCCCGTACCCGGGGTTCTGCGCCGCGGCCTCCTGCGCCAGCCGCCGGACCGTCGGCTTGACCTCGCTCCATGCCTTGGCGAAGCCGGCGTGCATGCGGCAGTCGGGGCCCCCAAAGGGACAGGCCGTCATGAGGAGAACGGCGTCGGCAATGATGTTGGGGATGGATGCCGACCCGCGGAATACAACGACGATTTCGCGACGGACGTGGTCGACGGCCACGAATCCGACCAGACCGGCCAGGCCACCCCTAGAGTGAATACGGTAAGCACCGGTTCGAAGAGTTCGTACGTGTTGCATGCAAGCTCCCTCATGCATAAGATGCGCGTTGCCCGACTTACTTGAATGGCGCAACAACGGATACATTGTTCCGCTCAAGTGTTGGACATTGATTCTCCATGCATGACAACAGCGTTCCCGACGGTGCACCAGAATCGCAGTACGAAGCGGGAAGGTACTGCGCGTAGTGTTTCAGGTTATTGTACAGCTCTAGAGTTACTAACATGCAAGCACACGTTAGAGGTACGACACCACGGGGGAAACAGGAAGAATGCAGTTACGAACATGGCTGCCGCTCGAGAGGCGCGGAAGAGCAGGAGACAACAATGCCGCTGCCAACAGCAAGAACAAAATGTAGCTTCATTGTTTTCCTCACTCCTGAGAACCCCGAGATGGAGAGTAAAACGGTGGAATAGAGAATGAGCTGCTCGACAGAAACTCGGGGGTTGGTGCAGAGCAAATGTACTGGAGTTTGAGCCCGCGGCACATTCGCCGAAACCAGGGCAACGCTTGCTATTTAAAACTAAATCCGGAAAACCCCCCAGTACCTCTATGGACTAGTAACAAGCTTGAGGAGTCCGCCATTGCATAGATGAGAGCGGCTCTTGTGAGTGTGTTGTGGTTCTCGATCGCTGCAAGAGGCGGGGGGGGGACTGCAAGATGCTCAACCTCGGTGTAGCAAAGCCCCAACAGCCCCGGCAGATGCTACCTACGGCTTAGCAGATACGGTACCGCGGCTGCTTTTTGCAAAGAAGCACGTTGCTGAATGGCTATCAACTTGGGCGAGATCGGTTCAAAATGTTCCGCATCTAAGATTGCGGGGTGTGACGATCATGCCTTGCGGTTAAATAATGCGGGGTACAACCAGGGTTCGCAGACAACTAAATCATCAATATAACCGAGATGCTAAGTTGCAATATTGCCTGCATATCATGGGATATGGTACGAATTGCCACGAGAAGAATAAGATGCCTTTAGGAGGCCCAGCGACCGCTGTCCCGTAATTCCTTATCACCACATAAATCGGATTGCTCCTGGTCTCAGACGGAAAGGTGCTCGTGCCCACACTTGATTCCATCGTTGCCTCTTCTACTATACTAATTGAAGTTTCCCCACCATATACATGATGCTGTTTCTGTCCGCATTGCCCCAATCTACGCCTAGCAAGACATCCGCACCGCCGTTCTCGCCGCCGCCGCCGCCCAAGAGCCCCCAGAGCTCATCAACCACAGCCATGCGCACCCTCGGCCACGGATGGAACATGAGCGCGCCTAGCCTCTTCCTCGCCTCGCGCGGGCCCTCATCCCCATTCACCTCCCCCTCCCCCTGCCCCTGCCCCTGCCCCTGCCCCTCCGCCCCTGCCACGCAGCCATACACCCGGATACACGCCATAATCTTGCGCAGATTGCCCGTCCTGTAGCCGGCCTTTTGCGTCTGCAGGCAGAGGCCACGCAGGTCAAGTGTGTCGGCCCGGCAAAGCCCCGTGTGGAAGAGGTACGCCATCACCTCGAGTGTCGGCACCACCACGCGGTCCTCGCTGCGGTAGGCCGCGAGGTTGTGCGCGAGTGCGCCGCAGACCTGCACCAGATGGTCGGGACTGGCTTGGCAAAAGGATACGAGGGCCGCGCGGCTGGTGATGACGAGCTCCTCCTGCCCCGTGTCGGCCGACGTGACGAAGCCGGCCATGAGCTGCGACGTCCACGATACCGGATCCGACATGGCGGTCGCGGCGACGGACTTGAGCAAATGACCGCGTGGGAGGAGTTCGAGGATCGTGGTAAAGTACTGTTCAGAGGAGGTTGACAGTTGATCTAAATTGTTTGTCTCACTGTAGTACTGGGAGTCAGCGAACTAATCGGTGCGGTTGTTGCAAACAACAAATGGCAGTACCTCTTTTGTATCATCAAAGACAGCGCGAATTGCGCTTCTGGCCGGACCTTGTCCAGCTTTTCCACCGACAGGCGTAGGATGCTGTAGAATAGCTTTTGCACAGACTGCACCACCCAATCTTCCTCCCCGGTCGCGTCCGCAATGTCTGCCCAGAGCACCTGGACAGCTTTGAGTGCCTGCACACGCACCTGCGAGCCGACATCTCCGCGCGCATTTGTCGTGTAGTCGTTCAGGCCGTCAACGAGGAGTGCCAGGAAGGCGAGCGGCTTGCTGCGCAGCACGCGCGTGCGCGTCAAGCTCTGTAGGAGGGACACTCGCGTTTCCACCTGTCGGTCGGCGATCCAGCGTGCGACAAATGCCTCGCTCACGACGTCGTCCCACTCGGCGTGCTGTGAGGTCGCCTCAGCCAGCGGTTGGGCCATCGCCAGCACGTGGAAGTAGCCCTGGCCAATTATGGCCGCACGGCTTGCAGGGCGGTACTGCACGAGCTTGGCCCATTCCAGCAGGAGCCTGGTACGGTCCTCATCTGTCGAGATCACCAGGAGGAGCAGGGCCGCCGTGGAGGCCGCCTCGATGGTCTCGGGTTCAGGAAAGTCGAGCCACGCGGTAATGGATTTTGCAAGCGTCTCAGCAAACTGGACCAGCGGGGTAGTTCGCGGTACATGGCTGCGAACCTCGGTGAGAAACCCGACGATGCATTGGTCGGTCCGCCTGGGAGACAAAAACTCTGCCCCGGGCTCGAGGACATTACCCATTCCGTTGTAGCCTATTAAAACCTGTAGGAGAGGTGTGGTAGACACAGCGACCCGACTTGCTGCCTCTGCGACGAGCTCCGGCCGTCTATAAGTAGTATAATGGCAATCGTGTAAAACATGGCAGATTGCAGTGACGGTAAAGGTAGCCAATTCGATACCTGCTACAGTAGAGCTTTGAAATCCTGGGAACTGATCCAAAACAGAGGAGAGACACAGTAGTAGACCATGACGCTCTTCAACTTTTCTTGTTGCCAAGCCCTGAAGTCTGTCCAATATCATGTTGAGGGAAATTTCGAACCGGTTGGTATCTAGTGTTGAGTGCTCTCGCATTATAGTAGTCAAAGCACCGAAGGCGACACCAGAATCTCGCCGGGACGGGGCATCCATGTCGCCAACGCCACGCCAGCCTAGGATGCCATGCAGGAGAGATTCGCCATATTGGCTTGCAAGATGCGTGGCATTCGATGCTACTGTTTGTATAGCCCTCGAGCGTCTGGCAACAGCATGGTAGTCTACGCTCTGCACAACCGAAATGCCTTGCTCGATCGTGTCTGGGTGGCGGCCAGTGAGCTCCTGCAGAGCGGCCGACGAGCCGCGGCGGATGTTTCCAAAGGGGTCCAGACAGGCCACGGTAACCAGCTCCGTGGCGAGAACCTGGATGATGGAGTTGTCTGGAGGGTGTGCCTTGGCGGCGAAGACAGATTGGGTTGGGACGGCGAGTAGTTCGGCAGTGGTGTAGCGACGAGCAATCGCCCAGACGCCAAAGCACGCCGCATCGCGGACGTTGGCGCCAACGCTGGTGCCAGCCAAAGATCGCTGCTCAAAGGAGAGTCCAAGAAGCAGGGCATGTATGATATCAGACAGCTGGTTCGCGGGCGGTGACCGCCGGTAAAGAAGGTGGGAGAGCGTGAGGACGAGGCCGTGCCACTCCAGGTGATTGACGGCCGATAAATCACGCACAGGTCGTCCACCCTTCTGAATTTCTTCCTTGTTCCATAGCACGTTGCGGTTCAGCGACTCAAGCACGGCCTCGACAACCTGGGAAGCCATGTCGGGGTCAAGCTTGAGAGTGAGAACGCTCAGAGACTTGCTTGCGGACATGCGCACCGGTGTGTCATTGTCAGACAGGCTTTCCAGCAGGTATCCAATCGCCGTTTCCGTCCTTTCCATGCTCTGCATATCCTGACTACTTCTTCGCAGGGACGTCACCACCACTGAGCGGACAACCTTGATGATCATTTTCCGCGCCAGCGCCAGTGCATTGACAGCCTTGGATACATTGGTGTCGTTGAAAGTAAGGGCGTGGACTGCATTGAAGATGGAGGAAAGATGAGCGTCCATGTCAGATGTCTCAGAGGACAATCGCAGAATGCCAGCCAGAAAAGAGAGCACGCCGAGGTAAAAGTAAGTCTGCTGCGGCTCCACGCCCTTTTGCGGCCGGAGCGAGGCGAGGGCCCAAGCAATGAGGCTGTCCAGGACGCCCAGGGCCTGCATGTCCTTGCGCATGGCCATTCTCACGAGCAGCGCCTTGGCTGCATCGCGCTCCTTGCTAGCCGTGGCGAGATACTTGATGGCCAGCGGCAGAATGCGTAGCGTGATGCCGGGCAGCTTTTCGCGCAGCTGCAGCCCGTCAATCTGCGGCACAGCATCCTCTTCCAACTCGACTGAGGAAATGGTAGCCAGGTCAAAGGGCGCAAAGAGCAGATGCGACAGCCACAAGAGTACAATGTACCTCTGCTCCCACGCCCACCCCGCCGCGGGCGTGAACTGCACATCGCTGGGATCAAGGACAGCCGAGCCCGCGGCTGCCGCCGCCACTTGCAGTTCTGCCTCTTCGATGGAGGACAGCAACAGTTCGAGGTACTTGGCCTCGGCGTTCAAGAAGCGCACAATTACCTTTTCGCCGCGGACCTTGCAGAAGGTGTAGAGTATCCTGGCAATGGCAAACGAGACTGGGACCAGGGCTTTAGACTTGGCGCTATTGTCGCGCTGGGCGACGGCGCGGCGCGGGTTCGTCAGGTCCTCCAGGTACGATTGGGCCAGAAGCGGGATCCATTTGGGTAAATAAGGGTCGAGCAGCTGAGGGAGCTCTTGGAAGTTGTCGATGACCTGGTGAGAAAACAGTCAGCAGGGCCAGGGCTACGAGGCATCTCGGCATCACCCCGCAAAGGCGGCCGACTAGGGATGATCAAGCTCACGTCGCATGTCGCCGAAAATGCTTCTCGGGCGCGGACAGAGGACCTCACTCTCGTGCCGCCGCTGCCATCAGGCTTGCGGAGATGTGTGATGAGGGCCTTGCCAAGGTCAGCGAGGAGATCAGTAGAGATCTTCTGGAGCTTATTGTCCAGGTCCTCGTCAGCGGCATTCATGGTAGCCGCTTGATACAACCGCTATCAAAACCAAAGCCCAGCGTCAGCAAAGAGGGGCGTTGGTGCTTGATGTCTCTTGGGTGTGGTTTTTGGTAGCTGTAGCAAGCAACGCGGTGAGCAAACAGGCAGCAGAATTAAATGTGCGAGCCTTGCTCAACACGGCTGCTTCGGAAACTAGCGACGGCAGCCTTCTAGTATTCTCCAACCCCGAGGTTTTTTTGCTTCCTGGAAAATAGTAGAGCCGTAACGGTTTGTGACTTGGGTTTTGGGGATGAGTTGCTTGAGCGACATGCTACCCATGATGAAGTCGTCGAGTGGCCCACGAGGCCTTGATCCACTCGACTCGATGCAGGGTATCAGTTGATAACTTGGCAACCCACGCCGTCTCAAGATCAAGATTTCATCTTCTCTGTTAATTTTCAATCACAATTTCTGGCTAGTTCCAATAAACCCGTTCGAGTATAGATATTAATTTATAAAAATGGTTGATGAGTGTAAAATATCTGGCCTTTCTTTGAATAATAGCTTTGTGAGGATATCCTCTCTAACTATCCTCTTTGGAGTATGTCTTATCAAAAAGGTGCGTAGTTGAAGGACGGGGGACCTCTACCTGCTTCCCTCCAGGCGCGACGTAAACTGCTGCAACTATGGCGTCCAGAGCGCTGCTCTGTGTCGGCATCGTAGCATTGAAATACGGTCCTGCCCAAGCAACACCAAGAAGTGCGACATCCTTGCTTGTGCAGTCTTGGCAGTCCTTGTCCCAAATAGCGTCTGCATTTTTGAGAATAAAAGAGCGGAACTGTTCGTCAGGAGCAGCAAGTTGAAGGTAGTTCAAGTTCCGAATAAAGACCCCCTTGAACTGCTGACCGTCCTGACCACATCGACCAGGTTGGTACTCGCAGCCCCCATTTTCCTCCAGGATACCATCTTTGTTGGAGAATTTACCAATAGCTGCTTTCGCAATCTTGGAGGCTTCCTCTAATAAACTCTTGTCGTTGGTGGCACGTGACAACTCGACAAGGCCGCCGAGGATGACGCCCTGGTTGTAGGTCCAAGTCGCCTGGCCGTTGTTCTTGCAGTTACCATCCAAACCATCGTTTATCAGATTATCCGAATTGATCATGCCGCTCTTAGAGAACCAGCTCCACTGATCCTTGGCAATCTGCAGAAATGTCTTTTCGCCCGGAACCCGGACCGCGAGCGATGCGGCGACAGTGAGGTAGAGCTCGTTTGCGATTGCATTGACATATTGTCGGTCCTTGCTCCAGTAGATGCCACCGTTGCAAGGGCCGCCCAGGCCAGTCTTCATATCCTCAAATATAGTGGCAGCAGCCTCCAGATACGTCTGGTTGTTCGTGACGTCCCAGGCACGAATAAGAGCAAGAGCCCACCAGCCTTCGTCATCGTAAAAGTTATTGAGGAAATTTTTGAAGCCTCGCTTGATGAGAGAACCGTCTCGTTTCAAGGCACAAGCGCCGCCAACGCCGTTGATGCAGTAGTGAGACTCCGTCATACCACCATTATCGAGGTTCCTAGACTTGAATGTCCGAACTTCGACATGCTGTGCTTGGCTGAATGTGTTTTCGATTAGGACCCGGTATTGGTTGACGGCACATTGCCTCGAGCTGAGTTGATCTACCGGGACCAGGTCGCAGACGGTCGTCAAGGCATTGGCACTGTTCCACCAGAGCTCACCCCAGAGGCCAGTATTATTATTGTACCAAGTTTTGTGGAGATTGTCTAAGCCGAGACTCGCGTGTGTGCTATATAGCACTTTGTCGAAAATCGGCTTATCCTCTGCAGCGATGTGCGTTGCAAAAACCAACAAGAGGCTTGCAGCCCGAGACAAACACATCATCTTGAGGTTGACCGGGACACAAACAAAGACAAAAGAGCCTTAGAAGAGTAAAAGTAGCCTGAGAAATACTGTACAGATACAGAGAGATGGCTTGATATTAAATGGCAAGGTGTAAGTGTGTAAGCATGCGAGACAGAGAGAGGTTCCTCGTCGGACAGATGAAGAGGAATGCCCCTTTGTATATTGAATCTAGACAGTCTCGTTCGTGCCCGACGTCATGAGTGTAGCAGACGAGAGCGTCTTTGCGGGAAACTGAGGAGTGACAAAGTTGGGGGACGGGTGTGAAGTCTGGCCAATTGGTGACGAGCTCTCGGTACGGATGAGTGTTACAGGATGGATGCAGAGTGCAGAGTATGATGGTCTGCTCTTTGCCTGCGGGTAGACAAAGAGAGGGATTAACGCCACATCCGTGCAACTCGTGCTTGAGCAAGTGCCGCTTGCCTCCAGTAGACAAAGAAACGGTGTTACGATGCATCCGCAAAGTCCTGTTGGAAGAGCGAGAGGCAATACAAGCCGGCTCGGATATATGGTGGCCAGAAACATAGAAGTTGTGACGTGCGGATCAAGCTGCAAAGAGGTACGGGACTGGCAACGGCGGCGGGTAACAGCGAGTACACGGATGGATGACAAACGTCGGCAGGGACTCGGAAGATGCCAGGTTGATCATCTGCCGGAGAGCTGCTACTTTGGTAGATAGCCGCCGGTGCTGTCTTTCATGTTGCACTGGGACATGTAGGTTCGGACGCATGCTCGTACTGCCAGTGGCTCTCTGTCCCTCTGGCAAGAGGGCCTTAGGCTGTTGGGTGGATGCACTGTCGTATTCATCGGGCTCGTAGGCAAAGCGGCATGCAATGCAATGCAGCGCAGTGGTGTACTGTAGTATCATCGCGGCGTCTTTCCTCGGAGTTCGTATCCTTGGCCGAGAAGAGGGATGGCTCGATGAATCGAGGGGCTCGCTGCCGATCAAGACGCGAGATAACAGCCCAGTGGAGAATCAGGGACAAGATCCAAGTTGGATTAACAATGTTGGCCTTGGTGGAGAAGTAGGAAAAATAAGATAAGATGGTAGTTGGTGGATTTGGCGATGTGGTGGAGGGGCTTGGTTTGGGCTTGAGAGATGCAAAAGTGCCCCATTTGTCTGTGTCAGCTAGCCCTCTCAATTATGGGTTTTGTTTGCTGCGAATTATTACCTTCAACTTCTCCTATTAATGAAAAAAAAAAAGTGTGTGATGATCTGGGATTTTCGCTTCGTTATTCTTCCCTGCTGCACTGGTATCAGCCAGTCGCGCATGCTCATCTCATGGTAGCTCCAATAGTTACTGCATATACCTAAATTGCTATTGTGCAGGTACAGCCGTACCTGCACAAATGCATCTAACCTCCAATGCTAGCCCTACAAGGCTGAAAATGCCATGACGTATCCTGGGGCCACGATTCGCGATTCTAATGCACTTATGGGGTGACTACCAAATACAATACGAATTACTCCGTACTCGTGCACTGAACCAAAACGACGCGTCTCCTGCAATGGCAGGGATGGCAGAGACAAGGTCACCCTCCCCACTGGACTAAGGCCATATCGAGTAGTGGCTTTTATTGGCGTTTTTGTCTTTTTCCCGATTTCATTCCAGTTGGCAGCCAATTTCTCCGAGCACTCAAAGAATTGGCAGGGAAAAATATGCATCTCTATGTTCCGTAGGTATACATTGCGTGTTTCGGACCGGCATGCGAGGTACGGCTCGTCTGCAGGCAGAGCCTCACATCCCGATAGCACTTACTTAGTACTAACCTAAGGCTGCGCCATCGGGTAATACGGGCGCGCTTGTTACGAAAAAACCCACTGCGCCTCGCAAGTCACCGATGCGGGCGTTACGGATAACTTACTAGGTACCTAGGTAGTTATTTAAGGCCACTTTCCTTCAAAAGTATTTGTCCCCGCATCAAGGTGATGCATTTTTTTTATTGGTAGTCAACTACCTGTTATCACCGGTGACAACGGCTCCGAGTTCACTACTGCGCCTCAACAGTTGGAAAAAGCCAAAGCCACAGACGCGGGCGGTGCAACGCCAAACCACACCCACGGCCCCTCCCCTGGAATCCAGTCCTTCCTTGGCTGGCCTTGGCTGCTGCGGGCGTCTCTCGACTAGTTGGACTAGGTGAGTGAGCCGTCATTTCGGCCTCAGCCGCCGACGCGCACACCAAGAACTTACAGACGTGTCAGGAGTCAGGAATTTTAGTCTGTAGGTTAGTCTGTGCTCCATCCTGGGAGCCTTGTGTGACGCCAACTTGCACAATTCCGGCAAAAGGGGGCAAATGACCCCAGCCAATAAATCCGCAGCCACCTTACCTTGACAAACACTGCAACAGTTTTTCCCCACGGCCGGCTTCGTCCAACCTTTTCTCAACTTTTTTTCTCCCAACCAGTTAGTGCTCCCCGACAACAACAACAACAACGGCACCGAACCCCCCCAACTCTCCCCCGGGCATCATGGCCCTTTCGCTACGGGCCTGGCCCTCGAAGCAGCCCTATTACAGATCGCTCTTCTACGTGGCCCTCTTCCTAAGCGTCGTTTTTGTCCTGTTCCGCCTCTACCTGAGCGCCGACGAAGACCTGCTCGCCCACGGCACCATCCAAGACTCGCCAGAGATACACGAGCTCTGCGCCGCCCATGGCTTCACGGCCTATCCCGCCACTGCCTCTGGCGCCCGCCGGAAGATTTACGATCTCACCATGATCAACACCGAGCTCGATTGGCTCGAGATCCGCCTCGACGCCCTCTACGAAGAGGTGGACCTCTTTATCGTGGTCGAGTCCCCAAAGACGTTCCACGGCCACTCGAAACCCATGGTGGCCAAGGACAACTGGGAGCGCTTCGCCAAGTACCACGACAAGATGCTCTATCACGAGCTCGAGTTCCCCAGCAGCTTCCACCCCCACCGCACCTGGGACTTTGAGTTCCTGCAGCGCGACGCTAGCTATGAGCAAGTCTTTCCCAAGCTCACCGGCCCTCGCGCCCCGCGCCTTGGCGATGTGCTCGTCGTTGCCGACGTTGATGAGATCCCGCGCCCCGACACCCTGCGCACTCTACGCGCCTGCAGCTTCCCCCGCCGCCTCACCCTCTACTCGCGCTTCTACTACTACTCCTTCCAGTTCCTGAGCATCGGACCTGAGTGGCACCACCCCCAGGCCACCTTTTACGACGGCCAGCGGACTCTCACCCCTAACAACCTGCGTAGCGGCGGCGGCGGAAACTTCATTTCCCGGTGGCGCGAGTCCGGCCGTTATGCCAATTCAAGCTGGCACTGCAGCAGCTGCTTCGACTCTATGGAATTGTTCTTAAACAAAATGGCCAGCTTCTCCCACAAGTGGATGAACGGCGCCGAGTATCGCGACCCAGATCGCATTGCCAACGCCGTTCGCGAGGGCCTCGATATTTGGGGCCGCAGGTCGTCGACCTTTGAGAGGATCGATAACAACCAAGACTTGCCGTCGTTGGTGAGAGACGACCCGAGGTACAGCTACCTCAAAGACCGCAGCGGAAAATCGGCTGGAATGAAGGACTACCCCTGACAAGAGCCTTGATTATCAAACCGAAACCCAGTGGTGGTAATGAGCGCGGACGACAAAAGGCATTTAGGCGTTCTTTGTTTGGGGAAAATACATGTACTACTTGATCCGGCATAAGCGACTGAAATTGGGCAAGCAAACGAGCGATGATGAATAGACTCTAAATAGTATAATACTGTAGTCTAATCTGAATATTCAATTCAACAGGCTCAATCCGGCTAACCAATGTGTCTAGCAAAATTTTCAGCCGCAAAAAGCTTATCCAATGCTGAAAAAAAAAAAAAAAGACTAACCAGACTGTTTCGTCTTGATCTAGGGAACATGGGTTCAAGGAAGATATATCAATAACAAGGGGAAAAAAAAGAAAAAAGGTATCCGACAGAGTCAAAACGCACCGTGCCCTGTTTCTATATACCGACAAAAGGAAAAGCCCGTCCCAATAAGACCCAATGCCAACCGGCACAAACATGACCGAGAAGACGTGACCGAAAAGACATGACCGAAAAGCGATGTACAGGAGTTGAAGAAAAAGGCAAATCCAGCAAACTTGAGGAGGTATAAATCAAAATTCAATGTTGCGAGGGAAAAAAAGACACTTAGAAAGGGCATATATATGTACCCGCTTTCCCCGCATGAGCCTTGACTCGTACCGACGTTCCACGATGGATAGATCAAGATCGGCTCGACGCAATGCTCGGCGGGCCCTGCGCCTTGCGGACGGAAAAACGCGGCAGGATGGACGTCGACTTGTTCCTCTCGCTGCTGAGGCTGCTCGCCCTCTGGGAGCCGACGGCCGACAGCTCCTGGACCGTGTTGGAGTCTAGAAACACCTGGGGAAAGATGCCCCATTTGCCCTTGGCATTTGTGCCAGACCAGCACCAGTGTTCAGGATAGACCCCTATTGCTCGCCTGTTAGTGCACGTCCCGTATGCTTTCCTCGCCAGTCCAGTATCTGTTCACTTACAGCTGATGTTGGTAATAACCTCGCCCTTTTCAAACTTGAGCCAATCCGTCTTGTCCTTGTCCTTGTACGCAAACTTCCATCTCGCCTTGGCTCGAAAGTGGCTCGTGCCATCCATTCTAATGTCGCGTGGCGGCGGAGGCTCTAGCCGTAGTGTATCCAAGGGGACAGAGGCGTGCACGCCGTCGTACCAGCCCATGCACCACTCTCCATTGTACTTGGGCGGCCAGCTCAGGCCAGTCACCTTGGAGCCAGTCACTAGCTCGAGAGCAGGCGTGCGATCTGCTAGTAGTCTCTGGCCGTACATTCTGCGCGCGGGCTCCCTGGCAACGCCCGTAGGCATCGTGGACGTTTCTTGCTCGTGTTCCAGCGCGGGGTGCGGCACTGGTGGCGCTGTGAAGTGTAGGTCATAATCGTTGTGATACTGTTCAGGTACGTCCGTCTGGTCGATGACCACGACACCGGGTACGTGAGGTAGCGGCCGAGCATGGCGGGCGAGGTGGCTGAATAGCGACTTGACGTTGAAGAAGACGGTGGCATCGCTAGGGTCCATCGTGCGTCCCAGACGAATGCAAAATACACAACCGTATATCATGTCATCTGCACGTTTAGTGTGCACATGACTCTTTTGAAGGAATCGCAAGCGATATCCGACATTGCTTTGCCGCAAGTTGCCGCAGTTCTGTTTACCCAAGTCGTTTTCGATATCAAGAAAAGATAACTCAAAGGAACAGCCGGTGCAGCGCGCCACTGTCGCGGTTCCGGTAAAGCCCACTGGTCTTCGTGTCTTCTTGACGCCGAGCCCACCAACCACGACCTCCTCGGCCCCGCTGCAAAATCCTTTGCAAATATAAAAAGACGAAGTGCTTCCGATCGAGCAATCTCTCTGAGACACAGTTGGCGCCCGCTCCGAGGGTCGACGGTCAGGTTCTACCACAATGAGGCCATCGTCTACATTCTGAGTTGGTATCATTGGTGGGCGATCCAGGTTCCCAGCAGATTCTCGTGAATGGTCTGATATGCGCACGTTGCTCAAATACGGGTCCAGGATGCTCTCGGCGACAGAGTCTGTCCTGGAGTGACGCTGTGGAAGGCCGCCAAATGTGTCGCGTTGCGAGTCGTGTTCATGAGCACCTGCGCCAGATTCTAGAGACACTTGATGCGCGTGATGGAACTGATCAGCCCTTGAAATGGATTGATCGTCAGCGCCATTGTGATGCGAACCTTCCTCAGGAAAGGCTTCTAGTTTTGCGTGGACACGAAGCGGGCTCGGTTGTGGGCTTTGCGGTTGGTAGCCATACTGCTGATTTGTGAGGCGACGCCATTCGGCTTCATCATAGGGATATAAATCGGAATTTCGGTGTTGAAGTCCAGGGGATGAAGCGATCGGGCGGCGCTGAAGCGCGGGGCTAAGCCGGTGCTGGCCGGGGCTGATGGGTGATGTTGCCGAGCGGGAAGAGGGAAGGGGTGAGGCTGGTGCCACAAGCGGTCGCCTCGGGAGCGGCTCACCTCCGATTGCGGCAGCGATTTCGTCACTGGATTCGACCACAGTGGTATCCCATGGGTTGGCTGACGGTGGGCGAGGTGGCGGCGGCTGCTGAGGAGGCGGCGCCACGGGTGAGGTGCTGTTGTCTGGCTCATCTTCTAGAGCCAGCACGCTGCTAGGCTGTCTATCGCGAAAGTTTTCGAGCTCCTCGTTGGCATAGTAGACACTCTGGAATGTGCGGAGCGGCGCGGCTGGTGGTGTACTAGATGGTGCACTTGTCGCGCTTTGAACTGAGGATCGAGGTGGCGTCGGCGGTATCGGAAAATTTGGCGGGGGTAGAGGTGAGGACGGAGGCGAAAATTCGTTGAGAAATGACTGTGGCGGGTTGTCTTTAGGCGGTAGTGCTTCGAGTTTCATGTTGATGAGGACTTCGTAGATTTTCAGGGCAACCTCCCTTGTGAGGGTTTGCAGTTCGGTGTACTTGTCAGCTTCGAATTCGTCTTCCTCGACATATTCGTCAAAGCCGTATACTAAACGGCCTAGTTTCGCTCGTGGTTCTTTGATTTCATCTGAATGCGATATTAGGCGCTGGATTCAAAGGCGGAAGACGGCAGGGGGGGCAGAGCTCGCGTACCATTCTCTCGAAGGGCATTGAGAAAGTTGTCGCCATACTCAGCGTGTCGCTTGGTGCACTGCGGCTCGATGAGCTTTACTGCCTTTTCGCCTTCTCTGAGAAGCTTCTTTGCCGCTTTGCGCATGATGTCATTGTCGCCAGCATTTTCCAAGGCCGTACTGGCCTCTTGGACAACATCACGAAAGGGCTTGAGTGTGAGTACGTTGACCTCGTCGTCCATGATGGGCGCGATGGCAGAGACGGAGAGTGGAGCGCAGCGTGAGCGACCGATCACAGAGAGGAGGTTGGCCTGGTTTTTTCCGTTACCCTTCGGATTAAGCGCAGGTATATCGTTTGGCTGAAATGGGCAATTTGAGAGGAGCCAAGTCGAGGTCGCGGGGTAGCCGCTGCGTGGATGTTGCCCGTCTGTTCCGCTGCAAGTCTGAGACAGCGGCCGCACGACATGCAGCTGGCCGGTTTATGATGTCAAAGGACTGACTGGCCCACCTAGCGTTGACTATGCAGAGTTCGAAGAAACAAGCTGGATCTCTACAAGGGGAGGAATGCATGATAAGAAGAGAGACCTGGGCAGGACTTGTGGTCCTCGGCCGCCACCTGGTATTTGGGCCAAGGCGAAATCTGGGACAGACAGTCAGTTCACTGCGGCATGATGCAGGTATCTGCAGGGTGGTCCGCCCCGGGCGACGCCTCATGGGCAAGCTAACGCAGCCGCACCCAAGAAAGCATCCCCAGATGGTGGTTAAAGTGGTCGAGAGGGTCGGCGGGCTGAAAAAGGTCTGCAGCAAAACTGCGGAGCATTGAGCCAGGGCGTGGCTTTCTTAGAAGTTGGGGCGCATATCTTGAATAAGGCGCCCACCGTCACGCGCAAATCTATTGGTGGTGAATCGTTGGCGAGCTGGGCGATGGCACAGTGCGACTGTGTGAGGCAGACCGAACGAGGAGAGGGGCCTAATAGGCTTGCTTCAGCAAGCCACCCGGTTTGGAGCCATGCATGTGCATGCCCAGAGGCTGGACCTGACACAGCAACCGAACAGCGCCATCTCAGTCTCGATGAAAACAATAGCCGTGACGTATATAGTTATATAGTGCTGATGAGACACACCAAACGGATGATCGGAAGCGAGCAGGCAGGCAGCCGTGGCCATGGTCCGCCCTGTCGCGTGTGCCTGGCCGCCCGGGGCGTCTGCATTTCCTGTGAGAACAGACAGTGGCACATCATTGCGCTAACTAGGAAGCGGTCAGTGGAGGCGTCCGTCCGATGCTTCTTTGTCTGCGCCGCCATTCTGGATTGCCTTGTCCATCTTTCCCTTACTTCCGGGTTATGAAAAGGTGCTGGTAAGGGGTGCTCAAAGGTGCTCAAAGGATGGCGTCGTCGTACGAGGCGACAGAGAAAGAAAGAAAAACGGGGATGAAATAGTAGTTATTGCAGTTCGGTATCTGAATGAATGCTAGTCTGGTGGCAGAGCAATAAAAGAGCTCAACCTGAAGCAACTTGTCAAGTTGTGTAGATCAAGACAAGTGTTTGTAGTCTCCCAATTTTCCAAGAGGCAAGAGGCAAGAGGCATAGAAAGGAAGGTGCGGTGGGGCGGGGCGACACTGGTGCATGGCCAGTGGACTCTGGCCCGCTGGCCCGCTAGAACCGGTACCGACCTGCCCCTCCTGATCCTCTCTCTCCATCAACTTACAGCTTCATCTTCCGCCACGTGCATCCTCGTCCTGAACCGCCGGCCCAGTTTCTCCTTGCTGATACATACATAATGGCCAAGATGCCCCGATTGATAGTCTCGACCAGTCTTCAACCCTCAAGGGTCCCCTAGCGCGCCTTGTCTCGTCAACGTCGACCAATTCCCTAAAAGAGATTAGTATCATGCTCTTGCCCCTGGCAGCCTGCTGCCCCCGTCGCCCGCACCATCCCATTCCGTAAGAGCCGCCAGGGGGACGCGAGGGATTGATTTCATCGATTCGATAATAGTCTTTTGAGCATGCGACCCGCGCATCCTCGATCCCTGCACTGGTACAGCCTGGTTCCCCTTTCCAGGTACCGTAGCCTGCTGTCTTCACCTGCATGTCAGTCTGACAGGCACTCTGCAACGTGCTATCATTATTCAATGCAATTCAATTCTGAAATGAGTCCCATCATTTCCTATATTCCAAATCCTGCGCCAATCTGCAAGAGCCGCCTCCCTGGGGTCACCGTGTCAGCCGTCTGTTCTAGAACCACAGCCTGCCTGTTTCATGGCCCCCAAGTGATCTTCTTCATGCCTTGGGACTCGGATGCGCGGCGCTGGCTGGATTGCCGTTTTTGGTATCCTACGTTTCTGTCAGTCCTTGTCAGATCCTCATCGCGGTCACACCTCTGCACTTACCATCTGCGTAATGAACGTGCGGCCAACATCAATAGTCTCTTGCATGCCATGCTGGCGCTGCCAAAAGCTAGAATCCCGGTTAGCCATCTTTCTCTGCCATCTTCTACAACTATGACTCACATTTCCGCTGGCGAGCTCTTGCCCCGAATCGAAGTAAGCCGTGCCTCTTCCTCGAGAGCAGCTCGGGTAATCTTCTCAGATGTTTCAATACCAGGAGCCGCGGCTCGCTCAGCCACATCTTGGCCGAGGTGGTCTTGCAGCAGACGACGCTTCATTTGGAACCGTTCTTTGCGTTCCTTCTGCAGCCCAGGGCTCTCTAGCTTGTCCAAGACGGTGCGGACAATAATCTGCGCTAGGAAGTAAAAGTGCTCGACGAGCAAAATGCTGAGAAGGAGTCCCCATGCTGTAAAATTGGAGGCGCCGCCACGGTCGCCGTTCCGGTCTCTGCTGCACAAAAAGACAATTGCGGAGCCCGTGACACTACCGAGCCACGACAGGACACCGAGAGTTTGCAGCCATGGGCCAATAGAATCAGCCCGCCACGGGACGGGTCGACGACAGCTCATGGCAATCTTGAGAGCATCAGAGCGAAGTTCGACCCAGTTGTTGACCAAGAAGCAGCATGGCGCCAGCGGCCAAGCAACAGAGAAAAGATTGAGGTAGCCTTGCAGTTGTTAGCTTGACGACGTTGATGTTCAGAAGGCGTTGGCAGCTGCTCACCAAATTGCATTACCATCTCGCGATAGTCTTCCGTAACATCGTAGACGTCCATTTCGTACTCATTGCGGACTCGCTTCATAAACTCGGCTTCTTCTGGGTTGTCCTGAACAGTTTCTTCGCCTCGCTTGGCCTGAAGCTCCTTGGCCTTCGCAAACGCTCTCTGTTTGACATAGGGAACAACCAGCTCAGTGGCAAAGTTGACAATTTGAGCCGTGACTGTAAAGTAAAACATTTGGGCCGAGATACGCTGAGGGTTGATTTGAAATTCACGCGTGGCGAGTGGTGCTTTGCTAAAGGTAATTGCCTGCGCAGTTCGTCTCCAAAAGTCAAGTGCTGGAATGAGAACTTGACCAAATGGCAGATATACGAACGTGGTGAAGAGCAGAGGCATGTACGACGTCATAAAGTTGAGGACAAACTGCTTCTGAATCAGAGCTGCACGATATGCGTCGACGGTAGCATAATTTTCGCGATCCGTCAATGCTTTGGCTGCGGACATCAAAACAGTGGAAATGATGGGTGTGCAGACGACCAGAATAACAGTCGGAACAAAGGTGAGGTATTGTTTTCCAGGGCCGTTGTAGACCTCGTTGATGAATATTTCGAGAGAAATGGCCGTGAGGGAGAGAGTACCAAGTGCAATGACGCATGCGAGTGCGAAGGGTACTTGGAGAATCTGCGTCTGGAGTCGCTTCATGGGAGGATAGACACGCAGCGCCTCGCCAGTGATGGGGTCTTCTTTTTCGTATTCCCACTGGAATTCAGGACGCGGCTGCTGAATTTCCGAGACGCGTCGAACACCCCATTGGACAGCAAGATCGAGCTCCTTCTTCTTCCAGTAGTCAAAGAAAACGACGGACCAGAGACAGGTAGCAATAGCGTAAATCATGGAGAATTGGCCCAGACACAGCCAAGCGCTGAAGCCAATTGCCGACGGGATGACCAGAAAGCGCAAATAGGATCGCAAGAAGACAAAGTACATGGTGATGTTCTCGCCAAATTTCTCGCGAATATCGTGGATCTCGGACTCTTCAAGAAGCCATTTGCCGCTCCAGTTGGAAATCCACGCCTTGTTGAACGCGCGGTTCTGGAGCGGGAAAATGGCATCGACGTACTTCCATTTCCCCGCATTCTCTGTGATTCCGGCGCCGCCCTCATTCTCTGGCTTTATCATCATGAGGTACACGAGTCGGAGGCGTTCGGCCTCGGTCACGGGTTCGTTTTCGAGTGTCTTGGCGACATCCTGGTTGGGGCTGGCGGATCGCACGCCGTGTAGCCAGTCCTGCAGCCTGGATCTGTAAATTTGGTTCTGAAGCAATTCGGTCGAAGCAATCTTGACAAAGACGTAGAGCGAGTCTTTGGTGGCGCGTCGCACCTCACTGGCGAGGCCGACAGTGGTCAAGGCCTTGATGAGCTCGATGTAGCCAGCTTCAGCTTCGGACTTTTCTACTGGGACATTAGCCAGGATAAAAGCGGATGGGGTCGACTCGATTGCAGCGAGGACCGTACCTTTGGCCGGAATTTTGTAGTGGACAACATAATCGACGCTGGTGTTCAGGAGCAGTTAGCGTAGGTGTCAGTGGGCGGCGAGCGGCGAGAGGGCGCTATACCCGTTATTGTCATCAACACTGCCGTCGTTCTTGGGGGGGTCCATTGTCGTTGTGTTATTTTCCGTCATCAAGGGCGCATACACATGAAGAAGTAAAGATGAGGGAGGAAGGAGATAGTTATGTCGAGTTGAAGCGAAATGACGTGGTTGAGGGCCCTTGGTTGCAGGGGGGGGGGAGGTAGCTGCGAACGGAGAGCTGTGGTGGAGTCTCTGGGTGGGTTCTAGCCGCACGGATATGCCGTACTAGCTACTATCTACTTAAGTACCTACCTATGCTCGGGGTTAACTTCGGAGACAAAGCTTGCATAGGAAAAAATCGTTTATAATAGTAACATTGATGTGGTGAATACACAGGTTCTGGTTGTCTTGTTAATGAAATTTGCCCTTTGATTCTTCATGGCAAGGTTGACGAAATGCAGTCAAGAGGTTGCGTCCAAGACAGAGGCAAAGCCACCATGACGTGGTGACTCGCTGAACAGGTGCAGGTGTGGGGCGTCAACGGAGCTGAGATGATGCAGCCCAGCTCAGCAGGGTTTGGAATGTGTCCCTGTTGAGCAGTTTGATCATTATGTATCATGACGGGTAGCCTTGCGAAAAGCGACACATTTTCGCTAACCAGGTAGGAAAGAAATGGATTTTTTTTTGACAAAATCGGCTCCGAGACCCGATATTCGGCCCAAATCCCGGAGTTGCACCGCCACTTCTGGCCGGCTAGTCGCCACATGGCAGCCACACAGGAGGCAGATAACTTGGTCGCTCACTCGAGCACATTAGAAGTAACTATTTAACTAATAAGTCCCAAAATTATTGAAAAAAAAAAATATTCTCGTGAGTACCTGTTATTGTTATTTTACCATCACATTCATCTTTCTCATTTCATTATTCGATCTTTCATTACTGACTTTCTTTTCGAAAGCATTGTCTTCATTCGGCAACAAGGGCCCAGAACCTCAAGGCGCAGGGACATGGAGAAGACAGAAGACAGCATGCATGACAGTCATGTGCGTGTGTCATAAATTTAAGGCCATCTAGCTTTGAAGATCGCCTCGCCTCGCCTCGCCCAAAGAAGCAGCTGACACGACGCATTTGAACTATGTACTCACCAAACTTATTTCCCTATCAGAGGGTCCAAGATACGGGCGGGCCACGCCCAGAAACCGCCACTGGACCAGCAAGTACAGTGGATGGTGAGGCTTCAAGATCCTAATAAATCATTGACGGCGGAATTTCTTCGCGCAACGAATTATTCATCAGTGTACTATGCAGGGTGCCTGCAGCACGCGTGCGATTGACTTTCCTTGGCAAACCACTAGGCGATCGATATCCCCCGCCACTCCTTGGTTTGTATTATAATAACAAGTTAGCATCAATGATCTTCTTCTGGGATAGGTTGCTGGCGAAACCCCCGCTTCTCCAGTGTTGATGTTCCAGCAAGGATTTATCCCAAGTAGGTAGGTAGTTAGTTATTAGTGGCAACCGTCCTTTTCACCAGCGTCATCTCAACTCCCTCACAATCAATGCAAGAAACATGCGAAACAACTTTGGCATTTTTGTACAAGACAGCCTAGAGTTCCGTCTGATCCTTGATCTTTTGGGAAGGAGCTCGGCCTCATCAAACAAGGTACCCTTATATGGCCCACTCGTCATCGGCCAGCGCATGAGACGGTACCAAGTTATTAGAAGTTGAAAAGTTACTCAAGGCAGAGATGGCGGAAATATGTTTTCATGTACTTGGTATACTTCAACTGTAGCTTGAGTGGACTGTCTTGCCACGCTAGCTTGGCGACGGGCCGATCGTAATACTACCTTCCTTTCTCATGTAGACTGTGACTTTTCAACTGAGCCCCACGCTACTCGGCTCCCGTAACTCTTTTGTTAATAATTACGGCTTGTCAATCAGTCTCAAAACTGTTCAGCCCGTTTTCATCCCAAATATGGCCCTGGCCACAAAGGACCCATGGTTTTGTATCGAAATAGCAAGCGTTCATTCAGATGCCAAGGCCTCTATCGGGTGTACCGACCGCCTTATGCGATTTACGCGGTGTCATAAAACTGGACCATTGTGCCGGTAGCCGTTCCTTTTCACACCTTCTTGATGCAGATGCCAGGAGGCAAAAGTACACCCATGGGTATTGGCCTCTCCCTCCACTCCTACGCTGCACCCCGCCGTTCAGACCTCGTCGGACATCGGTAGACGGAAAACTAGTTGTCGTCACATTTGTTCATAGAAGCGGGCCGATTCTCTTTTCATATCAGTAGTGGTAAAAGTCGTTCAACTATAAATCGCCAGCTCTCTCCCCTTTGTCGACATTCATGATAGCGTCATTCTCAACGATACCTTACAGTCGCGGCAATGTATACTTCTCTTCTGCCTCTTCTCGCCGCTTTGGCGGCCGCCTCTCCGGCAAACCTTCAGATGAGCCTGAAGCATTCGCTTCATATGGTCCCTCAGGGCTGGGAAGTCCACTCTGATGCTCCCGCCGATCAAAAGCTCAACCTGCACATCGGTCTCAAGGAGCAGAACCTGGACCAGCTCCAGAAGCGCCTTTTGGAAATGAGCACACCTGACCACGCCGACTACGGCAAGCACATGTCCAAGGACGAGATTAATGCTTTGGCGGCTCCTACCAAGGAGACGCTCACATCCGTTTCTTCGTGGCTGTCTTCCCACGGCATCGACGCTGGCGAGGTCTCCAACGGCCTGATGCCCATCACTGTCACCATCGCTCAGGCGGAGAAGCTGCTGGGCACAAAGTACCAGGTCTACCACCACGCTGCCGACGACAAGTACACCATCCGTACGACCCAGTACAGTCTCCCCCAGACTGTCCACTCTGATGTCACCATGATCCAGCCTACCACCATGTTCAGCGACATGGGCATGATCAACCGGCAGCTCACCGCTTCCAAGACTGCTATCAGCAAAGTCTCCGCGTCTACCAAGTCTAGAAGAGCTGGTTGCGGCAGCAGCGTCACCCCGTCCTGCCTCCAAAGCTTGTACAACATCAACTACACGCCCAGCAGCAGCGCATCGCTTCTCGGTGTCTGCGGCTACCTCGGTGAGGTGGCCAGTCAGGATGACCTGAGTAGCTTTCTCCAGGAGTACAGCATCAAAAACGCCGGTACCCTTTCGGTAGAGCTTGTCAACAATGGTACCAACGATGGTGCTGGCACCACCGAAGCTGGTCTTGATATTGAGTAAGTAAATATTCACCTGTCGTCATGAATGGTTGTTCTCTAACAGCTCGTCAAAGGTACACTGTTGGCTTGAGTGCGGGCATCAACAATGTGTTCTACTCTACTGGTGGCAGCCCCCCGTGGACGCCGGACTCTGGCAGCGACCCCAACAAGAATACTAACGAACCCTACCTTGACTGGCTCAACTATATGCTCGACAAGACGGACCTTCCTCAGACCATCACTTCTTCCTACGGTGATGATGAGCAGACTGTCCCCAAGGACTATGCTGACAAAGTCTGCAACCTGTTCATGAAGTTGGGTGCCCGTGGTGTCAGCTTCATGGCCAGCTCTGGTGACGGCGGTGTTTCTGGCGGCCAGCCGACCAATTGCCTGGCCAACGATGGATCTGGCAAAACGAAGTTCCTTCCCACTTGTAAGCTTATACCCAAATACCGGGAGAAAGTCAATGTTTATTAACCTGCATTTCAATAGTCCCTGCCAGTTGCCCTTGGGTCACCGCTGTTGGCGGAACTACGGGTACTCCTGAGAAAGCCGCTGGTCTCTCCTCGGGGGGGTTTTCCGAGTACTACGACGTTCCTGACTATCAGTCTTCTTCAACGTCGACGTATCTCTCCGGCCTTGGCGACAAGTACGCCGGTTTATACAACCCCAAGGGACGTGGTATTCCTGATGTTGCTGCCCAGGCGATCAACTTCCGAACTGTCATCGCCGGCAACGACCAGAAAGTCAGCGGCACTAGTGCAGCTTCTCCCACTTTCGCGGCTGTTATTGCTCTGCTCAATGACTACCGCGTGTCGCAGGGCAAGTCTCCTCTGGGCTTCCTGAACCCATGGCTATACAGCAATGCCACGTCCGGCCTCAACGACATCACGTCTGGTTCCAACCCTGGCTGCAAAACCGACGGTTTCTCTGCTGCTACTGGCTGGGACCCTGTCACTGGTCTGGGTACACCTGACCTGGGCAAGCTCCAGAAGATTGCGTAAGCTATTGGACTAATTGCTGTGAATCGGCTTTCTGTATCTGCATACGCATTATAGGGCTGCGTGCCATGCGTCGCATATTGCAGGGAGATCACTATACTATACTTGAACATCTTTATACATGACCTTTTCATTGACATGCATCTGCACTTGTGAGAGATTGACCATGTATACAAATACAACCTGGCCTTGACTATATATATTATAGAGGGTTTGTATGTGAGTGGGTTTGAGGATGAGCATGTCCGATCTACAGGGCCCAGCACGCTGTCAGGCCGCTGCAACATGTGCTAGAAAATGATTCCTATACCTGCTGTACCTCGTATCCGTACCTTCTTTGCTACTGGGCCCACGTGGTGAGTGTTGAAAAGGGTACATGCGTGTGCACATAAATACAGCGTAACAGCATGTACCTCGAATACAGCGTTCGTTCCCCCGCCATTTCAACAATTCTCAACCATGCATCAACAACTTTCAACGCAATTGCGCTGACAATCGTGACAGCGTCTTGTCAGTTTCATCAGCGCTCCGTCTTCCCATCCGGCGACAGGATTGACCTCGGCCAGATGGGTCTGCTACAATCGCTCGGGCTGCGCCGCGCCTCGCAGTGGCAGCGCCTTACCGTGCTCGACCACCTGTTGCTCTCGCCGCTGACCTTTGTCACCATCCATCTCTACCACCTCCTCGTCTGGCTGCGCGGCCGACCCGTCCGTCCACCGCGCGGCAAGGCGCCTGTTCGCGTCGTGTGCATCTCAGACACGCACGACCTCACCGTCGCGGTGCCCGACGGCGACATCCTCGTCCACGCCGGCGACCTCACCAACGAGGGCACCGCCGCCGACATCCAGACGCAACTCGACTGGCTCGCCAGCTTCCCACACCCCGTCAAGGTTGTGGTCGCGGGCAACCACGACAGCTACTTTGATCCCCGGTCGCGCCGGGACGAGGACGTGCGCAGTATGGCCAAGGTCCGGCTGGGAGACATTTTGTTCCTTCAGGGCGATATGACGGTCCAAGAGGTCAATGGGCGGAAGATTAGCATCTTTGGAGCTGGTGATGTGCCTGAATGTGGGCCGAAAGAATTTGCGTATGTTTATTTTCGTCGGGATACGGGTCTTATTCCAGGTACTGACCGAAGCAGCTTCCAATACTCTCCCATCGCACAACCATGGCATAGCAGGATACCGCCCCAGACCGATATCCTCGTCACTCACACACCACCTGTATGTTTCATGGTTGAACCCGACTTGGACGACTATCATCTAACATTTACACCAGAAACACCACCTCGACCTTGACCTCGGATGCCCGCATCTGCTCCGTGAGGTATGGCGTGTAAAGCCACGCTTACACATCTTCGGCCACTGCCACTGGGCCTACGGACAAGAGCCCATCTACTTTGACGAGATGCAGGCAGCGTACGAGACACTTCTCTCGCGCCCTCGCCGTGGCCCGCTCATGGATCTCATCCCCAACCGATCTTGGATCTACATGTGGCGGGTCTTGTACTACGGCGTGCATGGCGTGGTCTGGAAGTGGCTGATGGGCGGCCCCCGAGGCAACCAGGGCAGCATCATGGTCAACGCCGCCCAAATGTACGGCGATACCGGCCGCATCAAGTCGCGCGCCGTTGTGGTGGATATTTAACGCAAACACATGTACATATTGACTGTTGAACCCCCCAACACTAGCTACTCTACTAGAAGCCAGCTGCAATCAGAAACTGGCCCGAATAATACAAGATCCAGACAGCATGCTGCATCCACGGCCGGTGGCCCGACTCCCGCGCCACCACAAACTCCTCGGTCGCCAGGATCGAGTCGGACAGCGCAAAGAGCACGCCGCCCAGCACAATCATCTCGTTGCGCACCGTCAGCACCGCCAGCACCATGGTCAGGATCGTCGCCGTGTAGACAAGGATCGGCGCCCGCAGCGCCCCCACCACCCGCGGCATCAGCACGGCCGCCATGCCCGGCGCGAGCAGCATCATGCCGCCCGCCACGGCCTGCCGCCACGTCTCGGCCGCCAGCTGGCTGCGCCCGGCACCGACGCCCGCAAACAGCGCCACGTAGAAGAGGTGCGCGACGAGGAAGCTGCCGAGGCCGCACAAAAAGTTGGCCTCGCCCGGCCACGCCAAGAAGGCATCGCCCAGCGATCCGAGCGCCAGCGCCGGCACGAGCAGCGACCCGCGCCCGGCGCGCAGCCCGCCGAAGCACGCCAGCAGCGCCGTCGACAGCGTCTTGTACACCATCCGCGCACGGCTCGGCGCGGCCCGCACGTGCGCGAGGTACAGCACGGATGAGGCGACGGAGGCGGCAATCACGGCCGTCTCCGTCGCGTCGTTGCCCTGCAAGCGTTTCCAGTCCATTGAGGGAGAGGGGGAGTGCTGGTGGAGGAGCCGTCGCTAAGGTTGGTGTCAGCTTTGGAAGGACACCGAGATGCGCAATGGTTGTGGGCGTGGGCAGCGGTAGGCACCTACAAGATATAGTCCAATCGGACGGCGGGTTTGTGAAACAAAGAGGTGTTATATTGGTCGAGGAACTTGATTGACTTGGGATGACAGGTATATATTTAGAAACGGGCGCGCCGGGCTATTTAGCTCTCCGCACTTTCGGGGCTGAAGCTCAAAAGTGGCGCCTCGGTATAGATGGAAGTGGAGGTTAATAAAGGCAACTGCCACATGTCACGCCAAGTTGTAGACAAGTCCAGGTAGTTTGAATAATTTTGTGAATTGTTTGTAATTTCTATCTAGGATGGCGTCCTTCTCTCGACCATCTAAAAAAAAAAAAGAATAGCCCGCAAACGCAGAAGCTGACAAACTCCGTATCCTCTCGTAGAACTGTGTACTTGAATTAAAAAAGAAATAGGTATATATCCCGACAAAAAAGAAAAGAAAATCGCCAATGTTGTGGTATGATAGTTGTGTCTCTTTGGACTTCCTTCACTGGGGGCTATGTCAATCTGTTTGTTCCCCTCCAGTCATGACATTCAATGTATGCATCGCTTCGCGTCAACTTCACAGAAGAAGAACCATGGCCAGCATGGTGGTGAGGAGAAGCGAAGTCACCTTGAATCCCGAGGCACCGGCAACGACCGGGACAGTTGAGGGAGGCGCAGGAGGAAGCTTGCCGCTTGGGGCGGGAGAGGCACTGCCGCCAGACACAGGAGGCTTGCTGCTGCTGGGCGGGGGAGCCACATTGGCGCTAGGAGCAGGAATGACCTCCTCGCTCGGCGCAGGCTTCACATATTTGCTAGGCGCCGGGAGCACGTTGGCGCTGGGCGCAGGCTGCGCGTTGTTGCCGGGTGACGGGGGTGCGTTGCCGCCGAACGCGGGCGGAGCCTTGTCGGCGGGCGCGGAAGGGACCTTGCCGCCAGGCGCGGGAGGCAGCTTGTTGTCATTAGAAGGAGGCAGGCTGCCGCTCGGGGTGGCAGTCGGCGTGGCGACGTCGACAGAGCAAGGGACGGTAATGGTCACTGTATTCTCGCCCTTGCGACCACAAGCGGAGCAAGAAATAACCTTGGTCTCCATGGGCACAGTCATGACCGGAGGAGGGGTCTCGGTGCAGCCGCAGTGCGCCTTGACAATGGTCGTGACGAACGTCTCGGTGACGACCTCGGAGGGCTTGGAGGGGTAGACAGTCAGGTAGTGGATCGTTGTCACGACAGTAGTGGTAGTGCTCGTGGCGGTGATGGTGGACGGGTTGGTGGTGCCCACGACGGAAGACTGCTTGGCCTGGAAGTTGGGGGCGCTGGGGGCGTTGGAGGTGTGAATGCCCATGCCAGGGGGTTGCTTCGGGGGGTCTTCCTTGGCCACCGCGGCGTAGACGGTCAGCAGGAAATCAGCAGCCGCGCGGCGGTCAATTGTGCTCGGGCGGACGCTCTTCATCATCCTCAGGGAGCGGGCGCCGAGTAGGCGGCGGCCAGTCAGTGTCGAGTTGCTGAACGGTGCGGGGGCAGAGCCGCTCGCCACAGGGGCCGAGCCGCTCGTTGCGGCAGCCGAGCTGCTGCTGCTACTAGACGCAGTCGCGTTATCGGCTTTGGGAATAGGGTAGACGGGGATGGTGACGACGGGAGTGTCGGCGGACGTGGTCTCGGAGTTGCTGGGACTCGTAGAGTTGAACGTGGCCACGACGTCGAGTGTGGTGGTCGCAGAGGCAGAAGATGAGCCTTGCGTGGTACTGGTAGAGATGGACGAGTCAGAAGCAGAGATGCCGGAACTACCAGGGAGGGCCCCAGAGCCAGTCGAGTTGAACGTGGCAACGAGGTTGATAGTCCAAGGAGCGGTCAAAGTGCCCGTGACAAGCGGGATGCCGGTGCCGCTTGGGAGGGCCTGCCCAGAAGTGGTAGCGTTGAACTTGCTGCCGCCGACAGGGTTACCAGGGTAGGTGCTGTCAGTTCGCAGCGGCACAGGGCCTCCAGAAACGAAGCTGGAAGAGTTGGGCAGAGTAACATTGGCCGTGGCGCCGATGCCGTCGTCTGTGGAATTCCCACGGCCCTTGATGCGGCCACCGCAAAACTGGCGGGCGTTGCCCGGGCAGGCCGCGTCGCAGGCGTCGGCGCTGACGCGGGTATCCGCGTCGAGCTCCTCGGCGCAGTAGCAGGACGTGTCAAAAACGCCAGCGTACTTTTTGCCGTTGCAGAGCTCCGTGCACCTGTCGAGGTCCATGTCGGCGCGGTCGGCCACCTTGGTGAAGGACTTGAAGTCGCTGCTGGAGCCGAAGCAGCCGAGGTAGGAAAAGTCGTTGAGGTTGGCCGGGTTGGCGCGCGGGTTGCTGCCGGGCGCCGGCAGGGAGGCGGTCGGGATGGGGCCGGCACGTTCGGCAGTGGTCAAGGCGGTGATGCTCCCTAACGAGGTCGTCGTAGTCGAAGAGTTGAAGGGAGAGGATGCAGTCGAGGGCGAGGACAGGGAAGACGACGATGATGGGAAGGAAGACGATGAAGACGGGTTGGTGGGGTTGGGCATGGAGGAGTTGCTGGCCACGGAGAAGCGCGTAAATGTGCCGTTCTGGCTGCTGGTGCTGCCGGGGGTGGTGTTCAAGGACACGACCGGGCTGTTGCTGGTCGTCTGGCTCTGGCTGGACGTGGTGGTCAAGGACACGATCGGGCTGGTGCTGGTCGTCTGGCTCTGGCTGGACGTGGTGTGGGTGGACGAGATGCTGCTAGACGTGGTGGTGTTGGCGACACCCTGGACATAGGCATCAATGTAGTTGACATCCCAGTAGGCATTGGCAAACGCGGCCGGGTTCTTAGCCACCCACTCGGAGCAGGTGGGCGCGAGGGCGGTGCACCCGTCGCTCGCCCAGACGGCGTTGCCGTAGTCGCCGCAAAAGTTGATGTTGAGGACAATGCTCATGTCGCGGAAGTGCGACTGGACGTCGCAGCTCTGGCCGCCATACACGGCCTGCGGCTTGCCCCATCCGGCGGGATCGGGCCGCTTGGCAGCAATGTCGGCCGGCGCGGCGGCGCGGTCAAAGTGCCAGACCTTGATGAAGTCGTCGTCCCACTGCATGGCGTAGACGCCGCCGCCGACGGCGTTGAAGGTGTCGCCGTACGACGACGTGTCGGCCGCGGGGGGCACGTAGCCGCAGCCAATGTTTTGCGTGCCGACGTCGCAGTTTGTGTCCTGGGCGACGCCCGAGGCCATGGCCAGGACGTCGGCGCCGAGCTGGCAGCCGGACGTGGTGTGTGCCGAGATGATGTTGCGGTGCGCCGTGTTGGCGCCCTCGATGATGTCAATCTCGCCAGAGGCGGGCCAGTTGGGTCCGTAGGCCCAGACTATAAGCGTTGCGTCAGTTCGTATTGTCTGTTGGTTCGGCAACTTTGGCACTTACAAGCTGGCCATACGCCGCACTGCGACGGGGGCATGTGGGAAAAGTCGCCGATGAAGAGGCCCTGGTTGAAGGCCGTCTTGCTCTCGATGCGGATGCTCGGACGGCCGGCGGTGACATCGTATGTGTTGGTGTGGTCGACGCCGATGCGGACGACGCCCGTCTGCGGATCAACGGCGAAGAGGCCCTGGCTGGCTGCGTTGGCTTGGCTCTGGTAGCGGACGTAGCCGTTGGAGTAGTCGCGCGTGTCCACCCAGTTGAAGCCATTGATGAGGGCCTCTCCCGTGTACGAGGTGGCGAGCGAGTACGCCATCGTGAGCGGTTTGCGTAGAGGAGACAAGCGCGGAGCCGCGGGAGATGGTCGGGATCTGTCCCTGGACAGTCGAGACGGACAGCGAGAGTCTTTCTTGGATCAACAGGCAAGTCCCCAGTGTGTCAACGGATAATGGTTCGAGTATGGTGTGAGAGAGCAAGTCTGAAGAGGAGACATTTTCAATTGTCGGGACAACGGCGAGGCTATATACGACAGCATAAGGACCATCGAGTCACTGAATGAGAGGCAACGGGGCAGGGGTTGGTGCCCAGCATCTTACTGGAATGAGGTAATGGCCAGCTGGGGCTGGGCGGCCCTTGGAGAAATTGCCATTTCCGACGACGTTCTAGGATTCGAGGGAGAAGATAAGGCCTCGTAATCGAGAACAAGAAAGATGGCGAAGACTACGCCACTCTAGAAGGTCGGGAGGGCCACGAGGCATTCCAGTGTGAGGCGATTCGAAACGTTGCCTGGCTGGACGAGGCTCCAGGCGGCGAACAATGAACTGTCCCCTGCCAAGAACAATGGCCACGCAACCTATTCGCTTGTCCCTTGGACAGCGGAGACACACACACACACATGTCTCATCCGGAAGGGGGAATATTGAGTTCCTAGCTCCCCGCCGGCCCTCCCTTCAGCTAGGGATGACGTGATGGGGCCTCTTATCAGGGACATTCCGTCCAAATGCGTCGACCGTGAAGATTTTGCATGAGACATTTCGTGCTGGCTGGCGGCGCCCGGCACAGCAGCCGGCGCGCCGTCTCTCTCTCTCTCGTCGTGCCGGCCAACGGGCGACGGCGCAGCCATGCCCGCGACTGGCCGGGGAGCCAACACCAGCATTCCAGACAGTGACGCTTGATTCCTGCGCGCCACCACCTAATTGGCTCACGAGACCGTTTTGCATTCCTTCGCAACGTCGACTTTCTTTTGTATTATACATGCTAGGGTATAGAGCTCAAAACGCCGCGAGAAAATGCAACCGCCGCATGTAGTGTACATTGTGCCTCCTCCCCTCCGTTATTGCCGAACTCGGGCAACGGAGTCCAATTTTATCATTTTGTAGAAAAAAAAGAAATCCCGCGCGGGTGCGAATGCATCCGGAATGAGCTATTAATATAAAGCTTCTCGTTGCCCTTTGCTTTGGTTCGTCCCGTCCCACGTGGTTGCTTGTTGGTCCCCCTTCCGGAGGCACTCAAGATCAATAGTCCGCTTTTATTGCAGCATTATTAAATCATGATCCGCCGCAGACCCTCTGTGCCGCCGAGGACTCGTCTGCCCGTCACGGCGCAGCGACCCTGTCCACTTTCCCACTGGCCGTCTTTGCCCTCCATAAAGGCCTCCTGCTTGGGATGCATGCCCTCGATCCATCTATGAATACAAGTGTAGCAGTAGACCACACCAGTCTGGCAGGCTGTGGGCGTGACAATGTCCTCGAGGCAGATGGGGCAGCACGACGAGTCTTGGGGGAATGACACAACATGGATGGGCAGCCGTGAAGGTTTGGCGAGGGGCGCGTCTTTGGCAGCAATGTCCGTCTCGGGCGGGTCGGTGGCCTCATCATCGGCCCCAACGACGCGTTTTTCATCCAACGTCGCCGGATTCGGCTTCTTAAGATGCTTGGCCAAGAGACCCGAAACGATGGGAGGAGGCAGCTCAATGTTCTCGGTCGCCTTGCGCGAGAGCTGCTTGGCAAAGTCGGATTGGTACCACCACTCGAGGAATTTGAGCGCAAAGATGCTCATTGGCAGAGCAATGGACAGACTCGAGAGCACCGTGGACCCCAGGTTACGGGGCGAGAAGAAGGATTGGCCTGGTCGTCCATCGACCTTGGGCTTGGCCGCCGACAAGGCGTCAATCGCCTGGTAGTCGGCGCCCGTCATGCGGCGAATGCGTGTGCCGATGAGCCACAGGAGCGGGTTGTGGTATTTTGTGCGGTCGAAGAGGTAGCCGAGATTGAAAACCAGCATAGCAAAGTAGTAGGCCGCGTTGACGGAAGGGTACACGTTGGTCAGGAACCATCGGTAGTAATGCACGAAGCGGTCGCGCAGGGTCGGGTTGTCGGGCATGCGCGTGTAGGCAGCGCCGAGGAGAGCGCGGGGGGCATTGACTTCGTAGCCCTCGTCAAGCTTGCGCTTTAGGTAGGGGACGCCGACGAGAACGGCCAGGTTCATCCAGACGTCCTTGGTGGTGAGCTTGAGGGTGTCCCGGACGAGGTGCGGCGCAGCCATGCTGGCGCGAGGCACCTCGGCGCGGAGGGCCTTTTCGCGCTTGAGGCCGTAAAAGTGCTCGGTAAAGGAGCCGCCACGGGTGCGGAGGTAGTGGCGCTCGACGAGCAGCATGAGCAGCGCGTAGAGCTCGTCAAACGAGTTGAGCGCGCGCAGCAGGTACCGCGGGTGCCGGTGGGTGGCCACGGTCAGCAGGTACCGCAGCGTGGGCGGTAGCAGGCCGCTGAGCTGCTGTTCGGACAGTACCTCGAAGAGCGACGGCTTTTGGTCGTCCAAAGTGCCCCGGAGGGCCGTGACGAACTCCATGGCGGCGGGGAGCGTGCTGTGAGGGCGGGGATGTCGGGGCCGGGCCGATGCTCAGCCAGCGAGGTGAGGGGAGAGTAAGTCGCAAGGAAGCTTTCGAGAGCGGCAATTGGTTGTCGGATCGTATCAAGGCATGGCGGTCGAGCAAGCTTCGGGATGGTGGTGAGGATGGGGTTGATGGAAAAGAGGCTGATGAATGCTACACGCACAGTGTGGGTGGTCTCTGAAGGGGACCTCGGCAGTCCTTGGAGGCCGAAGCGAAGCCAGCTACCCTGGAGGTCTTGCTGTGTGCAGCCGGCTACCCTAGAGGGTTTGATGTGCAGCCGGGGTTGTTGCACGACACTGGGGTGGCGCGAAATGAGAATGTAATGCGATATATGTACTTGAAGCTTATCTCGCGTGTTTCCGACCTAGTCATTTGGCAGATGATTGGCAATCGTTGTTGCTGAGGATGATGCCCATGAAGTCCGTTGATGTATGGTCCTGGTATACTAACCTATGTATGTACTCCGTACCCTAGGTACCTAGGTACCTGGTAGGCAGGGAAGCCCCAGCAGACCAGGAATACTTCTCCCCGCAAAATTACAGCGCTGCCTAGCTTCGGTAAAGACCCCACAGAACAACGGTCGAATCTCCGTTTCCCGAGGTCATTATACCGGCGTAGATCCACAACACTCAACTTCGCCATGTATTCATCGAATCCGACACTCCATCCAAGTCAATCTAGGCTATGCCGTAGCATTCACAAGACGAGCAACTAGACAGTATACTCATCAGCATTGGCCTCAGCTCTTCAACGACAGACCAACTATCTGCCTCGGTTGTCGCCAGAGTGCGCTCGGCTATATAGAACCGCCAACCCCAAGCCTTCGACCAACACCCTTTCGCACAGCTCAACAACTACAGCCGCCAAGATGGAGGTAAACGGTACGCCAGAGGAGCGCATCCAGATGTTTCTCGAATTCACCTCGAAAAACAACACAGTAAGCGGGACATGCCTCTCCATCTTATGCAACCCCTCGACTGACGCGAATCCCAGAACTGGCAGAGCCGCATCTCGCCGCACGTCGAGCTCGTGTCGGTCCGCCCCGACGGGCCGCACCCGGGCGTCACCTTCTCCTTCACCGTAGACGAGTGCCACAACAACGCGAGCGGCAACATGCACGGCGGCGCCATCGCCACCCTCTTTGACTGGGCCACGAGCATGCCCCTCGCCCTCGTCTGCAAGCCCGGCTTCTGGAGCTTCATGGGTGTCAGCCGCAACCTCGACGTCTCCTACCTGCGGCCCGCCCCCGTCGGCACCGAGTGCCTCGTCGAGTGCGACATTGTCTCCGTCGGCCGCAACATGGCCATGCTCCGCGGCACCCTCCGCCGCAAGTCGGACGGCGTCATCCTCGCCACCTGCAGCCACGACAAGGTCAACACCGACCCGCCAGTCTCCAAATTATAAAGAGAGACTCGACCATGTTACATATGAGGGAGACTAGTACTGCTTTATACGGCGTTGAATAGATGTATACATTTTTTTCCTCTTCTCATAACAATAGAAATGAACGTTGCGCTCAGGACATTGATTTTAACAACAAGTATATACAAGGAATAAAAAAGACATTGAAAAACAGGTTAGTATACATATCTTTTGGCTCAACTGCTTTCCAACTGTCACGTCTCGTCATGAGGTACATCGACTACGTCCATATTCGCGTCCAGCAACAGCGCCGGCAATTCTCCCCGCAACATCTCAAAGTCAATCTCCAGCTCCTCCTCTTCCTCCTCCTCGTCCGCCGAGTAGTCCATCTCGCTCTCGGGGTCCGAATCCTCCACCGACACTAGCGCGCTGTATGCCAGAAAACCCGTCGGCAGGATATCGGCAATCTTGCCATACGGCGCCTCCGAATCGCTCGCCTTCCAAATGGCCGTAGGCCCTACCGGGCCGTGCGCGTCGTAATCGCTGTCGAACCAAAAGCCCATAACGCCGCGCGCGGAACGGACACCGCCGATTTGGATGCCCTCGCTCTTCCACCGTTCTTGCCCGTTGTAGAGAGACGATGACGTCCAACGCACTTCGCCTTCCACCGTCAGCCGGACGGTCCCTGAGGCTGTTTGTCAGTCATTAAAGTGTTGCAGCAGATTGCGGCGTATAGATGCTCACCTTTTAGTTCAGACGACGCGTTGGCGTCTAAGCCGTCGTCCAGCAGCCTGGAGTCGCCTGTAAAGTGTACCACGGGCAATTCCTGTCCATCGTCAGGTCCGGGCGGTTCTATACGCGTCACGTGCAGCTTCAGGATAATAAGTCGCGTGGCCTCGCCGACGCTGATACCGGGCCGGGGTAGATTGTCTGGAAACGGGTCTCCCATTGGAAAGTTGTACGTGAAGAAGTCGTTGTAGTCGAGGAAGCAAACCACTCTGTACCACGTGCCTGTGATTCCGTACGGATCGCTGAGCTCGAGCGACGACAGCTCGCGCGGCGGCGAGAGCGGCGGCGTCTGCATAAAACTGGCAGGCCACGACCCCGAAAACGGCGTGTTCCAGACGTCGCTAAACAGTTTGGACACGAAGCGCTTCGACTGTATGTTGTAGCCCAAGACGACCATGACGGCCTCGACCTTTTGCCAGTCGACGTGGCCGGAGCCGTCGTCGCGAAAGGGGCCCCAGCCGGTGCGCGCCGTGTGGCCGCGCATATCGTAGACGGACGAGCACGCAAATGGGTAGGTGCGCGTGGAGCGCAGCCGGCCGACATTTTGGATCGGCGAGCCGTAGAGGCAGTGCAGGTGCGCGCTGCGCTGGTGCGCGTCGTCGGCGGGCCCGCGCGGGGTAGGGAAGGTGAGCGGCCGTTCGCAGCGCACGCGCTCGAACAAAAAGGAGCGCTCGAGAAAGGCGGCGCACGTCGAGTCGCGGTCGGAGAAGAGCTGGCGGAGCAGGTCCGCGTTGCGCGAGGCGCTGTGCGTATTGGAGTTGTCGTTGGTATACCCGCGCGACGAGGCGCGGTCGAGGAGGTCCGTCACCGTCTTGTGGACGAATTCCAACTCGTGATCCTGCAAGCGCCCGTGGGTTAGGGGGAATACTAACCAGCAAGACACTCAATTTGGGGAGAGGAACGCCTCACAACGTACCTTGGCCGATGCCACTGGGCGATCACATATAAGCTGTAGCCGTACAAAGTCATGCAAGGCCTGCTCCCAGTCTATATTGCCATGTCTCGGTTTGTCCTGTTGACAATGAGCGCCATGTTTTCTGATTGGCAGCCTGACGATGCCAAACTCACCAAATGGTTGAGGTACACATCCTGGAACAGCTTCCAGTTGCCCTTGATATAGTCGTTGAACGCTCGGCAGACGCGGGGTACCCCGGCGCCCAGATCCCTGGGGTCCAGGAAGGCGAAGATGTGGTGCAGAAGCTCCGCGGGCAGCGCCGTGAGCTGCGCCATCGCATATGATGTTGGGATCCTCTTGCTCGATGATTCGGATCTCGTACTTGCTAGAAGAGGAGGACAACAAGAAGCGTGAACGCGGTTGGAGGCAGCTTTTTGATGGGGCGGGCCGGTGTCATGACGATGACAGTTGGGCAGCTTCGGACTTAGAGGCGCCCCACCCATGCCGGAGCAAACGAATTGACGGAATCGACTTGGAATAAAGGGGAATGACGTATACTGTGACACTGGAGGGGCTATCTCACTGGCAGTAAGAAACGAAATGACCATCTTTTATCTTGTATACACAGCTCTCCACCGCGCTGCAGTCATTGTTCGTTGTTCGCTGTTCCGTTTGTCAACTAGGTACCCAAGACCGCCACCGGCGCGGCCTCGGCAGTCATCAAGTCATCCTGCCAGATCCGGCTCCGCCCCCGCGTCGGCATCCCATGTACGCCGCCGCGTCAGATTCGCTGCACCATGCCGTCGACAAATGACTGCTTAGACTGCTTATCTGCATATAGCTTGCAATCAGGAAAACCCCCCCTTCCTGCGATGCCTACGAGATAGTACATACTGCCGAAAATTTTCAACTTTGCTTCAGAGACGAACATCTGTCACGCTCAAGTTACTTCGTAGCTTTGGAGCCGAGCCCCATCCCATCATACTGAACACTGCCTCGCCGCAATATTGACATTGGGCTGCCAACCGTGTTGCGCATGTTCGCAGGCAGACCTCCTCCAGCACTCCCATTACCATCCGCACCGTAGAGATGGTCCGGGTGGTGAGCGGCCAGCACACCCGGCGGCAAGCCCAGAGCTGGAATACTCGACTCTGCCACGGCTTCTAGCGTGGGAACTGACAGCACCGTAGATGCCGTCATCGGGGTGCCGGGGACGCGCTGCCCACGCTCCAGAATATCACGATAAAATGACTCCAGCGCCTCTGCGTCTTTGCAGAATGCTTCCAGCATATCCTTGATGGCCTCGGGCTCCATGAGCTGCTGCAGAGGGTGCAGGTAGTGGTGGTAGTGATGAAGCGGCTGCTGCGCATGGCTGCTGCTGTCGCGAGGCGGATGAGGCGGTCTTGGTTGCGTGGTTCCCAGCGAAGGACCATCACTCGCCCCCAAGGCCGGAGAAAGATGGCCAAACGTGGGACGCGCAACCGGCGAGGAGACGGGCGTTTGATCAGCCATGGCCATGGCCATTGACGATGCGAAGCCGCCCAAAGATAGGAGACGCGCACTCCTTTCCGCTGTTGACGTTGGTGCGAGTTCCACGTTTGACTGCACCCGGAGCTCTTTTTCTCTGGCCAACGATACTCGTTTACTATACAGTCTGTTGGCCAGCACAATGAAGTGACCTTTGTCGGTAATTTGAGCCAGCAGCAACCCGGTCCGGTGAATATACTGGCTGTACTTGAAGTCTGGTTTGCCCCATGAATAGCGGATATCCACATTGCTCGGGAAGCTCGATGCTGCTTCCATATCCAGCACAAAGTCAAAGTGCTTGAGAATCGCAGTCTGGTAAAAGTGCTTGCTATGCACTCTTGTCGGACCGTGAGCATTCGGGTCAAAGTACGTCTCCGGCATCTGGTCTGGCGGTGCAACAACAAGTTCAATTTCGTGTGGTTTGCGGAAGGGGTTAGCTTCCGTTATACGGCACGCTTCCTTGATCGGTACTTCCACAAGACGCAGGCCGTACTGGCTTGCTTCACGCTCCCACCCCTCTACGCAATCCGAGACGAGTTTTGCAGTCGTATTCATCCAATCGAGGCGGATGTGGAAACAGTTGTCTGGATTGTGCAGGCGGTCATAATGCAGATCAATCCGTTCGGGGCGATATGATCTTTTCCGGTGATCCACATCGTACTTCAACACTTTGCTGAGCTGCACAATCGGTTGATTGAGGGTCGAAGCTTTATTAGCGCCAAGCATCTGGGTGCCGCCTGGCGATGGTACCCCAGAGGAGGACTCCTCGGTACCAGAAGCGGAGCGTTGAGCAGAGACTCGAGGTGAGCCACGGCTGTTGTTATCTGCTAGTGATGACACAGCATCTTTCTTTCTGCTGCCGAACCAGCCGGGCTGAGGCTTGGCATATTCTGCTGCGATTTGGTAGTAGTAGTTTCCATCCCGGAACTGGTGTCTCTTTTCGACGTGGACAAAGAGACCGCGGGGCTTTTCATTCTTCCCATCGTTCCCCTTCTCCCCTTCCTCCTCCTTGAGCTTCTCCATCTCCTTTGGCGTTGATACCATCAACGCATTGCCCAAATCCTCTGCTTCTTCGCGACTTTCAATATCCTCGAAATTCTTCAATAGCCACGTTGTCATGTCCGACCCAATAAATGCGCTGTTATGTGTACGGAGATGCCAGCGCCTATTTCGCAAAGGAACACCACCATTTTCGATTGGTTGCTGCAGGGCGTCGGCGAGAGCTGTCAGGTTCAGATTTGCTCGTCGGAAAAGTTCTTTTCGAACTAGGAGGTTTCCCTTGCTTGAAGAGTATTCGACGCTCTCAAGTGTCGGTAGGTTGCCAAGCTCCACGGCGACAACCAATGAAGGGTCGTCGGTTTTGTAAATAATATTCAAAGGGCTCCGGTCCAAGATACGGCTCCGAGCTTGACCCTGAAATTTCCGCTCTGACGCCGAGACGTACCGATGCTTCTTCCACAACTGGGCTAGTCTTTGAATGCCTTCAATCCGGACCTCTTCGGGGTTATCTTCGAGATGGCTCTTAGTTGAAGCGGAGTATCTCATACTCAGAGGTATAAGAACGTATCTGGTTCGCCAGAACCGCAAACTCTCCATGAGTTCTTCGTGGTGACCGGCCAAGTATGAGTCTATCGTGTTCCAATTCCTTTCCGGTTTGGGATTGAGTATGTCAATTGACCTTGTTTCGTATGTAGAGTCCAACAATGTTTGAACGGCGGGCTTGTACGTTGTTGAAAATTCAGAGGATGCTGTCCGAGCAGGCTTCCGTAGAAAAATGTTGACCTCAATCTCGCTGCTATTGACACAGGAAAGTTGATGGATAGTGTTGCCCACTGACATGAAGACGCTATTTCCGTCCTCAAAGGTTTGATCTCGCGAGAAGATGTCCGCAATCTTGATCATTTTCTGTCCAAACGCTTTGGCGACGGCAGAGCCCACGACGACTTGAAAGCCCTGTGAGAAGCGAAGACCAATGAGTTCCTTCATGAAGGCCTTTCGTGACATGGGCTCGTCGTCGTCGTCGGTATTTTGATCCACAATATAAGGGTGTCGCTGGTACTCGGCATCAAATTGTGCCTTTGAAGGAAAATATTCCGTGGTTAAAGGTACTGAGGCAGGGCAACAGAGCGTTTTCCACTTTTGTGTTCTCATCTCGGAGGGCTTTGGAAACACGTGCTGCCATCGGCTATATAGGATCGCATCGTCAATGCGGTATTTCTCAGGATAGGAAGGGTTCAACAAAGTGAGCCACGGAGTAATTGCCGCTGTTGGGGACAGCGTAACCGGCAGTTCGGGTTGTAGATGCAGCCCAGGAGCGACACCGGCTCTCAGCTTGTTGTTATACATCTTCTGGACATCCTCAGCCCGGATAAAATTTGAATATCGTAATTCCGGATCCTCGCGCAGTCTATCACGCGACCTGGATGGTACCAGGGCAGGTACTGGCGTCTTCAATGTGTTGTTGGTTGGGCAATCTTGCAAAGGCTCTTTATGAGCAATCGGAATGCTTGGAGTTGATGGGGCCGGCTCCGACGCAATCTCACTTAAATCCGATTTTATCGACTTGGCCTTCTTGGCAGTGAGTGTTGACGACTGGCTTCGTATGCTGTGTGGTGTCGACGGCCTCATGTCTGAAAGAGACCGTGAATTAGCAGCCGGCCGTGGATCGGAGGAAAATGCTGGAGATGCGTTGACGGTCTCGACTTTCAATTCTGCTATAGCTGCCTTTGGCGCAGCAATGCCAAAGCCGCGCTGCCCGAGACTAATGTGCCGCATTAATTTGGGCTGCCTAGCAGTAAACGATGATGTCGAAGGCGCCTTGTTGGGGCTGGTTTTGGGTGGCTCAGGGGACTTTTGAACGGACGCCGTTGGTGGACGCCCTGGTTCAGCCATGGAAAACTTGCGTGCGATTGCATGTTGCGGAGGATGAGGCGTCATTCGATCTGGGACAGAAGTTCCCAGCACTATCGAGTCGTCAACCTGATATTTCCTTTGTACCTGATCGATGTCATTGGCGGGCTTGTGATGCTGTGGACGACGTTTAGGGGCGTACGATAGCTTGGCTCGAGAATCATCAAATGCCTGCAGTTTCTTCCAGAGTGTTAAGTCTCCAGTACGAGCTATTTTCTCTGGAATAAACTTTTGAAAGCCATATACAGTGTCTCCGAGGGCTTCCTGGGCCCGGCGAGAGGGCACGTATATGCTTTCTGACGCATTGTCTTGCGGCTTCTTGGAAGATAGCGATGTGTTTGTGGGAAAGCTGGAGTCCGAACTCAACGCTGCTGTCTCAATCTCGTTGGTGTCAAGCGCGCTTCTCATCTGAAGCCCATACATGCGGCATCGCATTTCGAATTCTTCCTCATTCTTGTCTTTTGCTGTCGATACAGACAGGGCGATGCCTTCATACGCCAAAGACTCGTCAGAGCCCGTCCAGAACGAAACATGCAGCCACTGAGGTAGAGCGCAACTCCACTCTTCCGAGTTGCGTAAAGACGAAAGTGAATCAGTGTGCTTCATAACGTTCTGAGGTATTTTACTAGGAGAAAATGACTCGGTGTGAGACTGGTAGCTACCGATGACGGGGGTTGGATTGCCTCCCGTGCTGTTGTGACTATGGAATGACCTGGAAAGGGCATTTTGATGCTTAACAGTCTCATCCGAAAAGTGAGGATTCCTGTATTTGAAGAGCGGGACGGAGTGAAGAGGCATTCCTGGTAAGCATATCAGATCGATGCCTATGCCGTTCCCCACGAGTGCCTCCGTTGTGCGTCGTAAAGTTTCGTAATCAACCTCAAAAATACCCGGGCTTGGCGTGATGACAGCGATTGAGATGCCGGTTCTATTGAGATCTCGATCGATGTAATCATGGGCATACTGGGACGAGGCAAGATGGATTGCTTCCAAAACGTTGCCATGGATGGCCAGAGAAGGGTCAGCTTTGATGCGTGTCAAGGCTGTTAATGCTTCTTCATGCTCTGCGTCGGTAGTCTTGCTTCCTCGACTCAGGGGCACACTTTGATGATGAAGGCTTATGTCTCTGCGGAAGAAGTTGAACTCTCTCTTCAGCTGGTACAGAATCTTGGTCCATTCACCGCTAGACATGTCGCTAACAACCACGCGGTAAAAGTCTTTGTATGGTCGCTTGTTGCCGAAGGGCTGCACTCCCGTGAAATATTCATCCAAAAGGCCATCACTGGCCAGGTCAGACGCAAGTCCGGTATCGTATTCCACGCGCGCGAATAGCACAATGCTGACCAGATGCTTCACCTTGAGTGAAGCCCAGCGCTTAAATAAAGCAGGCAGGAAGCCGTTGACGACGCGGTTGAACATGATTTCCCCAGAGGTCTCAGTATCGAAGTCCCACATCTCCCTTGCCATTTGAATAAACAGAACATATCTGGCGGATTCGCTTCGGAAGATGGGCCGCGTATTGCGGACGAACAGACCGGAGTGCACGCTCTCACCTTCAACAAAAACAGCGGTAACTTGAGCTTTGATGGTACCCATAAAGAGCACCGATTGCCCTTTGTAAACTGTACGCTCCGTAAGTTCATCAACAGACAAGCGCCACATGTCTGAGCGTGACAGATATTCGTCTCTGAAGCAAAGTTCAACATGCGATGCCTCCATGGCGCGGTGGTCCTCATCGACAGGAGTGAGAAGGACCTGAGTTCCTCGTTTCATCGCAAAAGCATCCGAAATATGACGGACGATGCAAACCTCTGCGTCCTGGTTGCGTGCCTTCATTTCTCTGGGCATGTCCTTGACAACAAAAATGTAACGGTGGCCAAGCGCAGTCCGGTCCTTAGCCAGAGCCGCAGCCGCTTTGGCCGCCTCGTTTCCATCGTGAACCTGACGATTCAAGCTGCCGTGCCCCCCCAAGACCTTTGTGGATTCGGATTTGATGGCAGAAATGGCCATCAGCATTCCCGGCCGCACCTCTGGCCCCACCACGTCAAGATTGAGAAGGACCTCATCGCGCATGTACCCTTCCGCGACCACCACTGTGCAAATGCGCTCAATTCGGCGCGACCTGTCCTCCCGCACAGTGGATCGGGTTGAAGTGCTGCTGATGGAGCTTGGCGATGCCGTGGCTCTGCGATCGATGCCGTAGTTGACGGGTTCGCGCAGGTGAGACCACGGCGGCCCTTTCCGCGAGCCTGAGGGGGTGGCGCCGACATTGCGGGACATGGGGACCGACTAATGACTGGTCGAGAGATTGGGATCATATGGAGGCGATGACTGGAGCATGACTCCTACAATTAGGCGCTTTGCATACAGTGACAGCCGTCGATTGGAGTGGCTGGGAGTGCGAATGTTGATGAGCCGGATTGGCTGGTGCGGCAGAATCCAGAGCTGTGGTGGGCAATCGCCACACCGCCTTCTATTCTTGGTCGCCCCAGAAATCAACCCGCCATCGCGTGAAATGCAACGCGCCGATGTGAATCAGTCTACCTTGCTTCCTGAACACCTGTTTCCAAGCTTCGTTTCGTGTCGAAGTGCGCGTGGCCCACGGACAAGGGAGATTCCAGAACGATAATGAGTCTCAACGTATTCCCTGCGAGCTGTTTCATCCAAGGAGCACCACGATTTTGTGCATCTGCTCGTCACAACAGAGCTCGAAAGGCAAAAGGTTGGCGATGTCACCTTGAACTTGGGATTGACCGTCCCAATCCCGAGAGCACAAAAGCATCTCGAAGTAACACCGCAGAATTTGATATTTCCGTGACAAACCATGCTACCTTTCGGTTTCACAATGTCGGCGACGGCGCAAACAGGCACCCTGATGATAAGCTTGCCAGTCGTGATGCGAGGCGGTATCATCTGGATATTGGGGTCTCAAATCAGCCGCAGTACTTGAGCCATAATACATCGGATACCGAAAGTGAATGAGTCCATCGCCTGATATGACAGAACTTAACTTATTGCAACTACCGACTCTGCGAAAAGATTGCCGGGCCAGTCACTGCCAGCGCTAGCAACCCTCTTGCGTTCCATTGATCAGAGTTTGCTCCTCACTAGGGACTATCACCTGCCATCTATGAATGGAACTGTGCCAGCTTGACGTCTCACTCGAGAAGGGGACGGTATTTCTTACCTTCTGTTCCACGAAACGGTTGTTAAGTGGACGACCGCGTAGAGCCCGTCCCATGTCCTTATATTCTTGGCCTTCCCGGAACTTTCTCTCTGAAGCATGCATTGAAGCTTTCCCAGTCTGCCGTAAACGTGAACCTCTTTCTGAGACCGTGGTGCATCTTCTGAAGGAAACATTTCGGACCTCGATATACCCTTGGCCTCGTTCCAAAAGTTCAATCGCCCGCTGTCATGGGCCGGTTCAAGTTCGATCGTCGTAATCGCTTGATTGCTACTATTGCAATTTCTTTCATGTTTTTCGTCGCTGAGATTACAGGTCAGTAATGAGAGCATCGCACAGGTGACCTGACAACTGACGCCTATAGCTGGCTTTTACACGCATTCTCTTGCCCTCGTTGCGGATGCTTTTCATTACGTTGGTGGCCCATGTGTATCAGTTCCTTGCCATTTCTTACCTGCAAATAGTTCAGTGACCTCGTGGGGTTCGTTGTTGCCTTGACGGCACTCCAGGTAGGCCAAGACTCGGTCTGCGCTCGGTGTTTATGCTCACATGGGCGCAGGTTTCCGAACGCTCGAAGCCAGTACCATCAGGCTATACATTTGGATGGCAGCGAGCTACTATCTTGGGTGCCTTTTTCAATGGAGTTTTTCTTCTGGCACTCGGCATCAGTATTCTGGTTCAAGCCATTGAACGCTTCATCAACATCTCGAGTCGGTACTCCCGAGTCGACCTTACTGCTCAATGCTGATCATTCCAAAGCAATTGAAAACCCCAAGCTGGTCCTCATTATTGGGTGTATCGGGTTTGGTCTGAATGTGCTAGTCATGTCATTTTTGCACGGTGAGTGAAAGCGTTAACCCGTTTCTGGATCTGTTTTAATGTCAACCTAGAGCACGACCACGACCACGGACACGACCACGGAAATGCGCATAGCCACGACCACGGCCACGGCCACAGTCATAGTCATGATGGTAAAGAACGCCATGCTCAACTTTCCGAAGAAGTCATTGAGTCCCACGCGTCTGCTAGCGACAGTGACAGAGAGAGTTTGGAACTCAGCGCAAGTCTTGTAATACCAGCAATCAAAGCATCGTGCTAACTCCTTAGAGTAGTTAATCACTAATCATAGTGAACACAAGCACAGAGTGACCGCCGTGGCGCACAGCCACAAAGACCTAGGCATGATGGGTGCATTCCTTCACGTTATGGGTGATGCCATTAACAACGTTGGTGTGATTATTTCAGCGCTGGTAATCTGGCGAATGGAGGGAGAGAAGAAGTACTACATCGACCCAGCAATCGGAGTGTTCATTGCCATCATGATCTTCTTCACTGCGATGCCATTGACCAAGAGAGCCGGGCGTATTCTGATGCAAACCACACCTGAAGGGATCGACATCAAGGACGTGAAGGAGGATATCGAAATGGTACGATTTGCACCACGAGAACGAAAAAGAGCATTAATAACACGACGCGTACTCAGATCCCCGGCGTTGATTCCGTCCACGAGCTGCACATCTGGAAGTTGAACCAAACGAAGTCAGTTGCATCGGCACACATCGTGGTGGACAATGGCTTTAGTGGAAAATGGGCACCAATTGCGAGAACAATTTTGGAGTGCTTCCACGCCTACGGCGTTCATTCGGTTACACTGCAGCCAGAGACTGCACCACCTTCCACACAACCTGTGCACAGCACTGCAGTTGATCTAGAGAGGCCTCCAATCAAACCAAAGGAAACGCGAGTTTGTCAGCTGCTGTGCAGCAGTTTCTGCAGCGCGAAGCGATGCTGCCGATGAGCATGATCTGAAGGCTGATGGCTGGCGCGGCACTTCCTGGAAAGTTTATCTGCACGATCATATGAGGATATTTGAAGAATATGGCACATGGGCTTATTAAACGATAGCTGTCTGCGCAGACATGGGTAGTCAAGTGTTTGATCGCGAGTCTTGTGTAAGTTGCCAAGGGGCTGAGTCTTGGAAGCGTACGACTTGAACACAAGATACACAAATCAATATATTGGATACAGCGAAGCAGAGTGACTTGTGTTGAACAAGTTTGAACGACGGCCGATGCGCATGCATGAAATCGGCGTCATGAGACCATTCACGTTACCCAGAACCGGACCAAGTTAAACAACGCCGCCCCAAGCCCCAAAGGATCCAGCGTGGGTCAAGGATGATCAGGGTCTTTGCGGGGCCGTCATATTTCGAAGCAGCTGGACATTGACCAGTCGACAGTTTCGAATTTTCGGAAGATTGAAATCACAACTAGTATCCAGATCAAGACGACGGCCCCTCCACGAACAAAGGGGCTTGGAGCATTCTGATGAACAACAGCGGTCTGACTATTAGTCCGTACAAAGGCCCAACAAACCCAGATCCTGAGGCCGAGCAAGCGGATGCCAGCCGTCGGTGGCGCTCGGGCTCTCGGCGCTGTCGAAGTGGAAAGGCGGTAAGTGACTAATTTATTAAACCATTATAACTAGCCATTGTGACTGGGCAGGCAAGTCGAATCGGTTGAAGTACCAGGTAATACTCGCTAGGCGTTATTAACTGCAGGGGAAGGATCATGGCGTCATTATAAGGGACAAAACCTCTTTGCTATTACTGATAGTATTACTTTGTGTTTTGAAGATTCTCCATTCCCTGGTAAGCCTCCCATCTGTCCTGCCCTTCTTTGTTCTTATGTTCCAGACATCCTCCAGCTTTAGACTGGGTAACTAACTAAAACAGAGGAGAATATTACCCTGCTCTGTAAGAAACAACTGTTATGGCTATCGTTTTGTTAACACACTCCTTACTCTCATGACTTTTTGTTCCTGTTATATTCTTCACCACTTCGTTTCTTTATCAAACGTCGCGTCTTAATGTCATAGTTAAAGCGCGTCCCTGGTCTTGCAAGCTACCATACTCAGGCTCGGTATCCGATGACGCTAGTTATTCCACGGCCGCACTTTGATACATGACTACCTAGTTAGTCCCAGAGATCTGAACGCTGCACACTGCATCTGCACGAATCACTACTTTTGGCCTTCCAGTTAAGTACCAAAAGCCAAGCTTTGCGGCAGAACTAGTTAGGCTTAATAAAAGCTGACGAGGACGCTAACGCTGATACCGCATTTGTCTGCTGTTGTGGACATCTGCTCATACGTTCCGGCGCTACTGCCCTAGTTGCCGGCAAAGCGCGCGGGATTGTTGGAGGGAAGGGCAATTTGAGCGGTCAGTCAAGCCTCAAAGGCCACCCCAAGCCATAGCCGAGATACGGGCACCGTGCTTGGGGGCAACACAAGGCCATCGTATCGAGTACGATAGTATTCGAAACAGTCTACGCATTGTAAAAGAGTAACTAGTCAGATGTAGTCAGATGACTATCGCCTTGGTAATCTAATAACAGAAATGCAATGCTGGCAACTGAAAATGGGCTCGGCGGGCTGTGCGGCATATTCAGGTGGAACATTGCTGGGAGTCTGATGATCCACAGGCAACAGGCGGCGGGGCCTTCATTAATGCGTACCATTCGATTGGGCACCAACTGGAAGTGCTGACAGACGGTCCAGAATACCTACATGGGTTGGTTGGATGTGGTTGAGCCGTTGTCGTGTGTCGGCTACTGATATTGCGCGTGCGTGCTGCCGTCTGGGGAACATGCGTCATTCACCGCAATTTCGTATTTTTTTTGGCCAAATATCCTGGCAACTGGGGATGCCTTGGCTGCGAAATGCAGGGTGAGAGAGGAAACAGCGCCGTCTCTTTTCTTCCCCAGACATGGCGCCATTTTAGGTTCCGGGGGATTTGACAGGCGAGCCGGGTGTGCAGCGTGGCCATCCTGGAATGCCACGGAACTCCCTAGTTAGTGATGCGTCATTGGGATGGCATGGGGTAACTATTTGACGGTTGAGGCGTGCCAGTAAAGGAGCAAGACGACAGCCAAACGAACGATGGAGACGGCGATCTTTGGTGCATGAAGCGGGCATGGCGGGCTTGACGGACGATGTTGAAGCTGCAGCCATCATGCATGTGTGGGCAGCTGCCATCAATGGACGAGTAGGGTTTGCAGACGGACTGTGCAGCCGGTATTAGCGGTAATTGAATATTGGTACAATTAGTCAATGAGGGCATCCAAAGACAGACGGGTATGCACATTGGACAGCAGAGGAGAGGCAAGAGGCAAAGAGGGAATCCGGCTGGCTGCCAGCTGGTGCCAGCTGGCAACTGGTGTCGTCCCTCCATCCGTTTGTCAACACTCTGATTCGTGTGGGTGGCGAGTCGCCGTGATGCTTCAACTCGTGCAATCCCACGGCCCCCGTCTTTTGTAGATCGGATTGCCTCCTGCCAACAATGTGGATGATCAGCAGCACCCAAGGCCATAGCCAGACTCCTTTGCCACCCCATCTCTGCCGCGGTCTTGCCAGCCTGCCGCCCGCTCGCCAAACGAACGACATTGGAGGGAAACCAGGGCTCTTGGATACCTTCCCCTACCCCATCAACAGATTGACTGACCAAGCCAGGAACCAGGCAAGAAAGCAAGAAAGCAAGCAAGCAAAGGCTTCTGTCCGCCAATCCACCATCCCACAATCCAGCCGAGTTTGCGGCGAGATCTTTCGACAGCGAGACTGGGGATCAGAGTGTCCCAGGGCGCTAAGCTAATTACAACACTGAACGCCACCAAAAGGTGCTAAGATACCTTGTCCTGGCCCACGCCCTGAGGTGGGCGGCGCCGCCCCAAATCTTCCACTCGTTGCTGAATGAGCACCGCGTCCCAGCTTTCTGGGTCGGTCCTCAAGTCTCGGCCACCTCCTCCCACACCACTGCCAGAGTTATCGGGCCACTGATTTCAATCGCCTCCGCCCGGTCCTCTTGTCCTCGTCAGTCTTTGCCTCCATCACCGCCTCCCCAGCCCGTATTCTTTTTGTCGCAGCCTTCCCGCCGCCTCTTGTACGCCGCCGTACTGCCCTCAGCTTGTACACCATACCGACGAGCCGAACCATCCTGCCACCATAACAAGCCCCGAACACTTTCCGCTCCGACCCCCTTCCGGCCACCCGCCGGGCATGTGCATCACTCGACAACCACGACAACATTGACCGACTCGCCTCTGTGCTCCCGCCTCACCTGACCTTTGTGCACCTTTGTCTGCCAACTTTCGCATCCTCATTCTCCTGCTGCCGCATCTTCTCAAATACACCAACTGCGCCCGCGCCCCCGCGCACCAAACTCACCCATACCCCCGACAGTTCAACAACGCGCCCGCCCTCGTTGAGACTGAGCCCCAGATTAATAAAAGCCGACAACCCCCGTCAATAGCACTTCCTTCCAACAGTACCAGGATATCGGCGTGCCGTGTCGACGCTGCACAAATCGAGAGTTCATATACGTCGTCTTCCGACTATGCGTCCACTCCGGCAACAACACTCCAACACGTTTCCCGGTAATGGACGGCAATTCATCGGCCTAAACTAAAGAGACCTCGCCAAGCGACCGGCCGTCGCAACAGGAAACATGATCGGCCGGCTGCTTAATCTCGGCACCGGCAGTAACGGCGCGGCCAGTTCTCATGATCAAGCGTACAATGGTGGCCCGCGCCCACTACTCTCGCTGGACTCGGTGCAAGAAGACATACATACACGAAATCTTCTCTTCCCCGACGCGCAAGCGCTTTACCAACATCGCAATGATCAAGTCTTTCCATTTTCTACGGCGCCTCCTACGCCATCAGCAGCCTCGGCGAGCGCGTATGACTTCAACGACGAAATCGATTTTGATGTTCGTGATGTTCGCATCCTGATTATGCAAGATAATCTTGGGGCGTCCTCTGCATCCCTCTTATTCGACAGTCATCCTGTGACTGAGGTCGACCGCACGGCATCCAACAACGATGGCCGAAGGAATCCATTATCCCCTCGTAAGGGTAGCGTGAGCCATTCGCGCCCAGTCTCGATTCATACCGAGAGTACCCAATCTCATTTCCGCCAAGGGGCTTTTGATCGACGTGGCTCCATACATAACCGTAATCAGAGTCAGGCCGAAACTGATACCCAGAGATCCTATCGCGAGTATCGGGAAGAATTAGCCACCTTCTCGAGCTGCATTTTTGGCAACTCCGAACTCATGGCCTACAAAGGGACATCTACGAAAGTACACGTCGTCCCTAGCGATACCCGCACGAGTGAGACCGCCTCTAGTATCGGAGATGGTCGCAGTTCCATCGGTCGTTCCAGCATGCGTTCAAGCAAGCTCTCGCAGTCATTCTCGTCGCAAGCCATGTCCCCGACATTTGGCTCAATGCCCCCCACAGCCTCTGCCACACCTCGTCAAAGTGATCGCAAAAAGGTCTTGATCACTCGCCTCTTCCCTGTCAATTTAGCCCTCGAAGAAGTCGAGCCCTGTGCCACGCCGCAGAACCGAAGTACAGAAGAGAATACCGGTTTCCCTTTTCCGCCCACCATGGATGAAGCGGCTGCTCGCAAAAAGAAGAAGCAACCAAAGCAACGGCGCACTCCAATGTATGCTGTTGTTCTCGTTGTTCAGCTCCCTCCCGCGACGTCGCGGATTTCTTCCGCCGCACCCGCCAAATCGACATTCCGCGAGCCCGGCTCGTATAATGAGCAAGAGGTTTACTCATCTTCTTACAATTCTGTGCGGGCTGGTGGAGGTGGCTGGAACATGTTTGGCTCCGGCATGCCCACTGATCCCAATGAGTCGCCATTTGCCTTGGACGTCGAGGATAGGATCGACTCCTTGACACAACATTGGGACATCATCATGCGAACCCTGACGCATCTTCAGTCTCTTTCCGCCACGAGAATACACCAGCTACTGAAGCATGCTGATACTGCATCTCCTGGTCAACAAACACCCATGGTTGCGTACCAGAGCCATTCTATGAGAACTGCAAACATGAATGACAGACGTAGTGCTGAGCCTCCGAGAATGAAACCGGCCAAAAGCACCACTAAGCTGGTCTCCCTTTTGCCCAACTGCCTGGCAAACGATATTGATATTGCTTTGGAAGTTGGGCTTGCAAGAAGCAGAATCGTCATGGGCATAGGTGCTGCGCGTGTTTTTACTGGACAGGGACGCTGGGGCATCTGGCGCGATGAGGCTATCTGGACAGCGAAATGGGCGTCATCACTCAATAAGGGGCCGTTCTTCTACAACGTTCTTACAGGATTCCTTGCCACACATGTGGACTGGCTCTCTGCTCTCTCCAGCCCGTCGCACCGCAGAAAGGCGGCTCTCCAAGCCCGTCATAAGCATGAAGAGGATATGTCCCTACCTGCAAGAACAATCATCATCTCCGATGACAAGATGGCTGCCCGCAGACTGGTATTTCTCCTCGCCGGCTTTCTGCCTGCCAATCAGCAGATGAACGCCCCCCGGCTGCACCGTGCGAGCACGTCGACATCTGTTGGTCCGCTCTCAAACTCTCCTCCAACCTTTGTGATTCCTGTGCTGCGAGAAGAGTCTCTTCGACGGAAGATTAATCGTCGAACCGGGCTAAGAAGAGCATCGCACTCACGTGTGGGGAGCCAGAGCGCAAAAAACTCGACCGTCATCCCCCAACTTGCACAATTCGGCCTGGATAGAAATCACCAGAGACGCGCATCCGATGCTGCATCTATCCGCACCACCAACTTACCCATGGCTGGTAGCGACCTAGTGACCAGGAAAAGTAGCGCTGCCACGACCGCGACCATCACGCAAGAGACGACTACGCCGCATTTCACAAGCCTTCAACGAAGTGATAGCCACTTGCGCCACCGTCCGGGAAGCAGTAGCAGTTTCGCAGCCGACGACTTGAAGCGATCGCTCAAGAGAGGCGAGAGCAATGCAAGCGTGAGCACGACGGTTTCTCGCCCCCCAAGCTCTGGATTAAAATGGGGAAATCTGATGAGTGGCTTCTGGACGGCACGACGAAGGGACTCCTCCGACAGCAATACTGCCAGCCAGACTAGCGAGCTACGGTCGCCCGTTAAGTCAACCTTTCCAAAGACTGACACACTGGCGGAAATGGTACAGGAGTCTGTGGTACTTGAAGAGACTAGCGATCTGCCAAGGGCGCCGTCTCCGCGTGCATCTGTAGATGCCGCACCGACAATGACAAGACAGAGCACCTCCGGTACCAACGTCAAGCAGCAACGGGCGTCTTTTTCGCAAGCGGATCGCACTCCAGATCCCAACGGAGTGTTTGACTCCCCCGTCAAGACCTCGATCAATCCAGACGATGGAATCATCGACGTGGACGTGCCCTTTCCTGACTACATTGCATCGTTTGAATCTGCTATTAGCTCACCTTCTAGCAGCGGCTATCTGTCTACACCGGGATTGCCTGGTAATTTGGACTTCTTTGAGCAATCAGCACAAATTACCATCGATGGCGATACACCGTTGAACGCCGCAGGCTGGCTCAGCCGTTTCCACCCTGATTTTTCACTGCAGGCCATTCCCCTTCAAGATAACCTCGTTGATAAGGTTAAGGCGGCAATGCGTGCTGAGCCTACCCCAGCACCGCTTTCGACTCAGCATGGTGAATTGGATGAACGTTGGGTGGACATAAGCTCCACCATCATGGCTGACACTACCACAAATACTGTCACTCGCCTCGTGTATCGCAGGCTAGTGAAGACTAGAGCAGGGCTCGACCTGCCCTCGTCACAGCCAGTCAGCGCCCACACACCATCCGTTCTGCCTTATGAAACCCAACTGGACGAAGAATGGGTCGAAGAAGTGATTCTCGACGCCGACAAGTCCTTGGTCGAGGCTGTTGAGAAGGTTGTCAGCGCCAACGCCGAGGCCATCAAAGATATGGTGCCGGCTGCGCCCATGCGAGCAACGAGTAATTACGTCAGCAGTGCCGACGTAACTCCCGATTCGCTTTCGGAGACGACAGAGTTGGCGAACCCCTCTGTGGACGTACCCCGTGTACAATGCAAGACTGTTATGCTGTCTGCGCTGGAGGACATTATCCGGGACGTCATTGACCAGCGATATGAAGAGGGTGACGTGCCCATTGTCACAAACTCGAGAAGACGACCCAACCTGCTCCGCGAAGCAGTCAGGTCATGGTTGTTGAACCTCGAGATAGAGTAGCGACTGCTACGTCCACCTGCCACATTTCCCCCCATTCCATTTTACGATAATTTCTATTAGCGTCATACGCTTATTCGCTGCGCGTTCTTTCCCTATACCACTATAATAACTTCGATACCCATATCATCATCAACCGCGTTCTTTTTGTTGGGGGTTCTTTCAAGGCGTCATGGTTGGGATGGTGTGGCCCTGCCAGGCAGGACCTTTTACCTTTTTGCGCCAATACTGCAGAGAAGCATTTCTCCCCCATTCTAGTCATTTGATTCGACGGACCAACGCTGTTTTCTTGCGTCATTTCTGCATTTTTTACGGTGCATGGTGTTTGCTTGGGAAACTACCTTGGGCGAAGGGCCCTTTTTAACGGCCAAGGTTTTGATGGATAGCAGATTTACCCCCTTTTAATGGGCCATATTTTTATACACCTTATTATTTATTCTCTCCTTGTTATGTTTGTGTGCAGCTTATTCAACATTTTATCTGGCATGAGCTTTTCGGAGCGTTGCTGCCCATAGTGGTGCGAAATAGAAAGCAACTAATAGCATTTCCATAATCTGACAGGTTCATCCGAGCTCCTTCTGTTCAAACACGGTCACCAAAGAGAACAATTGTTGAAACGCGACGAAATAGGATGCTTTTATTAACGCCAGTGCTCCCATGTATACTCTATAAACATTTACGATCGCTTCCGCATCGGCCGGGCATTCTTCTCCTTGCGCTTCTGCTTCTCCTCCCTGGCCTTGCGAATGTCGTGAACGCCCTTGATCTCCTTCTTGCTGCCCGCGCCGTCGCGGAAGCGGCCGACGCGCTTCTCGCGGGCCTCGTCGACGCGCTTCTTGCGGACCTGGAAGTCGTCGCGGTACTTGTCGGCGGCCTTGGGCGCCTTTTCCTGCTTGTGCTTGTACCGCGCGCCGCCCTGAGACAGCAGGGCCGCGGCGCCGGCCTTCTCGTCCTCGCCGACGCGCTGCGTGCGGCCCATGCGGTGCGCCTTGCGCCACCTGTCGTAGCGGCCGCTCTGGAACGACGCCGCAATCTTGACGCCGCTCTCGCCCGTCACCATCTTGGCGCCCTTGGAGCCGTCCTCGTCGTTTTGTCGCGCTACGTACTTTTTCGACTTCTTGTCCCACCGCAGGCGCTGCTTGTTGGCCTCACCAAACGACTTGGCCGACTCGTCGTTGCCCAGGTCCATGGTCACATCGCGTGCCGCCTCGATGAAGCTGGACCCGGCACCACCAGAGTGCACGCCGTAACCGCGCTCCTCGGCGACGTTTGTCGTGCGCGGGGTGTAGGTCATGAAGACGTCCGCATCGCGCCAGTCATCCCTGTCCTTCTTAGACTTGCCAGCATTGGAAACGGTAACCTCTAGACCATCGTCTGAGTCGTCGTCCACGGCATCAAGGCCACCATCGTCAACAACGGCCTCGTCAGAATCGTCCATTGTGAGGGCGCCCATTCCATCGTCCTCAATTTCTTCCTGTACTACTGCTTCTGGCCTCCTGCGAGGGGTGATCTTTTTGCGGATTTGCTTCATTACATCAGCCGCTTCATTGGAGGATTTATCGCTCCGGCTAATCTCAAAAATCGTTTCGTTGGGTCGGAAGCCGCTGATTTTTGCCATCATTTCCGCGCGCGCTTTTTCACCACGGTCAACGTCGTTTCCGAAGAGAGGATGCAGTTGAACCCAAGCACCCGACGCCACAACCTCACGAGCTCTCTTGGCACTTTGGCTAGAAGCAGAGTTTCTTGTCTTCAGATACAGCTTCTCTGCCTTGATGGAGACCTTTTGAAGGGCACTGATATCGTCGTTATCGTGTATTACTCGGTTAAACCATTCCACGTGCTCTTCTAGCGTGTTTCTTATCAATGAGCCGACAACCACATCATCAGCATATGATGGCTTCTCTTTCTGCTGCCCAATAACGAGCTGCTTTCCGAGGAATAGCTGCAGGTCAACCAGGTAAGGGGCATCGGTATCGCGAACCAAACTGTAACTCCAACCACGCTGACCTGCACGGGCAGTGCGGCCGACACGATGAACAAAGATTTTAGGTTGCGAGGGAAAGTCGTAGTTAATGACGTTGGCTAGAACGGGAATATCGATACCTCTGGCAGCAACGTCGGTGACTACCAGGATATTGGTCTTGCCGTGGCGAAAGTCTTCAACCTGAATACGTCGTGCTGTTTGATCGAGAGAACCATAGGCATGCGAAACGGCGAAACCGGCCCACTGCAACAGATTGGCGATATATTCGACGTGATGTTTTGTGGCTGTAAACACAATTGTAGAATGTTTGGTGGGTCGCGCGGGACCATCAGGTCCTCTCTTGCGCTTCTTTGAATCTTTCTCGGAGTCATCAGCGTCCTCCGGCTTCCCAACTGGTACTTTGATGACATCATGGAGGATGTGTAGTAGTGAGCCCTCCTTTTCGCCTCCTTTAATGCTAAAGTATGCGCTTTCCAGGTCGGGGGAGACTTTGGTGTCGGCGTCGAGACGCACAAGGCTCGGGTCTTGAAGACCAGCTCGAGCAAACTCGACAAGGGACGTGGGAAGCGTGGCAGAAAAGAGCAGTGTTTGTCTCGAGAGCGGTAGGGCATGAAGAATTTCGGTGAGCTGGGCAGCGAACCCCATTTCGAACAGACGATCGGCTTCGTCAAAGACGACATATTTGATGGAAGATAGATTCAAGCTCATTTCGACCTTTAAATGCAAGAATCGACCAGGAGTGGCAATGACGATGTCTGGATTAGCCGCCATGAAACCAAACTGCTCCTCCAGGCTGTCACCACCAACGAGCAGAACGGCTTTCAGGTCTGTGCCTCTCGAGAGTTCCTTAACAACCTTGAGTGTTTGAATGGCTAATTCACGCGATGGCGACATTATGAGGGCTCGCGATCCGAATTGTGCGCTGTGAGCGCGCAGGCGCTCAATCATGGGAATGACGAAGGCGGCCGTCTTTCCGGAGCCGGTTCTAGCCATGCCAACCACATCTTTTCTGTCGAGGACCAAGGGTATCGTTTTTCGTTGGATGGGCGTCGGGACCGAGAAACCTTTTCGAGCAATCGCTTTGAGAAGATTGGCGTTAATGCCTACAGGGCGGTCAGCCAAAAGTTAAGAGGAAGCAGGCCAGCAGGTCTTACCCATGGCTTGAAAGCCACCACCCTTTTTGACTGTGCGGCCCTTGAGATTTGAAGATTTTCTAAAAGATGCAGCCTGCCTCAGCGCGATAAATGCTTCGTCATCATCCTCGTCGTCTTGGTCATGTCCATTCATGAGACCGTCAAAGTCGAACTCGGCATCGGCAGGTCCATTCTGTTTGCCGTTGGTATCGTCTCCTGGGTAGATGGACCCAAAAATATCCACCTCGGGCTCAGAGGCTGCTGGAGACACTGCGCGTCTAGACATGTCGGCTGGTATTGTGTCTGAACTCCGACTATCGAGAGTTGACGGTAGTTAACCGATGTTCTTCATCCGCTACCACAGCCAAATTTTTTTGGGGGTAGCCTCGGTCGTTATCTTATCGTAGCGGGGTGCATGCTTTGAATGGGGCAGGTGAAGGTGACAAGAATGACAAGAATAGCGCTAGTCACCTAGTACCTATTCGCACCATCATTACCTACTACAAATTAGGTAGGTAGTGATCATCATCTACTGTAGGAAAGGATAAAAAATATAGCACAGTGTTCCAGTTGCCACACGTTTATGGCTATAGATATAACTACAGTATTTTTTTAAAAAAAAAGAGATAGGTGTAATTGTTAGGAAGATTTACTATGATGGGCACAACTGGTCCGCAAATGGCAACATACTAGATGTAGAGGTAATGATCACCGGCATCAATCGTCGAGCTATTCGACTGCAGGGCCCTGGCCCAGCGCTATGCAGTTCTGTAGCAGCTTGCCCGCCTCGTGAAGTAGCTCCCAGCGCGACTGTCCCAGCGAATCCCGCAGCACCATGAGCAGCGCCGTGTTGCCGTTGAAGCCGCGCATGTCCTGCAGCTCTGCTGGCGCGTCGAGGCCGGAGTACACGGAAAGATAGCCGCGCATCTGCGTCCAGCGGTCGCGGGTCGTCGCCGGCTCCGTGGCCGCGCGCGGACTCGGCCCCTCGAGCGCGTAGCCGTAGCACCACACGATGAGCGCCGCAAAGTAGAGTACCCACGGCCGGTTGAGCAAAATGTCGTTGCGGATCTCGTATGGCTGGCCGGGCTGCGGCCGCACCGGCACGTCCTCCCTACGTCCAATCTGCTCTGGCGCGAGCACGAAGCGGAGGAGCTTGAGCGCGTAAAAGGCGGCGTCGCGGGCCTTGGCCGACGGCGCCCAGTCCTCCTTGATGCGCCGCTGCGCGGCTGCGAGCTCGTTGGCGCTGACAGGCCGGCCCAAGAGACGTTTGGCGCCCGCAAAGATTTGGCAGTCGACAATGTCGGCGTGCATGGCCATGTGGGCGAGGTGATGCAGCACGGTGCGGCTCTCAAACAAGGTGTGAGTGTCGGTGTCGATTTCATCAATGCCGTATGGGTCCCGTTGCGGCTCTTGTCCCCTCAGAGACTCGTCAAAGTCCGATTGCCAAAAGTCATATGCACGTGTCAACGCAACTCGCCACTTGTCCCGGGCACCAGGCGTATGCGTCATGCCACTGCCAAGTACATTGGCTTGTAGGTCTCGCTGATTTAGATGGTATGTAACGTTGAGAAGCCCGGAAATGAGGACAGCTCGCACAAAGTAGGTTGTGTAGACTTGCTGCTTATTGAGGGTTCTCTTAAGGCCCTCTAGAAAGGACACAGGCGTCACGCCTTGCGCTGTCAGCTTCTTCTCAACCCTACTGAATTCAGCGCTACTCGTCGCTGTCCAAAGTGACTCGTCACAGGGAAGCGGCAGTCGCATTTCGTGAGCAGCCATGACGGCTGAATGGCCGAACATGGTCGCATGGAGCGAGTCAATCATGAAGGCTGCGCTGGCTACTCGACGTGTTGATTCGTTGGTGATCCATTGCTCCCATTGCTCGTCCGCAGTCTTGGTTGGCATAAACGCGCCTGCGTGTGTTGGTGAATCAGAAGATGATTTTCCTATCAAGCTGCGACCACGTCGCATAAGGGTAATGGTAGTGGCGTGGTGGATGTGCGCTCTTTCGTGCATTTCCCTGGTCGAGCACATCTTCTCATACAGCTCCAAGAAAATGAGCGTTTGAAAGACCCACAGCTTCGCTGGAGGCCGGAAACCCGGGTCCATGAAAACTTCCCACCGCAGATGCGTGACGAGAAAGTTGGAAAGGCGCACTCCCGCCATGGTCACCTCGGTTCCACGCTTCTTGTCCAAGCACGCAGCCCCGGTGGCCATGATTGCCAAGAGAAGAATAGCAGGCGTCTTGTCAGCAGCAAACGTGGGTTTGTGCAAAATTGGCATCTGCGCGTTAAAGTGCTTCCAGAATGAGCCGATATAAGCCTGCATCATTCGCTTGCTCAGCATATGATCACTTCTACTTCTGTCACCAGAAATGATGGAATCTCTCGTATGGCGTAACTCGTCGCTATCGTTTCCATGGAACCGATCTTTAATGTAATCGAACAGTTCTTGGCTCCTGGCGTCGGACATGCTAGCTTCCGGCATATTTGGTTCCAGCAGGTTGTATACCGACATAATCTGCTGCGGGCCGATTTGTTGGATCGGGCCCGACCGACTCACAAGATAGGCGTTGTTGTTCGGGTACTGAGCATGGCTAAGATCTCCATAGCTGCAATCGCGGTTAGCGCTCCTCCTCACAAGGCAGATGGTCACAGTACTTACTTCATTGCTGCCTGCGGTAACGCATTGTTTCCAGCACCAGAAGTGTTGGGCGCCGAATCAAATAAATAGGCCATAAAATCCTCAGGTATCCCGCCAGTGGGGGATTTATGCAGGCCAGCATCGACACTAAATACTGGCCCAGCATCTCCGATGGGCATGTGATCATACAGATCCATCTGGTCTGTTACAGCCGGATCCTCGAGAGAAATATTATGCGCTCCTGGCGCTGGTGTGTAATTTGTTGCTGATAAGCCGTAGCCCATGTCAACTTGGTGCTGGTTGTGACGAGCAAGGTTTTGAAGAGGTGTTTGTCCCTCGCCGGCTCCAGCGGCGGCACTGGCAACGGCCATGTGAGATGCCGTATCGCTACTGCCGAACTGCCTCGTAGCCTCGACGCCCATTCCGTATGCACCGTTTCCAGACGGCGAATGAGCTGGGTGAGTAAACACCGGCCGGTGCATGGCTGCTTCTGGCGTCAGCGGTGAGAGCGAGCGAGCTGCGGTGACACTCGGGTCGCTGAGATGGGTATCTTTTGCGATGTGTCTGTCTATGTGACGCTTGAGCAAGTCGGGGCGGACAAAAGTGCGACTGCAGTCAGCATAGTCGCAACGGAATGTCTGGGGTGAGTTGTGGTTGAGCTGATGGCGTTGACTGGGAGGCAGTGTTAGGTGAGACAGATTAACGAGTAATTGACAGCCTTACAGATGTTCTGCGCGTGAGTACACCTTGCCGCATTCATCGATTTCGCAGGTAAATCTTTTCTCGAGGCCTTTCCGGCTCTTCCTCTTGCGCTTCGTTGCATGACCAGGGCTGGTCAAGCCATTGTGGGGGCTCACTGAGGCAGCAAGGTCAGACATGTTCATCAACAATGATGCTGGATTTGTGCATCATCATTTGCAGGGTCGCATTGCGCATCATTTGATGGCGACAGATCTATGACTGCCGGAATGGATGGGACACGAGGGTGAGTGGTTGCTTAGCCGGGCGGGCCAAAAGACTGAGAACGTCGGAACAGCGGATTCACCAGATACGTGTATCCTTGCTGGAGATGCAAGTCTCGTCCCGGGTTTCAACAGCTCTACAGAGAAATGCAAGTCCCAAGAGCAGCGAGAAGGCGCCAGGGTGGCGATGAGGCTGGTCGGTGACGACAGCGGAAGATGTCCGAGGAGCAGGTGAAGCCTCGATTGCGGGACAGACGGCACGATCTAGAGCTAGTGAGTCGAATATTGGTTCCGTGAGAACCGGGCGCAGACCGTTTTGCTTGCGTGTGTTGAAGTTGATCTTGGGTTCAAGGTCTGTAGAGCTCAAGAGCAAAGAAAGGCTGAAGCTCAAGTCTGGTTCTGAAAAGACATGGGGGCGCACCCACTAGCGAGTTGTGGAGACGGCGGACTGCCGGTTGGCAGTTAGTTGCCCTTGATAATTATTATGCGAGATGTGTTGCGACGGTGGCGAGGTGGTTGGACCGGGGCTGTATTAGCGAATGAAAATGAGGATGATGTAGCTTTTAAAGACGGACATTTGCGTCCTAGCGTCCATTTGTGATGGCCATTATATCGCTGCCTCTTATACGTATGTACCTTAGTAGGAATCTATGGAGTTGGCTTCGTTATTCGTACAGGCTCTGAGACCTTGACCTATGAGACCCGGACCACCGAATCGCGCGGCCCCACCAAAGACTCAGAGGCACCTAAGCGCCGGCGGGCTACGGGTCGCGGGTTGCCTGCAGCTTGGGGAAACGGTTGGAGATGGCAGATGCGGGGTATATATAATATACGGCGCCAGAGACACTCAGCCATGTCTTGGTTTATAAGGGCGCGTCTGACTGCTAGTTATCGGCATCTGTCTTCGCATTAATAAGACTACCACTATATATTATGTGGGTGGTTGCCTCTTCATCTAGGTACTCAAATCGTACCAGCATGTAGACTCGAATAGAAAATCGACTCGACTCGACGGAACCCCTCGCATGTAACATTTAATCAGCAGAATACCGGCATTTTTTTTTTTTTTTTAATTTTTAAAATTGGTTAACAATACCTTGCACCCAATACAAATAGATACCATGAAGTGACATGCCCACAGGATGCGGGGAACCAACAGAGACACCTTTCAATGGGTAGGCAGGTAGGCAAGTACTTGGCCAGCTGTCTCCGAGGCGACTTGGTACGTATGCTGTCGAGATTTGCAAATAATCTTCCGTGTCTACAGAGAGTATAATATTTTTTTCGAAGGGCTTGTAGACTTGAACGGCTTCATACTGCGCAGCCCCGTCGAGGTATACCCCCCACCCCCATCGAGTCATAAGCCCACAAAAGATACAGTGGGGCAACCTACCTACCTATTCTTATAGTGCCCTTCAATTTAGGTACCTTTTTCTAAACTCACAGGCCAGTCAGTTACCCGCCCTCCAGCCTACAGCCAGCCTTCCGAGCACTCTCTCCTCGCTTCCCTTCCTCCTCAACAGCACAACTGGCAAACACCACCAACATCACGAACCATGCCTCCCAAAACGGCTGCCCGAGGGCAGGACGACAAGCTGGACGGCCCTGTTACAAAAGAACGCCCCTCAGCATCCTCCACAAAGATGCGCCGCAACGCCAGCCAGACCAGCAACAGCCAGGCTCGCGAACCGCTCACCAATGTGCCAACCTCGGCGCCGACACAAGGTCTTTCCGAGCCCGCACCTCCTACAGTAAGCTCTTTTGTCCTCCCCCGAGGCTCCGAAACCTCTGCTCGTGACCAGCTGTGCCTTGCATCATCACTACCGACGCTGACATTGCCTCCCCTGTGTCGCCAGATCCCATGGGCCTCCCTCGAGCGAGACGCCCTGCACGCCTACCGACGAGAACACGAATTGCCCTCCGCGACGTCCTTTATCAGCACATTCCATGAATATATCCTCTCAGAAAGAGCCGGCATCGGCCTATACTCACCCACCATGGTACGCAAGCGAAAGGCCCGTCGACAGAATAAAGAACACCTGGCTCTCGCCGTGCGCAAGCACTTTAATGGCGTCGGCATTCAAGAGAACGACGTTATTGTCGATTTTATCTGCAAAATTCGCCACAGCAAGTCCGTCAAGGTAGTCGGGCTTAGCAAGAACGAGGCTTTGTTTGCCGACTAGACGAACCGAGCCAATTCACGATTCACGACACGGCGTTTCCAGTGATTTTTTATACCTGGCATTGGGATTTGCGATAACTCTACTCGGAAGCATGGCAGCAATGATACTCATTCTTATTCGATTTTTCAATTTCTACTAGTCTAGCGAGAGGCGACATCGCTTCTGTCGCACAACTGCTGATTTTGGCAGCTGGATGTTTATTTTACGGCGTTGTGGATCTGCCAACCTCTCTGATTGTCACTCCTGCACATTTTACTATCTGGTACATGGTAAACTCGGCTAGAAGATCGTGCCTTGCATTTTTCGTAAACATTGATTCTTTCATATAACTTTTTATCTATGTTCTTATGTTTAACCACCTTGTGTCTCGCCTGAACCAATAAACAGCATCCTTGCCATTTCGGCGCGGTATCGGTCGGCTTATGACGGCATTCACGCCTGAGGCAGCTTGGCCCGGTTTAAGACCGGCTAAAAAAGTCGAGTCCCTCCAACCAACGAGAACCTCCTAGAACCACACCGAGGTCGCTGTACCCAACCTCATCTTGCCATCTATTCTCTCGATCGTGCTTCTGGTAAATCAAATGAATTGCCATCAATCGTTATGAACTCGAGCATTTTGCTGAAATCCACGGCGCCGGCGCGCGCCCTGGCGCACAACGCAGCGTCCGCTTGCAAGATTGCTGGCCCCTTGAAGAGATGCGCCAGAATTCACACTGCGCCGTCGCGCGCAACCTCGCCATCGGCCAAGCTGCCCGGCGCCAAAAGCACCAATTTACCTTCACTATCACGCGTATGTGGTCGCCAGAAGAATCTTGCAGTCGGTGGCTATGGGTGCTAATTTGCCCATCTAGAACTTCCATACGACGAACAGGCTTTCTTCCAAAGATCCGTACAAGGCCCTCGGCGTCGATAAAAGCGCATCCGCTGCCGAAATAAAAAAAGCATACTATGGCCTTGCAAAAAAGTATCACCCCGACACAAATAAGGACGACTCCGCCAAGGATCGGTTTGGCGATATTCAATCCGCCTACGAAATTCTATCCGACCCTAAGAAGAAGGAACAATTCGACCAGTTCGGGGCCGCCGGCTTCGACCCAAATGGTAATCCTGCCGGCGGTGATCCCTTTGGCGGAGCAGGCAACCCCTTCCATGGCTTCGGTGGCGGTGGTCAAGGTGGCTTCGGTGGCGGCTTCAACTTCGACGATATATTCTCCGCCTTTACAGGTGGTCAGGGCGGCGGACGGCGCGGCGGGCGCTCGAATCCTTTTCAACAAGAGATTCTCGTTGGAGAAAACATTGAAGTACAGGCTAGCATCACATTCATGGAAGCCGCCAAGGGCACAAGCAAATCCATCTCCATCACACCAACCGTCGAATGCAGCCCCTGTGCGGGGAGCGGCCTCAAAAGCGGAACCCAGCGCGCGCCTTGTAAAGCTTGCAACGGTACAGGAACGCGTCTTCATTTTATGCAGGGTGGCTTCCAGATGGCTTCCACCTGCGGTACTTGCGAAGGCTCCGGCTCGACTATTCCCAAGGGCTCCGAATGCAAGACCTGCTCTGGCCATGGTGTAGTCCGCGAACGCAAGACCATCACCGTTGACATCCCCGCCGGTATAGAGGACGGCATGCGGCTCCGCGTCGATGGCGCGGGTGATGCGCCTGCGACTGGTCGATCCGCGGACCCCAACGCCCGCACACAGCGCGGCGACCTATACGTATTTGTTCGCGTTGCCAAGGACCCCAAGTTTACGAGAGAAGGCTCCAACATTCTTCATACCGCCAGCATCCCCTTGACAACGGCCCTCTTGGGTGGCCAGGTTTCCATCCCCACACTCGATGGCACTGTCAACGTCAAGGTCGCGACGGGCACCAACACAGGCGACAAGATCACGCTCTCCGGCATGGGCATGAAGCGCCTGGGATCCCGACGGGGCGGCTCTGGCGATCTGCGCGTCGAGTTCCGCGTCAACATGCCCAAGTACCTCAGCGCCAACCAGCGCACCATTGTGGAGATGCTGGCCGATGAAATGGACGACAAGACCGCGCGACGAGTCATGAATGTCTCGCCTTCGAGGTGAGCCTTTCCCACGTTGCGTTGGCCTCAACTTGACTTGCTAATCTCGATAGAAATGCGCCCCCTACTGACGATGTGGCCTCCAACGAAAACGAAGGCTTCCTGAAGTCGGTATGGCATAAGATGACCCACCACCCGGCGCATCAGAACAAGCCCGGCGGCGAGACGGGTTCTTCTACTAATGAGTCGTCGACAAAAACGAGCGACGTCGAAGATGAGAAGAAAAAGTCAGATTCTGCCTGATCCGGCTACTAAACCTTGTACCATATTTGAGCGGACTCTTGCCCGCGCAGGTCCTATCCTGGTCACCGGACCTGCAATTTCTCTTGCATTCACAAAGGTGTTTTATAAAAGACGGTATTTGTTTCTTATTGAAAGAGAGGGGAAGACACAGACAGGCATGGGGATGTATAAAAAGGCGTTTTGTTTCCGCTGCAGGCGTACAACTATGCTGGCCCTGTAGCCACGGAGAGCTATGGGGCTGGCAGTTATGTGTTGGGCGGAAAAGCGCGAGGAGGCGCGCCGTTTGTGCTAATAGAGCAAATGTTGAATTGTATATGGAGAGATCATTCTATCTAGTTGGAGACAATCCCCCCCTTCTTCTAATACTGCTTTTCAAGTGATGCACATCCCTGCCTTGGACGGTTCGTAGTAGTTAAACCGCTACCTCCCTCGCGAGGATACAACGAGCCTCTGGTTCTGTCTTTGGGTATATGATGTCGTAATTCTTTTCCTTTCGATGCCTCGGCCTCCACACGCATGTTCTAGCCAATGGGCTTCATCTTTTTCTTCTTCTTCTTCTTGTCCGGCTCGGCACCACCACTACCAGCAGCAGCTCCGCCGCTGCCGCCAGCCTTGCCCCCCTTGTGAAACTGTCGCCAGTTGGTGATGCGGTCATCGCGGGTGGCCTCCCAGTCCTGCTCGTGCTGGCGCTTGCGCTTGCGCACATCGGCCTCGTCGTCCTGGCGGCGCTGCTCGCGGCCCTCCTCCTGCATCTGCGCGCGCAGCTGGCGCTGGCGGCGGCGCTCATTGTCCACGAGCACCTCGGTCGCCTTGTCGCGCCACCGCCGCGCAAAGTCGTCCGTCTTGAGCTCCTCGCTGTCCACCGTCAGCTTGCGCTCGCGCAGCAGCAGCATGCGCGCGTCGGCGATGGCCTCGTCGAGCCGCTCCCGGTGCTTCTCATCCATGAGCTCCACCTGCGCCTTCTTGAGCCGGTCAAACGCCTCGGGCGCCTGTGGGTTCTTGCACTTGTCGGGGTGGATCATCAGCGACTTTTTGCGGTACGTGATCTTGATGTCGGATTCGGGGACGCCGGGCTGAAGGTCGAGGATCGCGTACCTGCAAGGGCCATGGTCAGTGGGGGGGCTGCGCTCGGGGAAAGACGGCGAAATAGGGAGCTCTTACGCATTCAGCTTGAAGGCTTTCAATATTCTGTCAATTTCCGCATCCTGGCGATAGCTGGTTAGCGATGCCGGAGGTCGCGCGACACAGGTGGATGGACGGCTGGCCGACTAACCTTGTCCCATTCCTTCGCCTCCGTCTCGAGCGCATCGAGCGCGGCCTTGTCTTCCTTGTCCTGATCGGTCGACATTGTCTACTTCGATGCGACAGACGATCGCAGCGTACTGCCGGCCGACTTGTTGGACGTTGATTGATGTTGGCAAAGGACAAAGCGGGTCTGCGATGGCAGGCAGGTCAACTTCCAGTGGCGGTTTTTATACTGGAGCGTGCAGGCGATGAAAGAAAATGGCGAATGCTAAAGATATCTTGAACTATAATACGAAAAACAAACGTAACGGCTAAGATGAGAACTACTGACGCTAGAAAAAAAAAGACATTTTTAGAGAATTGAGTTTATTGTCAAATTGCCAGTATCATAGTCTGTTGATGACACGCTTGAATTACACTATCACAGGTTCATATACCTCAGTACAAGAGGATGGACAATGATTACTATTATTATTTAATACGGAAACACTACTCAAGGGAACTATTCACGTAGACGATTCGTAGACCTGGAGGGTAAGTTGAAACGTAATTCTCAGTGTAGCGAGTTGAAAGATGTAATTGATCCTTTCATTTTACACCAGATCCAACTTTCGCCTGCCCGATTTTGCTAGTCTGGGCTCTACTCGCAAGCCGGGTGCGCCACTGGAGAAGTATCACTATTATGATGCGGCTGCGGCTCTGCAAGTTGCCACGGACGAGGACTTCCTCGCGCTCGCGCGGGAGCTTTCCACGAAGCCGGGCTTTTTTCCAACGTCCTCATTCCATCCGCGCCCCATGACGCTGAGACAGCGACGGGAGCCGCGCTTGAACTCGATCAACGCTTGGGCGGCGACATCAACAAGTCTTCCGATACCCCGTATCTCGTCCCAGAGTTTGACGAGGCCTACACGCATTTCAACCCGCATCAGCCACAGCATCTGATTTTATCCCCCGATCATCTGAATCGCTCGCATCACAGTACGATTCCACTGGCCTACGATGTCTGCCGAACCTCCATATTATTAGTAAATAAAAAGTGGATTATGTATCGCTTAACACTACTAAATACTATAACCCCTACTAATTTTTAGTAGATTTTATAGGGTCAACATCCTAGAAATAGTAGGCTATACCTATAAGTATAATTTTATAATAGTTATATTTAATTATAAGAAAATAGGAAATTATATAAACCCCCCTTAAACTTTTTATAAACTTTTTAATTATATTTATTTAATAGCTTTAAATATAGTATTTATTATACTTTATATATCTTAATTATTCTAGATTTTAATATCTTTATTATCTTTATTAATACCTAGTATAAAGCTATTATTAATAGTATTATTAAATATTTTCGACCGATTCCACCTGGCCATCGACGCATCTACCGGCTGGCGCATAGACGAGACAAACAACCACACCTCCTGATTCGAAACGGCCGAACCCCCCTCATCACACCCGCCGAAACGCATCGACATTGGCCACGACTACGTGATGGGTTGTCAATAGAAAGCCCCGCTCCCAGCCCCATTCGATAAGCTCTCGCCACTACCTCTTCCTTTGTCGTCTCTGATACACCAAGCTCAGACCGACGACACAACCATGCCCGCGTACAACGGCGGGCTGCCGTCGCAGACGCGCGACTCGCTCGAGCTCGCCTCTCTCGCCTCCTCCAGCGTCATGCACGACAACGGCGGCGGCACCGCCGCCTCCACATCCTCGGAACTGTCCTCGCGGCCCAGCATCTCCTCCTCGCGACGCCTCTCCCTTGTCGAGGAGGAGGACCCCTTTGACCACGACAACCCCGCTGCGCGCGGCGCCGCCGACACGCGCCTCGGCCGCTCCTATTCTACCTCGTCCACGTTTGACTTTGCCGCCAACCTGTTTCCGCTGTCGTCGACGGCGGCCGGCGTGGGCGGGTACGCGCCCATCGGCGCGCCGACGTCGGGGCGTTCCCGCGGCGGCCTCGGCGGGGGCGCGCTCGAAAAACACAAGACGCTCACCTACCTCAACGGGCTGTCCCTGATTGTCGGCCTCATCATCGGGTCCGGCATCTTCTCTTCGCCCAGCCAGGTCAGCTCGCGCGTCGGGTCCGCGGGCGCTGGCCTCGTTGTCTGGGTTGTCGCTGGCGTTCTGGCCTGGACGGGCGGCGCCTCGTACGCGGAGCTCGGCGGCGCCATTCCCCTCAACGGCGGCGCGCAAGTCTACCTCGCCAAGACCTTTGGCGAGCTGGCCGGCTTCCTCTTCACGTGGTCGGCCGTACTGGTGCTCAAACCCGGCAGCGCGGCCATCATCTCCATCATCATGGGCGAGTACCTCGTGCGCGCCGTGATTGGGGCCGAGGCCGAGACCATCAGCCCCTGGGTGAGCAAGGCAGTCGCGCTCGTCGGCATCATGACCGTGACGATGCTCAACTGCGTCTCCACGCGCGTCGGGACGAGGATCAACGACATGCTCATGTTTCTCAAGTTTGTGGCGCTTCTCTTTATTACCATTACAGGTATTGCGGTAGCGATTACGGGACGTACTCTGACCGGTGAACCTACGCTCGATTGGAAAGGGCATGATTGGTTCGAGGGCACTACGAGTGACTTGTCGGCTTGGGCTCTCGCCTTGTATGCTGGTCTCTGGGCCTTTGACGGATGGGACAACGTAGGCGCTCACGCTTCGCAATCTGCTCCATCAAGTATATATGCTAACCTTTACTCTCGGCCATAGACCAACTACGTTGTCGGTGAATTCCGCAATCCCAGCCGCGACCTTCCGCGCGTCATCCACACCGCCATGCCGCTCGTCATTCTCTCCTACGTTCTCGCCAACCTGGCTTACTTCCTGGTGCTGCCGCTGCCAGCCATCAACGGCTCTAACACTGTCGCCGTGCTTTTCGGGTCTCGCGTGTTCGGCCCCGCCGGCGCCCTCGTCATCGCCCTCATCGTGAGCTTCAGCTGCTTTGGCGCCCTCAACTCATCCACCTTTACCGCCGGCCGTCTGACCTACGTCGCGGGCAAGGAGGGCTACATCCCGACCGTCTTTGGTCGCATCGGATTCGGCGACCGCCGCCTCGAAGACGGTCTTGCGACGCAACGCACCCGCTCCTGGCTGACCAAGAAGCTCCGCAGCTGGGTCGGCGACGAGGACACGGGGCTCTTTTACACGCCGGTCTACGCACTACTCCTCAACTGCTCCATCACTGCGGTGTACTGCGTCGTCGGCGAGTTTTCTACGTTGGTTACGTTTTACGGCGTCGCGGGCTACACCTTTTACTTCCTGACCGTGCTCGGCCTTATCGTGCTGCGCGTGGCTGAGCCCCAGCTTGACCGCCCCTACAGAACCTGGATCACCACGCCCATCATCTTTTGCTGCGTCAGCCTCTTCCTGCTCAGTCGTGCCGTCTTTGCCCAGCCCCTGCAGACGCTGCTTGTTGTTGGCTTCGTGTTGGCGGGTATACCGGTGTATTTTCTACGCGTGCGTGGGCGGGAGCGCAAGAACATGGGCGACCACGGCAAGAAGTGGTGGCAGATTTGGAAATAAATAGGGCCTTGAACAGGACGTTTGGGCGTACACTTACCAAAACATGGCCCACGATTAAACTTGGGGGTTGTGGTGTTTTTTTCTGTATTATTTCTTGTATTGAGCCTGTTGGAAAATGACGATTCAAACAACATAGCATGGACGGGCGAATGAAACTGCCCGGGCGGGCGTTGGGGACTTCAGCTACATACACTGCTTGTATACCGCATTTGGGTACATATTACAATATTAATTCAACAACGTCGATACCAGTTTTACGATATAGAAACGAACTCCCCGAAAAGACATCACCAGCCACTTGAGGAGGATCAGAACAAGGTACACGCCAAACTTGATAGGATGTATTGCTAACTTCTCCTATAGATATACACAGCCGGTGTCCAGGATCATATCGGTACGCCAAACTGGTGAACAAGAAGACACTTCATTACGTATTGTTCTCCACCAAATCAAGACGCATTTACTTGCGCTGGCCGTAGGCCTTGGTGGCGTAGTCGCCCTTGTGGACGATGAGGTCCTCGGGGCGGTAGTCCTCCTTGCCGGAGAAGTAGCTGGTGAGGATGGCCTTGGTACCGTCGGCGTAGCGCTTCTGGGCGTCGAGCGAGGTGCCAGACATGTGGGGGACCATGGCGTTGCCGCCGCCAAAGGGGTTCTTGGCGGTGCGGAGCGGGTGGTCCTTGGGGGCGGGCTGGGGGAACCAGACGTCGCCTCCGTAGCCGGCGAGGTGGCCGGACTTGAGGGCGTCGGCTACATCCTCCTTGACGACGATGGCGCCGCGAGCGGTGTTGATGAGGTACGAGCCTGTGCGTGTGTGTGTTAGTCTTGTGTACATGCCGGCGCAGCGCGTGGTATGGATTTGATTTGGGGGGCAACACACCCTTCTTCATCTTGCTAATCAGCTCCTTGTTGAACAGGCCCTTTGTCTTTTCGTGCAGCGGGCAGTTGATGGTGACAATGTCGCACTGGGCGAGCAGCTCCTCGAGGGTGTCGACGCGGCGGCAGCCAATCTCCTTTTCCTTGTCGGCGCTGAGCGGCTGGTAGTCGTAGTAGAGCAGCTCCTTGCAGTCAAAGGGCTTGAGGCGGCGCAGGACGCGCTCGCCAATGCGGCCGACGGCGACGGTGCCGACGACCTTGTCCTCGAGGTCGTACTCCTGCTTGGCGACGGCGGCGACGTCCCAGTCGCCGCGCTCGACCTGCTCGTGCGCGGGCACAAAGTTGCGGATGAGGACGAGGATGGTCATGACGACGTGCTCGGCCACGGAGACGACATTGCTGCCCGTGACCTCGGCGACGGTCACGCCGCCGTTGGTCGCGTTGGCCGCGTTAAGGTCGACGTGGTCGGAGCCAATGCCGGCCGTGACGGCGAGCTTGAGCTTCTTGGCCTTGGCGAGGCGCTCAGCGGTGAGGTAGCCGGGGTGGAAGCTAGGGTCGCATTTGAGATTAGTGAGGGTTTTTTTGTGGGAGGGCAGAAGAAGGCGGGTATATGGGAAAGCTCACGGAGTCGTGATGATGACTTCGGCGTCGACGAGCTCCTGGTCAAACTTGGAGTTTTCGCCCTCCTTGTCCGAGGTGGTGACGAGGGTGTGGCCCTGGTCCTCGAGCCACTTGCGGAGGCCGAGCTCGTTTTCGGTGGTACCGAGAAGCTCAGGAACCTAGTTTGATTGATCAGACATGTTAGTATGTTTTTTGTTAATCTGCGAACCCAGGCCAGGTCTAAGAATAGCGTCGTTGATCTGGAGTTCCCCCGCACATCGGGGGTTGTCAAGACTCGATCACTAGCGGAGCGCTAACAACATTATAGGCTGATGGGAAAAACAACAAATCCTTGACGTAACCGTCTTTATCATTTGCTTGTTTTCTCGTTGCCCATTGATGATGCTGAGCGCTGCAGACTAGAGAGAAGACGACGACGCCCTTCCTAGGCAAGTCCGATTGCAGGTTGCAGACTGCAATAAAGAGAGGGCGGGGAGACGAGACGAACCTGCTCGGCGTGCTTGCCGCCGTCGTAGAGAACAAGAAGAACTTTGACCTTTTCGCGGGCAGTGGTCAGCGCACGAAACAAACCAGGGACGAAGCCGCCCGGCGCGCGCCCCGGAGGTGCGGCTCCTCGCTTGCCAAAGCCGGGCGCCGTGGCGGCGACGGCGTGTCGGAGGGCAGGCGAGGTAGCGCGCGTGTGGAAGAGCGCCGGGCGGGAAGCTGCCAGAGGCAGAGAACGGGAAAGAGGGCGAAAAGATACCATTTTGACGTTTTTGAAAAGTCTACTGTAGAGAAGATTCGAACGGGGGAGGGGAGCTTCCCTTTTATAAAGGTATGTTGTAGGTTTAGGCGGCTTGGAGGTGCGCTAGTACTACCGTATTTGGGAAGTTGTATAAGAGGAGTAATTGGTATGTGTCAGAGGATGATGATGCGGAATGAAAGGAGGGGGAGGAAAGGAATCGTTCGACAGCCTCGAGCGAGCAACGCCACGTCTTTATACGTATGCTGAATACTGTTGTCTTGCGGGCAACTCTGGCTCTTACCCCTCCTTTACGACGGAGACACCCCCTTTCGTGCCTCGTCCAATCTCGAATGTGCTACACGAACTGACTTGCCTCGAGAGGAGGGAGGGAGGGAAACGTCATGGCCTAACGGATGACGGCCCATTTGCCCGGGGTGTGGTCGCACTACGGAGAGGCGAGACTCGCAGCTTGTTCGGCATGTCCACTTTTTGCTTCCTGGAGACGGACAAGAAGCCCGGCGACAAGAAGAAGAAAAGGAGGGGACCTTGCTCCCTGTCGGCGGTGCTTGGGAAGGGCCGCTGTCGTCGTTGGCGCAACTCTACTAGCTGGGCCCCCGTCGTCGTCGAGCTTGTTAGTGGTGTGAGCAATACCGAAGCCCGAGATAGTTCCATCCCGCCAATCCCGCCGCCAACCCCTCCCCTCTCCCACCATGGAGCTGAGAAAAGAACTGGGCTGGGCTCAGCAATGCAATTTTGCCTAACCCTTGTGGCTTGCAGCAGGCAACTTTCTGTGCTGTCCGTTGCTACCAGGCGTCGGGTTCTACTAACGTAATAATAAGAAGCGGGCTTGCAGATTTGAACCATCGAATGGCACAGCCACCTAAAGGATCAACAGTTCTGGAGCCCATCGATCGAGCGGGGTAGCTCCAAGCTAGTTGGAGCGCATCAGTGTAACTGACTAACGGATTGAGAGAGCTACAACAAGTCGAGGAGGAGGAGGAGCGAGACAGGGCACCAAGCTGGCGCGTGGCGTGCTTTCTCAACCTCTGCCTGATTCTGCGGGCGGCCAGGCAGGATTCGGCGCTTCCCAGTCCATCAAGTCGAAACAAAGGCCCATTGAAAATCCCAATAGTCGCTGCCCCGCCCCTTCTCGGGGTACATACGGCATGTACTAGGCCGCTCTCCCCCCGAGAACTCTCCGGCGGGGACACGGCGCTGATGCAGCCGCCTGCTTGCCGACATCACCAGACCATAAAGATCGACCCCCTTTCCTTCCGGGATATCCACTGCTCCATTTCTTTCACTGGAACGTGGAACGGCGGGCATATAGATGCGCAATCCCGAGTTTGGCGGCCGGTCGCCTTCCGAGCTGCCGAGCGCGTGGACAGCAAAAAAGTCGACTGAACAGTCTTTGCAGTCCGAGTTTCAATCTCGTGAAGACGATTGTTTCATGTTTTTTTTTCCACTACTTCTTTTTCTGTTTCTCCCCGTTCTAGAGCGAGACTGGGCATCAACCCTTTTTTCGACAGCGGCCGAGTTCCACTGAAGAACTTTACTTGCGGCGGCACTAACACGGCCCCGTTGGCGTTGGGCCAGCACCAGCCAGCAATCTTCATGCGGGCTTGCAATGGACTACAACGCCCGTGAGTTACGTTGGAAGCAGTGTGGGTGGAATTTCTGGCCAAAATGTGCAAGTGACCGAGAGAATCCGTCTGCCGGGGGAAGCAGACGAACGTAGGTACAAAAAAACATGGGCTGCTGTCCAAACTGCCGACAGGCAAGGGATCCTGGCCAAGGCTACCACCTAGATGCCTGAGCTGTAAGAGGATGCATGCATTGCTGTTGCCTCATAATGCTAGCAAGGCTGGGCATAGGAGGGGTGTGTGTGACTCGAAGCTGGGCCGCACAGGTGCAGCGTGGCTGAGTCGGCGCGATATGCCGCTCTAGCGAGCGCGGCCACGACCGCCGGGCTCCGGGGCCATGATGCGCCGATGGCGGGCCCGAGTCGCGGTCAACAGCGCAGCGAGAGCGGGGAAAATAAAACATAACATATAGGCCCTTGAAGCTCTGCAGGCTAGGGTCTAAGAGGAATCGTCGTTTCGAAATTAAGCAACAATGCTAAACGATTCCCGACGCGTCCGCCGACCGAGAAATAATACCCCGTCCAACGAGATCCCAACCACCGTCAATAGGCATCGACTATCGAGACAGACTTTTGATTTGAAACAGCGGACTGCACGGCGTTAATTGCACACAGGTCCTTTAATTTCCCGACGGACAAGAATAAGCTGAGATTATAGCTATACATAATATTGTTACACCAAGTCGCACAAGTTCTTCGGTTGGTTATACAGAATAGGCCCTAGGCGAGCGTCTTTGTTCGATGCAAAAGACTGGGCAGGTCTGAGAGGCTCTTCAGCCCCTTGAGCCGCTGATTCGACCACAGCGCAAAGCCCGCCTGCCGGAGCAGCGCAATATCCAGCCCCTGCGCGCCGCCTCCGAGCTCCGCGCAGGCAACACCGCCAGCACCTCCGGCTCCCGGCCGCGCGCTCTCATAGTACTGCATCACCGCCGACGCAAACACCAGCTTCCTGCGGTCTCCGAGCGCCGGCACCGGCGCCTCCGCACCACCCCGGCGCACCACCTCTCCGTCCTTCTGCGCCGCCACGGCCGTCGTCGGGCACAGCACGCCCTGGTTGACGCGCGTGGCGAACTCGTGGCCGTGCCGCCGCCGCAGATGGTCGAGCACGGTCGCGTACTCGTGCTTCTCCGGGTGCGGCACGTCCGGGTAGTAGCAGTCGTGGTGAGCGGCGGCATGGTAGAAGAAGCGCTCGCCGGCGCAGTCGCCGCCGGGCCAGTGCTGGCTGAACCGGCTCACCTGCAGCCCGAGCCACCAGTCGTCCTCGGGCGGCG